ATTAGTTGAATAATGTTGAGTACTGGGTGACAGTACTACCTCCATAAGTAGGTTGTCTGTTCGGTTGCCCCCTTTAGCATAAAAGACTGTTAATCCTTCTACCTGACAATTTCCCAGCTATAGCCAGTGTCTGCCTTACATGTTGTGAATAGTTTCGGCTAATTGTTTTTACAGGCCGCCTGCCTGACATCAACCCTCTTTGGGAATGCATTAATCAGTGATGTCTAAATACTCTTATAAGTATATATGACTCGGAAATATCACATTGGTACTTGCCAGGATCAAACCCGCGCCCTCATACATGAGGCCTCGGCCTCGAATTTTGCGGGCAGCGGAGCGGCGGCGGCGGCACGGAAACGCATACTGTTCTCCAAACTAGCGGGCAGCGGGCACCGCTGTATTCGAGGGTCGATCCATTTGATTATACGCGTAAGATCCTGCCGCTCCCGCCGCCGCTCCGCTGCCCGCAAAATTCGAGGCCGAGGCCTGATAGGCGGGACTTTTAACCACTAGGACACCACTGACTTAAATTACCAGTATTAATAGAAATATTACTATTATTATTTTATTTATTTTCAGACAACAAGGTCCACGTGTTAGTTACAAAAGTACTTAATAACTATGTTACTATTTTTGTTTGTTAGTAACAATTTAAAATATATATGTATATAACTTTATATTAAGGTTTAATATAAAGATTAAATTAAACATTTTTACGTTAAATGTCAATAATTTTCCTTGTAACAGTTTGATGCACGGACTAAAGAAAAACGTTGTATAATTGACGTGAGAAAAAATGACAATATCCATTCACACACGATAAATATTAAATATAAATATTGTTTTATAAATAAAACTGATATTTTCCTAATAAAATTTAGTTAGGTAGAGAGAGGAGCTTGTACGGTGGAGGTGAGCGTTTAACGTTAGATAGCCCTTAAACCTACACCTGGGTCACAAGTCCCAGTCACTGTTGAAGCTCCTCTCACTACAACGATGGACCCGACACACGCACCGTGAATATATGGAATGATGAGAGGTTTCGTCTCTCTATATATATTAAACCTACACCTGGGTCACAAGTCCCAGTCACTGTTGAAGCTCCTCTCACTACAACGATGGACCCGACACACGCACCGTGAATATATGGAATGATGAGAGGTTTCGTCTCTCTATATATATTAAACCTACACCTGGGTCACAAGTCACAGTCACTGTTGAAGCTCCTCTCACTACAACGATGGACCCGACACACGAACCGTGAATACATGGAATGATGAGAGGTTTCGTCTACTATTTGTTATTATTAAGTTTATATAAAACTAGGTTTTTCCCGCGACTTCGTCCGCGTTAATTTCGGATTTTTTTTAACGAAAGGAATGCTTATTGGCTGTCGATCGTGCCTACATAGACCGGTAAAAGGTACATAGCGATAATGTCGTTTTGGCTAGGAGTTGAGTTCTCGTGAAAGTAAATATAGTTTTTCGCTTATATGAGGAAAAGTCGAACATTTTCCGGTATGTAAAGTAGCCTATGTGCTATTCCTGGACGTCAGCTTCCTGTATACAAAATTTTATCCAAATCAGTTCAGCCGTTTGAGCGTGAAGAAGTAACAAACATACACACACTCACAAACTTTCGCAATTATAATATTAGTAGGATATACTCAAATATCAGTGGTGGCCTAGTGGTTAAGGGGCCCGACTCTCGTTGCCGAGGGCGCGGGTTCAAACCTGGCAAGTACCAATGTGATTTTTCGGAGGCATATGTACTTTCTGAGAGTATTTAGACATCACTGACATACGGTGAAGGAAAACATCGTGAGGAAACCTGGACTTATAGTTTCACAATTATAAGTTTGAAATCACCAACCCGTCTTGAGCGAGCGTGGTGATTAATGCTCAAACCTTCTCCATGTGAGAAAGAGGTCTTGCTCAGCAGTGGCCGTTGATAGGTTGATGATGATGATGACGATGATACTCAAATATTTTGTAATTTAACAATATTAAAATAAACAATGCAAATAATTAATTGATAATTTCGATAATGTCATTTCTGTTTTTTTTTTTTTTTTTTTTTTATGTTAAAGGTGGCAAACGAGCAGACGGCCCACTTGATGGAAGGTGGTTACCGTTGCCCATTGACATCCGCAACAAAGATGTTGCGGATGCGTTGCCAACCTTGTTTTATAGGGATAGGGAGGGGTGGGAATAAGGATATTGTAGGAAAGGGTGGGAATAGGGAAAGGGCAACCGGCTCTCTCACTCATCGGACGAAACGCAGCCATTAAATGCTACTTCACGCCGATCTTCTGTGAGAGGGTGGTACTTCCCCGGTCGAGCCAGCCCGTGTTCGAGCTGTAGTAACTAAACACAGCTAGGCTCTACCACCTAATAAAACGTTTGACGCCTTTCTTTGACAATTACATAAGAACTGACAGATACTAATTGAAAAACATTATTTGTAACATTGACAAGCAAAAAAACATTGTACAGATAAGGTCAATTGAGAAAAATAATAGTTTAAATGTCAAATATAATATTTATATAGAATTATAAAGATACTTATAAAATAGTTTAATTAAAAACTAGCTTTTTCCTGCGATTTTGTTTGCGTTACTTTGAGAATTAGAAATGTATAGCTGAAGTTACAAACTCTGTTCCTTATAAAGGCAGTAAATAAGATGATTTTTTTCATCAATTTCTTTTCAATCGTATGTAAAGTATCCTATGTCCTTTCTATGTTCTAATCTATCTCTCAACCAATCTTCATCCAAACCCGTACAGTCGTTAGAGTTATAAATAGTGTATCTAACACGACTTTCTTTTATATTTAATTTTTTTTTTTTAATAAGTGAAACTTCGTAATGTTGAAATGAAAACAGGAAGGTGTAGGAATTTATTTTTAAGGATTTTTTTAGTGTTTCTTTAAAACAAACTTTATTAACATTACTTAAAACTCACATTTGAATGCTCACATTTCCTCTTGTTCTGTCTATTTCAAATTAATGAATGACATTAATTATCTGTTGAAACTTAAAATGGCAACTTAAATAAATATTTTTATTGGACAAAAAGCAACGCCAATAACTAAAAGACATAGAAACAAGATCTACTAGAATCCAACCCTAGACGATTTATGAGAATTTAGAAAAAGAAGATAGCTATTAGTAAATTGTAATATTTCGTACCTTTTTACTTCTAATTGTAATTCAAAGATTAATCCTCTGAATAAAATATAAAGAAAAATAGGTATCTGCTCTAATCATAAATGTATATTAAATACTCCTTGGTTCCTATTCCAATCTATTTGTTAATTAATATTTATGTTTCTAAATAAGTAAGAGTATAGTTGGATAAAGTGGATAATCTTGAGTCAAATTATATGCATCAGACTTGGCATATACAGGGTGACTGGTGAATTACTATCGATATTTGAGGACGTGATATTTGACGATCATATATGACAAAATAAAAATTAATATAACATAAATATTAGTAAACTTCTAAGTAAAGTTAACCAAAAGTTATGTAATTAATTACGCATCGTGTGAACACCCTCAGATTAGGTATACACACACACACACACGCGTGCGGCGGCGTGGTTTTGTATCAGCACGCCGCCGCACTCGTCCACACTTGGAACGTGTCCACACTTTATTTATTTATACGGAAATTTTGTCAAAAATTAAGTACCTATTTTTTTTACATAATTCGAATGAGAATCATGTACCGAGTATGCTCTTTAAATATTGATAGTAATTCACCAGTCACCCTGTATTGTAATGGCTGCCTCATTAAATAAATATATGTTGAAGTAAACATGATTGTAGAATTATAAATCTAATTTAGACTACAAATAAAGATAAATGTCTTTAAAGGTTACATCCTTATTGCGATTGCATTCTATTATGCAAACTTTTGTTCAAAATGGCTGAATGTACAACAGCTGTCATCTGATTCATGAAAAATACTTTTATTTAAGCAATTTTTTTATAAAAACAAATAAATTTATACAGGGTGACTGGTGAATTACTATCGATATTTAAGGATCATACTCGGTACATAATTCTCACTCGAATTATGTAAAAAAAATAGGCACTTAATTTTTGACAAAATTTCCGTATAAATAAATAAAGTGTTGACACGTTCCAAGTGTTCCAAGTGTGGACGCGCGCGGCGGCGTGCTGATACAACACCACGCCGCCGCACGCGTGTGTGTGTGTATGTGTGTGTGTGTATATACCTAATCTGTAGGGTGTGCACACGATGCGTAATTAATTACATAACTTTTGGTTAACTTTACTTAGAAGTTTATTAATATTTATGTTATATTAATTTTTATTTTGTCATATATGATCGTCAAATATCACGTCCTCAAGTATCGATAGTGATTCACCAGTCACCCTGTATATGAAAATATATGAATATAATAATCAGTGGTGGCCTAATGGTTAGAGGGTCCTGGCAAGTACCAATGTGATTTTTCCGAGTCATATATACTTTCTAAGAGTATTTAGACATCACTGATTAATGCATTCCCAAAGAGGGTTCGAGTCAAGAGAGTCGTAAAAAACAATTAGCCACAACTATTTCACAACATCTAAGCCAGACCCTGGCTATAGCTGGGAAATTGCCAGGTAGAAGAAGATATGAATATAATAATTAATTTATTAGTTATAAAATGTATATATTTTTAAGTAACTATATTTATACAATCAATGAGTTAACATGTTTGTTATTGCAACCGTCAAATGTCTTGAATTCCTACGGAATGTCAATGAGTTTTAATTTACTTATAAGTAGTCGTAGTGCTCCGTACTAAAAACATATTTGAGTCTTAAAATATACGCCATTATTTTAAGCAAACTATTTCTAGTTTTTTCTATACAGTATTAAAAAATAATACACTTTCAAAGTGTTAAGTCTTTTTTTTTATTAATTTTAATACTGTCAATATTATTTTAATAATAGTTACTTGCGCTTTTTATTGTGTTTAAAATGGACATCGGCATAGTTTGTAAGGTTTTTTCGCAAAACTTTTTGCAATGGTTATGTAACCAAACGTTGTTTTGTCATATAAAAAATAGGGTTGGTGATAAAAAAGAAAAAATTTAAGATTGAATGTATGTTTTAATGCTACGTTATGAAAAATAAAAACAAAAAATTTCGTCAGAAAATAAAAATCATAAAATTAAGGATGAACAACCCTGATGATTTAGGTGTATGAAAAATAGATGTTGGCCGATTCTCAGAGCTACTGCTCACTAAATTTCATCAAAATCGGTCCAGCCGTTTCGGAGGAGTTCTCAGCCTAACACCGCGACACGAAAATTTTATATATACATGGTGACTGGTGAATTACTGTCAATATTTAAGGAGAATACTCGGTACATGATTCTCATTCGAATTATGTAAAAAAAATAGGCACTTAATTTTTGACAAAATTTCCGTATAAATAAATAAAGTGTGGACACGTTCCAAGTGTTCCAAGTGTGGACGCGTGCGGCGGCGTGCTGATACAACACCACGCCCCCGCCGCGTATGTGTGTGTGTGTGTGTGTATACCTAATCTGTAGGGTGTTCACACGATGCGTAATTAATTACATAACTTTTGGTTAACTTTACTTAGAAGTTTATTAATATTTATATTATATTAATTTTTATTTTGTCATATATGATCGTCAAATATCACGTCCTCAAGTATCGATAGTAATTCACCAGCCACCCTGTATATTGTGTGTGTAAATAAACATGCCTAATTAAATTCAGTCAGCCATTATCAAAACTAACACACAAATAATGCGACGTTCGTTTAAGAATTTTAACTTCCTTTACATTACCTTGAAAAAAACGTAGATTTAAATAATAATCTTTGTTTTTTCATTAATTTAAATATGTATATATTAACAATTTTTTAAGATTACATCGCGATTAACGAAATTCTTTAGTATTACGCAAATTTAATATTACGAGTTAAGTAATGAGTGAGGTCGAATTTAAATATTTAGTGAACAGCTATATAACTATTATTCTTTAAATAACTGGTTTTGAAATATATCTTCTTCTTTTACCTGGCAATTTCTCAGCTTTGGCCAGGATCTGCCTTAGATGTTGTGGATAGTTTTGGCTAATTGGTTTTAGGATCGGCCGTCTACCTGACATCAACCCTCTTTGGGAATTTATATATATAAAAATGGATTGCTGTTCCTTAGTCTCGCTAAAACTCGAGAACAGCTGAACGGAATCATCTTATCTTAGTCTTGAAATGTTCGTGGAGGTTCAGGGAAGGTATAAAAGCTGAAATTTTTTTATTAATTTCCGGGAATACCCTAAAAACAGCCCATTTCTATTTCCCATATATAAACGGTTTTTTGACATTAGATTTGACTACTAACTAATATGTCAATCATTTTATCGCATTTCAGAAAATAATAATAAATAAGACAAAACACAAAAAATAATAATAAATAAGACATAATTTATTTGTTGATTGAGGCAGTACGAAGTCTGCCGGGTCAGCTAGTAGTAAATATATGTATATACTAATATCAATTCATTCTTGGAACGTACTTCGAAGTCAGCCCTAGTAGGGTCGTTTCAAATATGGTAGAGAAAGTAGCTTGGACGGTGGAAGTGAGGGTTTAACTTTAGATATGGTCCCTGGGTCACAAGTCCCAGTCACTGTTGAAGCTCCTCTCACTACAACTATGGACCCGACACACGCACTGTGAATACATGGAATGATGAGAGGTTTCGTCTCTCTATATATATTAAACCTACACCTGGGTCACAAGTCCCAGTCACTGTTGAAGCTCCTCTCACTACAACGATGGACCCGACACACGCACCGTGAATACATTGAATGATGAGAGGTTTCGTCTCTCTATATATATTAAACCCACACTTGGGTCACAAGTCCCAGTCACTGTTGAAGCTTCTCTCACTACAACGATGGACCCGACACACGCACCGTGAATACATTGAATGATGAGAGGTTTCGTCTCTCTATATATATTAAACCTACATTTGGGTCACAAGTCCCAGTCACTGTTGAAGCTCCTCTCACTACAACTATGGACCCGACACACGCACTGTGAATACATGGAATGATGAGAGGTTTCGTCTCTCTATATATATTAAACCTACACCTGGGTCACAAGTCCCAGTCACTGTTGAAGCTCCTCTCACTACAACGATGGACCCGACACACGCACCGTGAATACATTGAATGATGAGAGGTTTCGTCTCTCTATATATATTAAACCCACACTTGGGTCACAAGTCCCAGTCACTGTTGAAGCTCCTCTCACTACAACGATGGACCCGACACACGCACCGTGAATACATGGAATGATGAGAGGTTTCGTCTCTCTATATATATTAAACCTACACCTGGGTCACAAGTCCCAGTCACTGTTGAAGCTCCTCTCACTACAACGATGGACCCGACACACGCACCGTGAATACATGGAATGATGAGAGGTTTCGTCTCTCTATATATATTAAACCTACACCTGGGTCACAAGTCACAGTCACTGTTGAAGCTCCTCTCACTACAACGATGGACCCGACACACACACCGTGAATACATGGAATGATGAGAGGTTTCGTTTCTATAATACAGATTTTTGTCAAGTTTATTAAATAGAAAATTTACTTGTAAATTCAAAAGTAACTCGTCATCAGCCTATCAGAGCCCACTGCTGAGCAAAGGCCTCTTTCTCACATGGAGAAGGTTTGAGCATTTATCACCACGCTAGGTCAAGACGGGTTGGTGATTTCAAACTTATAATTGTGAAACTATAAGTCCAGGTTTCCTCACGATGTTTTCCTTCACCGTAGGTCAGTGGTGTCTAAATAATCTCAGAATAAAAATGGATAAATGATTTTAATATGTGTTTTTTTGACCTGATATCTTAATATTTACAAATTAACTTTGGCAATGACGACCATTGAATATAATTCGAAGCCTTGAATAGGCGAGGTGATTGGTGAAGATTTATTTGTATGTATCGTTTTTAGTGAATAGCAACTTTTGGTTTGAATATTTAACTAACAGCGGATATCTTAAATGTTCTTTTATCTACATTACAGAAAACATATTTTAATGAATTTTGCATTAAAATAAATCTAATATTTTCGGTTTACTATGCGTTTTTTATTATTTTAATTGTTAAACTACCCGTTTATCCATGATTACGTTTGCTGCAAAGTAACCGAAACGTCACGAGTACTCGTATGTAGTTAAAAATAATAAACTACTCGTAGTAATCCGAATAATCTTTTCCCAAAAGAGGGTTGATGTCAGTCAGGCGGCCGGTCGTAAAAACAATTAGACAAAACTATTCACAACATATAAGGCAGAGCCTGGCTAAAGCCGGGAAATTGCCAGGTAGAAGAAGACAAGTAGTAATACGAATAATATTATGTAGTTTCATTTAAATGAATACTGGAACGTCTTTATTCTCATTATTTTGTATTCAGTACTTACATTAAAAATTATTATTTATGCTTTTGACATTACGTAGGTGAAATTTGTAAGTCATAAATGATTTTAATATAATATGTATTTGATTTATAAAATCATATTTATAGTAATAATTAACGTAATTTGATGAAATTTGATATACAGATAGATAACAATTTGGAAAAGATAAGTAGATTTTGGTTCAACCATAGACATTTTTGCTGCAAAACCGCGGGTTTGTTACTTGTATTCAAAAATCTTTTTACTCGCAATCTACTTATATTGTTATTTTCAATTTAATATTTAGTTACAAATAATTGATAAATTAGTAAAAAATAAAGATTATAAGAAATATGTGTTTTTTTAATTATCTTAAAATATTAGACAACTTAATTTCGTCATTGTATATTCATGTTTATAATTTTTAAACTTCATTAATTATTCATACAAAGCCAACAATGGTCGTATTGAATTTAAAATTATTATTATAATATAAATATTTGTTAATCTTTATTATATTAGTTGTAAGAAATAATTTTACGACATTCTCAGTCAGATGACATTGACAGTGGATATTTTTTATCTTTAAACGTCAAAAATTTAAAAATAATTTTTAAAATGGATTTTTAATTATCAAAAATATATATTTTTATACATTTTATTTTAAAAAAGATATAAGCATAATCATTGATAAAACGCTTTATGAATTTCAAATTATTTATTGTTGCGAGGAAGCGTCAAAGTATAAGTACTTCTACCGTGACTTTACGTATATTCTAAATAATTTAAAGTTCTTTAAAATCTTGTATATAGTTTAAAACTTAGTAAATTATATAAATTTTTGTATATAAATGAAAGTCTTATTAATTACACTATTTATAACTCTAACGACCGTACGGGTTTGGATGAAGATTGGTGGAGAGATAGATTAGAACATAGAAAGGACATAGGATACTTTACATACGATTGAAAAAGAAACAAAATAAGTTGATCAAATACAAAATCTTTTCTCCTGTCTTTAAGGAACAGAGTTCGCCCGTATATACATTTCTAATTCTGTAACTAAGCCAGACGAAGTCGCGGGCAAAACTAGTATTTAATTGACATAAATCCCAAAGAGGGTTGATGTCAGGCCGGCGGTTGTAAAAACAATTACCCAAAACTATTCACAACATGTAAGGCAGACCCTGGCTAAAGCTGGGAAATTGCCAGGTAGAAAAAGATAAATCACACTGAGTTTTGAGTTAACGAAAACAAAATGGCGTATTCAGTGACATAAGTCGTATGTCATTAATTTTAGGAGTGGTTTTAAACTTGCAAGTTAATGATGAATAGTTTAAAATATTATGAAATTGATTTTGTAACATCTCAAGTACTGATTTCGCTGTTCTGGTAATTGTAATGGTTTTTAATTTTTATGTTTTGCTTCGCTTTTAAATTAGCACTTTTTTATTTTGAGAAAAAAACAATTATTGAAGTAATTTATGCAAAATAAATATATGTATACACTTTTAAATGCATTTATATATTTTTCAAGAGTTGTGAGTCGCGAATGAATATTCCATAAAAGAAGTTTTATTCTTAAATTCAATTTAAATAAATGGAGTAATAAAAAAAACCTTATAATCGGACATTTATGTAGTCGATATTTCTCCTATAAAAATCATTTTTGAACCATCTCCTTCGTGTTTCAACACAGTACTCAGTAGTAATCCCTACTTATATTATAAATGCGAAAGTAACTCTGTCTGTCTGTTACGCTTTCACGTCTAAACCACTGAACTGATTTTAATGTAACTTGGTACAGAGATAGAGTTGACCTTGAGAAAGAACATAGGATAGTTTTTATCCCAGACTTTTGAAAGGTTCTCTTGGAAACACGATATAATCGAACTCCACGCGGGCGAAGCTGCGGGCGGAAAGCTAGTTAAATATAATCGCGTATTTATTACAATATTACCTTTAATAAACTTCGCAGTCGATTGAAAACTGTATAATGTATTTGAGTCTTTAATTTGACGTAAAAATTACTGAAGTCTAAAAATTTTTTTTATTAAAACGTACTGTTGGTGTATTATTTTAATCTTATGAATGACAAAATCTGTGTCTAAAATATTAATTATACATTGCTTATGTTAATATACCCATTTTTTTATGCTAAGGCTCTATTCGCACTGGAATCGTGAAATATTTTGCTAATATCGACGTGTTTAATTATTTGACGAATTATAATCTTGAATGCTGTGTGGAAACACGAATTTTGTCGAATTGAGTAAAGGAATTTATTTAATTAATATTATTTTAATAACCTTTTTAGATTCTCAGCAGCGTTTTCTGTCAACGGGACGAAATAATAAGAAATGATTTTGACGGACCCTACGAAGACGGCTCCTTCAAATGGGCTATACAGACTGGTTTGTAATTAAAACCTAACATAATTATTAATAAAACTAATTAATATATAAAAATTATTTAAAAAGGACTTAAATTAAACTAATATTATTTGTAGAACTGATCGTATTTTATTGTTTAAAAATCTATATACTTCACATCTCGTGTTAATGATCACGATTACTGTAAAGTAACCGAAACGTCGGGAGTATGTAGTTTTAAAATAATAAAATACGCGGAGTAAGCAGAATAATATTAGTTTCATATAAATTAATACTCGTAAGTCTTAGATCTCATTATTTTAAAGACTTTATTTTGATTTATCAAAAAGCATTCTCCATTTTGAATTATAGTTTTGGTTTTGTTTATGGTGAGTTTTTAATTCCATTATTCGTCAATAGAGGGCGGTATTTATCATGAACAGCGATCGACGCCTCGCCAACAAGCGCCTCTGATTGAAGGACAGTATCAGTACATTGCTCCGGACGGACAGGTATATTAAAATAATAAAAATATACAATTTAATAATAATTTCTCACTTTATTTGATAAATAAATCATATTATCCTTGTTATATCTCACGCTTATGGTTTCCTAAATATTACAGGAATATTTCACTAGATGGCGCAAATAATAATTTTGTATATCCAATATTTAACTGAAAATCTTTTGCTTTTTTTAATACGTATCTACCTAATGTTACAGTGAAACTCTCATTGCATTACTTTTTTAACTTTATATCGCAAGTCGTGTTACTTCCGTCTCCTATAAAATAATGTGTAAAGAACTTAACAAGTCCGTTATAATCAGCTGATCTTATTTTATTTATATTGAGAGAATACATTTTCATAAATCAACAATTTGTAACAAAACATTTCGTCGGGGATATTGCAAATCCTCGTAACTAGCATTGTATAATTCCGCGTATCTATATTGGAAGCAGATTATCAGAAGAAAGTTTGAGCTGAAATATTTTCTATATTAACGACTTTTAAGGTAATTTTTTCACAATCAGTAATGATTTAGTGTTTAATTTAAATAAAACTTCTTCTGATAATCTGCTTCCAATGTATATACGCGGAATTATCTAATGCTAGTTACGCGGATTTGCACTATCCCCGACCATATATCCTACTAATATTATAATTGCGAAAGTTTGTGAGCGTGTGTGTATGTTTGTTACTTCTTCACGCTCAAACGGCTGAAGCGATTTTGATAAAATTTTGTATACAGCAAGCTGACGTCCAGGAATAGCACATAGGCTACTTTACATCCCGGAAATCGGGTAACACCGTGGGGCGCAGCTAGTATAGACATATATATATAAAGCAGCTGTTCCAGAAGTGATGATATCCTTGAATCATTTGTTCCAGGTGATCCGTGTGTTGTACACAGCTGATGAGTTCGGGTTCCACCCCTCGGGAGAGCACCTCCCCACCCCGCCGCCCATCCCCCCGCAGATACAACGAGCACTAGACTACGTCGCACAACTCAAAGATAATAGGATTTAATAAAGAGATTTAAATATACTGTGGTTTGTTTTGTATAAGACTTTGATTTCATTTATCTATTATCTTGTATATATATAAAAATGAATTGCTGTTTCTTGGTCTCACTAAAACTCGAGAACGACTGAACGGATTTATCTTATCATAGTCTGGAAATGTTCGTGGAGATTCAGGGAAGGTTTAAAAGCTGAAAAATATTTATTAATTTCCGGGAAAACCCTAAAAACAGCGCTTTTTTATTTCCCATACAAACGGTTTTTTGACATTAGATTTGACAACTAACTTATATGTCAATCATTCTGTCGCACTTCAGAACACGGAGATTTATGGCTTAAAGGTAAACACCAAAAAAATAAATAAGACATAATTTATTTCTTGATTGAGGCAGTACGAAGTCTGCCGGGTGAGTTAGTAATAGTCATAATTTTTTATAAACATATAGGAAGCACACATATATGTATACATGTGTGTGTTTTTGAAAAAATAAATTTATTATCGATAATTTAAAAGTTTGTATCACTTAATTATTAAACTTTTACAGTATGTATTTAAATTCTATAATAATATAAAAAAGGTATTATTCTTCTAGGTTTTATTCTTAAATGATTCTTTTATCAGGAATTCAGTTTGATTATGAGAAATAAATCGATACCTCCCATGTAAGTTGTTGTTTGCCACAAAAATGCTATTTTGCTTTTTTTCTAAAGAATATTCTATTATGTCCACTCAGATTAAAAAAACAACATAAACACTACTTTTAAAGGATTTGTCAGACGCATAATGTTGTAATTTTCAAACGCGAACGTATTAAACTGATGTATATGCCTATGTAATTGTTTACGCGGGGCGTGAGGTGAATATATGAGTTACATACAACAGAATAAGACTTATGTTTTTCAATGTATACAGTTGTAACTATCATATACCACAAGTGATGCTATCTGGGCGCCGCGGTATAATGTTGTAAGTATTAGATACAACGCCTTTTTTAGCTTCTACTCCGGAGTAAAATGTCGTATGAACAATATAACAACAATATCTCCGCAAATAGGCATATTAATTAAAATATCTTTTAACGTTTAAGAAGACTATTATGTTAAATTTATATACGAAATTTTAAAAATCAATAAATGCAAATTTTGGTTTAATTTGAATCTATGAAACGCTCTACTGTAAAATTACAGTTTTGGAGGTATCGAAATGTTTTGTCTTGTATTGATGAATATTTTAAACGGTATTGTTTTTAAACTTTTCAAAAACATTTACGATTTTCAGTACTATTGAATATATTTTGGTTTAGTACTTTCTGCTTCTAGACCAATTGGAAAAATAGGTCTTAATTTTTTCAGAATTACATATTTCTAAACCATCTTATATATTTATGAGATTAAAAAACACAAAATATCAAATATATATCTTTATTTATTTAAATTTCTTAGTTTTTATTGAGTTAATTATGTATAAAATGGAGTAAGTATCAACAATAGTAAAAAACAATATACAACGTATATATTTATCTAAACAGTATATGTTCCGTCTCACTCATACACTAATGTCAGAACGAGACAGCGATATGATAAAAAGCTTATAACAATACATTACATAATCAAGAGAATATTGTTCAAAACATTATTATAATAGCATATCTTCCATCTCTTTCCCTCTTTCGCTAAAGGATGTTGCTATCTCGCTCAAACTATCTCCTGTCTCTTTAACACCTAAGCTTTATTATTGTCTTAAATTGCTAATAAAGATATATTTTGTCTCTTTCACTCGTCCCTGTATTTATATAGCTGTTTCGCTCGCACTAACTTACGTCCCAATTATTATTATTATTATTATTATTAAAGAATTATCCCTCTCTTTCACTCCAATACGTATTATTATTGCTATCTCGCTCTTATAACATAGCTAGCACTCAGCCTCTATAAATGGCACATTAAATTCTGAATAAAAAAAAACAAATATACAAATAAAATATACGACAAAAATAAACAGAATGGCTTTACGTATCATTTTGTACTTGACATCTTTGATTCTTGATGACTTCAAATGAAATATTAAGAAATTAAATCTTAATTAAATATATATATTTATAATTGTTCAGTCTGTTTATCTGTTAGAGGTACAACAGTCTCCCGGTAGATGGCGTTGTCCAACATTTTCTCTCCTTCAGGCAACACCCGCTTATTTTTATCTGAAACATTAAAAATATACACATATATATTATAATAATAATATTTCAAACAAAAGCTACTAACTTATCTCTCCTTGGGAAAAAGATTTAATAAATTTAAATTAAACCAAATATCTATAGTAATTAAAGTGAATAATCAATAAATATATATATAAAAGAATCCAAGCGACTGTTTGTTCCCTCCTTGCTCTTAAAATTCTAAGTAAATCTCAAAAGAAACTTTACAAGCCTGTAGATACAACCTTATACAAAGTTTAACCGACATTAAAGATAGAAGTATTATGACCCACCATCTCTTTTTGTAACGACGCTGAACAGCCCCGCGTGTAGTACAGACGAGACTAGGGCCAATGCTGCGAGGCCGCGGAAGGAGCCTCGCCCGCCACACCAACTGTACAGCAGCCCGCCCACCAGCGAACCCAATGCGAAACCTGCATATGAAACATCATTGTATTGCTGTCTCGCTCGCACTTAATGCAAAAATACATTCCGTCTCTCTCACACATCAGATTACTTAATATTGTTTTGCATCTCGCTCTTTGAGGGCCAAGAACGTGAGATTCAAAACCATCTTTATATATATAATTCTTCTGTGAGTGTGTATGTCACTGAACTACTCTCAAACGACTGGACCTATTTTGATGAAATTGTTTTGTTTGTGTGCAAGGGGATCTGGGAATGGTCTAGATTCACAATTTTGTCAACTGGGCAATGTTTTTTCATTAATTTTTAATTTATTAGTAGTTGTTGATACAAACGTTTTTTTTTACATTAAATTTGACAACTCACTAATATGTCAATAATTCTGTCACACTTTAAAACACGGAGATTTATGGTTTTAATAGGTAAACTCCAATAATATAGATAAAAAACCGTAACAGATATTTCTTTATTATAGGGCGATACGAAGTTCGCCGGGTCTTCTAGTATATATATATATATATTCAGTCTTATAAAGGGATCTTCTTCTGTAATTGTTAAAGACTATGTAAGTAAGTCTACGAACAGTTACGTGTATGTATGCATGCGTGTGTGTGTGTGTGTGTGCGTGTAACTCACCAACTCCATCATCCATGCCGGCCACTATTCCCTGCACGGTCGCGGAGTACCCCTCGGGCGCTACGGACGCCGCGTACCCCACTATGGTGGAGTAACACAACGCGTATGTAGGACCTTGCATTATACCCTGGAGTAATATATATAAGGGTAAATATACACTTAAATGTAATTTATTATATATTCTTCTTCTTCTTCCTCCTGGCAATTTTCTACCTTTAGCTAGCATCTGCCTTACATGTTGTAAATAGTTTCGGCTAATTGTTTCTACGACCGGCCGCCTGCCTGACATCAACCCTCTTTGGGAATGCGTTTCATTTATTATATGTATATTCTTTTACGATATAATATCACTTAATTAAAAAAATTTTGCAAACGATTTCAAAAACAAATATCAACAGAATTATTCCAGAATCGAAAACATCTTACAAAAAAATTACATAACTATTAAATTTAATCTAAAGTAAATTTTTAACAATAAAACGAAACATCCTATATTTAGTTATATACAAGAGATGTCGCTAGTATATATATGTGAGCCGCTACTGGCCGCTAGATGTCGCTACCTCAATGAACACGAGGTGCCAGGGATGCTGTATGACGGAGATGAGCGCCATCCTCACGCTGTAGCAGAACAGAGACACGGTCATCGTCACTCCGTAGCCCCAGCGTTTGATTATTTTACCTGGTATATATAAAAAACGAATTATAATATATGTCTTCGGGGATAGTGAGAAATCCGCGTATCTACATTAGGAGCAGATTATCAGAAGAAAGTTTAAGCTGAAATATTGTCTATATTAACGAATTTTAAGGTAATATTTTCACAATTAGGAATTATTTAGTGTTTAATTTATAACTAATTGTGATAAAATTATCTTAAAAGTCTTTAATATAGAAAATATTTCAGCTTAAACTTTCTTCGTGTGTGTTTAAAAATTTTCACTTATATGAAGCTAATATTGTTCGTATACTACGCGTATTTCATTATTATAACTAAAAACTCCCAGAATTACGGTTAATTTTCAACAACCGTGATCATTAAGACGAGATGTGAATTATTAGTTACATTTAAATGAATACTCGTGAAAGTTTTAGATCTCATTATGTTCATTTATGTAATATATAATATTCATTAAACTTACATAATGGAATATACATCATAATATGTGTATTAATATGAAAAAGGTTAATCAATTGGGTCATAACAGTATTATTGTGTGACCGATTGCTTTAAACGGTCATAGTACAACCAAGTTTAACATCAAGGTCAATAAAACATAACTTTTTAAACGTAACTAATATACTAATTTTTGCCTACTTTTTCTGCGTTAAATTCTTCATTAGTAATATTACATATATGTACAGCTGACCGGATGAACTCTATTCCTCCCTAGAGGCCATAAATAACCAGATATTGGAATTTATAAAGTTTGTTTTTCTGTTTCGATCGAATGGATATAATTTATAAAGTATCCTATGTCCTTTCTATGTTCTAATCTATCTCTCCACCAATTCATCCATATCCGTACAGTCGTTCTTGAGTTATAAATAGTGTAACTAACACGACTTTCTTTTATATATGTAAGATAAATTTAAATAATAATTTGAACATTTCCCTACACTCACCAGAGAAGTAGAAAAACACTAGCTCCCCTATAAAGCTCTGTGCTGCGACAACAACGCCCTCTATCAGCTTAATCTTCGCCATTGAGTCCGTCTGCTCCGCCAGCTCCTCTAAAAACCTTTAAAACAGGAGATTGAGAAAGAAATACTTATAATTAACACATTATATTACCTACTACCGTTTGCTCGCGACTTTGTCAGCAAAAGTAAGCAAAGCTCTTACCTCCTTCCCCCATGCTTACGTAAACATTTTCAGTTACTGTATTGTTTTTCATATAAATCCAGAAAATAATTATAATTATATTTTTTATGGATCTTCTCGATGTGACGATTAAAAAGTAAATAACTACCGATGATAATCATCACCTAGACTCCCCTACCCCCATGTCATTCAAAATAAGCAAAGCAAAGACCCACCGCCCCTCCATAGTGCTTACGTAATACTTGAACGACCCCTTACATTTAATTTTTAAGCAAATTTTTCTTATACAAAACTCAACCCAAATATCTACAGACGTAGTCGCGATCATAAGCTAGTATATATAATATATATTACCAGAACATATAATATATGATGAAACTGTCAAAAGTGCCGGCGACCACCGCAAACGTTATGAACAAAAGCACGCGTGGTATCTTCAAAACCTCGCGAAGAGCCTTCCCCGAATCATCTGGACTTGATAGCGATGGCAGCTTGAGATATTAAAAAAACATTATTTAGATCAATAATCAATATATTTTAATTATATATAATTCTTCTGTGAGTGTGTATGTCACTGAACTTCTCTCAAACGACCGGACCGATTTTGATGAAATTTTTTGTGTATGTTCAAAGGGATCTGGGAATGGTTTAGATTCACAATTTTGTCCGCTCTACAATGTTTTTTTAATTAATTTTTAATTTATTAGTAGTTGTTGATAAAAACGTTTTTTTTAACATTAGATTTGACAACCAACTAATATGTGAATCATTCTGTCGCACATCAAAACACGGAGATTTATGGCTTTAATAGGTAAACTCCAAAAATATAAATAAAAAAACGTAACAGATATTTCTTGATTATAAGGCGATACGAAGTTCGCCGGGGCTTCTAGTTTTCATTGAATTAATATCATTAAATTCTTACATTCAGTTTCCTACAGGCTGTTAAATCTATCGCTGTAGCTATTATGGCTATGAGGAACGCCGGGGTGAAATCCTTGTATGTCCCTGATACGATGTCTATTAGCCAGCCTCCGAGTAACGCTGTTACCCCATACCCCGCGGTACCCCAAGCTCGTTGTGCCCCATACTTTGACCCTCTTTCGGGACCTGTAAACCAGATTTATATATGTATAAATAAGCAATACTTTATAAAACGAAAAGTGACAAATTCCTACATATTCTGAATTATATATGTCTGTACTAAAATGTTTACCGAAATTCCTATTAAATTCTCAATTAACAAAGCTGAAATATAGCAAAAGTCCCAAAAAATCTAACATAGGAATTCCATAGTCTAATCCCAAAAGGCGACCAAAACTACGCGCAAAATTTAGAGAAATAAAGCATATAATTTGCAGAGAAATTACAATGCTTACCCAAAACATCAAAGCAGACAGCATCACCTATACAGTTGGCCACATTAAACGCGACTGTTCCCAAGCACATCAGAACTACGAATGCCCAAAACTTGGCCGACGAATAAAAACTACCCTCATCTTTATATCTTCTATCCTCTTCTAACACACCCACACCATCAACACCTGAACTATTCACGTCTCTTTTACTCCTATTCTCTATGACATCCTCGTAACATATCAAATTGCAATCACCTTTCGGTATGCAAATCGTCTCTCCCTCTCTAACTTCATCCAACGTCATGTGAAAGAGCGAGCAGGATATATTTCCGTCGTCCGTATAGACCGTGTTGATGAACGTAGCGTTGGATAGATATAATTTGAAATCTTCATCATCAGAGCAGTTCCAGTGGCAAGAATATTTCTCCAATAAACCGTCTTTCCTTTCGTAATGCTTCAAGTAAACTGTATCATTGAGATGGTACACTGACTCCAATAATGGAAATTTTGCCTGGGGTTCCTCTGGCATTGGCAAAAACCACAAACCGCAATAAGATCCCGTCATCACTAGAATTAATAGCATGAATACAAGCTTCCTTTGTCTCTGAAATAATAAAAATAACATAAAATAGACCAAAAAGTACAAAAAACTCTTCTCTCGTCTTAATGGAGTAGAAAAACGATTTTTGCCTGAATGTAACTTTTTTAGTATAACTATATTTAACTGATATAAAGGGAATAATACCGGCCAAAAGTCGACCACGTAACCAAATAATGGTTTTGCAGCTGCCCATAGTAGAGGCAGAACAGCTGTAACCATTCCCATGACAGCTGGAGACACTCCCAGTTGTCTGCCGAACACGTTCATTTGGGGAAGAAGAGGTCCTAGTGCTGGAATGGAAAAGATCCAGAATTTACCAAATTTGCAATAAAATTCAGTTTTATATGCATAGGTTGTGATTTTTGTCATATCGCAGCTTCGCCCGCGTGGAGTTCGGTTATATCGCGTTTCCAAGAGAACCTTTCAAAAGTCTAGGATAAAAACTATCCTATGTTCTTTCTCAAGTTCGACTCTATGTCTGTGCCAAATTTCATTAAAATCAGTTCAGTGGTTTAGGCGTGAAAGCGTAACAGACAGACAGAGTTACTTTCGCATTTATAATATTAGTAGGGATAGTCCAGCCTTTCTCAAAGTTTACGATAACGCTACTTTATGGTCCCTGCAAGCCTAAAGAGGGTGAAAGGATATGTTACGGTGGTTTTTTAGTAGATGAAAAATTGTTCACGCTAAAAAAAAATTGTTTAGTCTCAAAGTGGGTATACAAAATAAGTTTGGGAACACTTGTATTTGTTTAACATTGCGTGTATGAAGTATGCTTAAATAATTCTTATTTTTAGTACTTTTTGAATGATATTTAAGTATATTTAAATAAATGTATAATCACTTAGCAATTAAACAGATATTTAACATAGGCTTTTTGTTCCAATATGAAATAGTGACTAGTTCTTCATACGTAAACCCATAACTACATACGCGACGACTTATGTTTTAACTATAAACTCTGAGTATTTCGTTTAATTTTGAAAACTAGTCGTAAGATTAAATCTTCTATGTTATCCACAAAATCATATACCAATGTTCCAAATAATGCCTTTTTTTTTCACGAACGAACCCGCGTGCAAAAGCTAGTTTATTACGCAAATAGATACGAGCATATAAAAGCATTTAAATTGTTTATTGTACATATAAATTTGTTTAAAGTCTTAACAGATAAGTTAAAGATAGTTTGTGGTACAAATAGATCGTTTTATTATGATAATAATAGTCTATTTGAGAAAGAGGATTAAGCATGATACGGCCAATTATTTTGATCTATATATATAAAATTAAAGTTGTGTTAGTTACACTATTTATAACTCAAGAACGGCTGTACGGGTTTGGATGAAGATTGGTGGAGAGATATATTAGAACAAGGAGACGGATATAGGATATTTAATTATGTTCGCTTGAAAAAGAAAAAAGCTTAATAAATTCTAACATCTGGTTATTTACGGCCTCTAGGACGGAACAGTCTTCGCCCGGTCAGCTATACATATATTACTAATTCCGAAACTAACGCTGACGAAGTCGCGGACAAATACTAGTATATAATATTTCTGTATAATCGTGAATACATTAATTATCGTCATCAAATAATGAATTTAGTACAATCTAAAACAACCCTCAAAAATAGATATCAGGTATAACATATTTTGATATACACCTAACAAAACTTTTCTATCATATCACACACACACACACACACGCACATGCACACGCACACACACACACACACATACACACACACACACACTTGCGTTTTCTACTATGATTTGCGGAACCCTAATCGTAATTGCCATACAGTGGAATGCCGCTCTGTACAATGTTAAGGTAAATGAATTCAAATGTATTATGAACTAGTTTTTGCCCGCGACTTCGTCCGCGTTAATTTCGTCATTAGTAATATATGTATAGCTATTCCGCCCTAGAGAACATAAATAACCAGATATTACAATATTTTTTTCCTTTTTGGATCGTACAGTATTAAATATCCTATGTCCTTTCTATGTTCTAATCTATCTCTCCGCCAATCTTCATCCAAACCCGTACATTCGTTAGAGTTATAAATAGTGTAACTAACACGACTTTCTTTTATATATATTTAAAATATCATCTATGTAAGTAACGCCGGGTCAATTCCAAAAACCTAGTCTAGTAAATTAATTGTCTTTATTATCATTATATTTAGCTAATATTATCTTATCTTTTTAAAACCTGATAACATAGTAATCTTTATTACTGACTGATTGTATAATATTTGTAAATGTAAATTTATCTTAGAGACGTAATATGTGTAGAAGATTGAATGATTAAAAATTATAATAAACAAGCTTTCCGCCCGCAGCTTCGCCCGCGTGGAGTTCGGTTATATCGCGTTTCCAAGAGAACCTTCCAAAAGTCTGGGATAAAAACTATCCTATGTTCTTTCTCAAGGTCAACTCTATACCTGTACCAAATTTCATTAAAATCAGTTCAGTGGTTTAGGCGTGAAAGCGTAATAGATATACAGGCAGACAGAGTTACTTTCGCATTTATAATTCTGAATTTTACTGTATGTGTGTACCTATGTCACTTAACTTCTAAACGGCTGGACCCATTTAAATAAATTGTTTTACATTTAATAATATTGATTATGGTCATATTAGAGACGAAACCTCTCATCATTCCATGTATTCACGGTACGTGTGTCGAGTCCATCGTTGTAGTGAGAGGAGCTTCAACAGTGACTGTGACTTGTGACCCAGGTGTAGGTTTAAGGGACCCTATCTAACGTTAAACGCTCACCTCCACCCTCCAAGCTCCTCTCACTACCAAACCGAAAAGAACTTACTAAAAAATTATGAATGAAATAATCTTAATTCTTTCCATTTAGTGTATTATGAAATTTGGAATCAGTATAAAAGTATGCAAATGTTAAATTACGTAAGTAAATTTACGTAAACCATCATAAATTACGTAAGTAAATACTTAATGAATACTTAAAAAGCAGACAGATTATTTATTTTAATCATTTGTAAATGATAAAAATTGTCATTTCACCACTTAGACCTAAAATCGGTTAGGCGCCTTTCACTCCACTAAATCCGCTGTAATGCGACATGCGATAGGTAATTTAAAATTTGGGACATAATAAACACTACTTAATTTAAAAAAATAATTTAACAAATGCTGTAGCATTATTTTTATATTGAATACTAGCAGACCAGCCGAACTTCGTATCGCCCTATAATCAAGAAATATCTATTACGTTTTTTTATTTATATTTTTGGAGTTTATCTGTGAGCCATAAATCTCCGTGTTTTGAAGTGCGACAGAATGATTGACATATTAGTTAGTTGTCAAATCTAATGTCAAAAAAAAACCTTTGTATGGGAGATAGAAAAGGGTCGTTTTTAGGGTTTTCCCGGAAATGAATCAATTTTTTTCCGCTTTAAAACCTTCCCTGAACCTCCACGAACATTTCAAGACTAAGATAAGATAAATCCGTTCAGCTGTTCTCGAGTTTTAGCGAGACTAAGGAACAGCAATCCATTTTTATATATATATAGAAGATTATGTATAATAGTTAATTTTATCTCTGTATATTTTGAACGAGATAACAGATAAAATAGATATGTATTCTACATATATAAAGATATTTAGGCACTATAAGTCTTCTTCTACCTGGCAATTTCACAGCTTTAGTCAGGGTCTGCCTTACATGTTGTGAATAGTTTTGGCTAATTGTTTTTACGACCGGCCGTCTACCTGATATCAACCCTCTTTGGGAATGCATTAATCAGTGATGTCTAAATACTCTTATAAAGTACATATGGCTCGGAAAAATCACATTGGTACTTGCCCGGGGCAGGATAGAACCCGCGTCCTCGAGCATGAGAGGCGGGCCTTTTCACCACTAGTCCACCACTAACTATTTAGGCTCTATTAAGTAAAACCTATTTTCTATCGACAAAACAAACATTACATGTAGGTTTTATATTTTTTAATATTATAGTATAAATCTTTAATTTGAAACAATATCAGTATATTCCACATTAAATATAATTCTCTGAAAGTGTATCTTATTTCAATAATAATAAGAGTCATTTCACTTTGAAAGCGAAGATATACTCAAATTGAGGATACGACAATTACGCTACCTTGAACTTCGAGCGTCAAACTCAATTTGGCGGTTTTAATGACATGTCAAACGCTAGGGTTGAAACAAATGTTTATTTTAAATTGGATACAGCCAAATTAATATAAAACAATTTTAATTTATAAACGATAATTACTTCATAAATATAGAAGTACAGAAAAAATAATACGTAATTTTTTAATTATGATTTTTTAGATTATTTTTTTAATCTCAATTTCTATCGAGCTGACAACCCTATTTTAATTTAATTCTACGAGTGAATGTTTTGTCTGAATACTAATGGACCTTTGCCATTCAATGTGATCCTAAAAAACATATAACAGTACTTTGTATGAATGTCAACATTTTGGCGCCGAAAAAAAAAGATGGCGTCATTTAATTTACAAAAATTAAGCTCATTTAGAAGATAATAATAACATATATTGGGGACCCTTCACTCATTATACATAGTTCCCGCAGGAACATATCAAAAAGATTTGCTTACTACAAGTGTGTATGTTCATACTACTTACGATACGTTTAGAGTTTTCAATCATAAATCCTCACACATATCGTTAGTTGAATGAGAGACGACAAACTGTAAGTATGTAGTGACGATGGAAACTTGTGCTAAGGGTACAATTGTTCTCTATACAGTCTTCTTCTACCTGGCAATTTCCCAGCTATAGCCAGGGATTGCCTTACATGTTGTGAATAGTCTTGGCTAATTGTTTTTACGACCGGCCGCCTGCCCGACATCAACCCTCTTTGGGAATTCAACTCTCTATACATAGTTTCGTGACATAATATATAGAGATCACTTGAGTTATATACTGTATATACATCTACTACATATACTAGCTTTTACCCGAGACTCCGTCTGTGTGAAACTCAAATTTGTTCTTTGCCATTTCAGCCACTGAACCCGAATAGCACTTCATGTTTCAACTCGTGTAATTTCATGTCGGAATGAAATATTTAATAAGTTGATTATTTGATTTCGAGAGCTATCACGATACAAAAAAATGGTGCACAATTTGACCGGCGTAATTTCGGTATTGGAATTCAGGATAGTAATAAAAGTTAGCCTATGTCCTTCTCCAGGTTTCCATCTATCTATAAACCAAAAACACTATAAGTCGGTTCACTAGTTTTGGCGTCAAAACATAACATACAAATAGACAGAGTTACTCATTTGTAAAATTAGTAGGTATAACAAATAATCCTTCAAAGACAACATAACAATTAAGTAATAATATTAAATAATTAACAAATAAAACAATAAAACAGGCCGGAGTCATTATAGTAATTACAAGATAACTCAGTATTATAATCGTTTTTTAGTATTACTTATAATTACTATTATTTTAACAAAAAAATTATTTAAGAAGGTTAATTGTCTTTATAATTATAGTAACTTTCTCTGAAAGATTATGCCCGCTTAGAATTCATTATTGGGTTCGAGAGAAGGTAATAAATAAAGTGGAATTGAGTATATATATATAAATATATCTATATATATAAAAAAGAATTGCTGTTTGTAAGTCTCACTAAAAAGACTAGAAAATTAAAATAATATATGTATGTATATATACCCTTTATTATTTATGTAATAAAGGGTATTGATAAAGATATATAGAGTTATTGTCCTCTTATCAAAGTTTTATATTATCAGCATCATGAATGCAAGATTGTATATTTAAATATATTTATATCTTTTATCTCAAGTTAAAACCTAGCTTAAGTTACAACTCTTATATTTAGAGACATTTAATTAATTACTGATATATATTTATATAAATGTGCACACATCTTTGTCTACTTTTAATAATTTTTACTATAAATTATATGTTGATAAAAAAATAACTATTTTTTAAATGAAAACCTATTGAGTCACTTCTTATTATATCATTTATATGCCAGTGAAACATATATTAAAACAAGGCAGAATTAAAACTATTTTAAATCTATATACATATATATAATAAGATAAGTGGATTTTTTTGTCACATATTTCATTGTTAGTATATGTAATAAATAATTTGATGACAAAATTTATGAAATAAATAAAAAATAAACAATATTATAATTATATATATACATGATTAGGCTCATGACAGAGATTGAAAATGATTTGTTAACAATAGTGGAACAAGAAACTAAAAATATTCATTTATGATATTTTTTTATTAATAATCAGATATAAGGAGGTTTTATTACTAAATATAAGTAATTAAATTATTTTAATACAAATAATTTTTATGTATGACTTTATTATAAGACTCGTTAGTATGTTACAATAAAAATAGCGTCGAAATCTCATTTGCATGACGGGTTTCGTAGAGAAAGTTGTTTATTGTATTGCGTATTAAAAATAATACTATATCATACGAATTAATTAATTCTGTGTATTAATATTAATAATGTTGCATGAATTTTGACTCACCTGCGAAGAAAAAGAAGAAATGTATCTTCACTGGCAACAGACCTTTGTCTATTTTGAACTTCATTTTTAAAAAAATATATATAAAATTATTTTATCCCGCACTAAACTTGTCACTTATTTTAATAGAAATTAAAATTATTTAAACATTTTTATAGATTTAAAAAGAGTTTAGAAAAGCAATCATTTTTAATATATTATCAAGCAGATTAGTTTAGGCTGTATGTTGTTGTTTACTTCTGAGACTGCTATCAAATAACAATTGTCATATCTATAATGGTCATGATAAAAATAGGGTTGCCATATTAATTTATTCATAGAACATATATTTATTAAATAATGTTTAAAATGTTCTATTTTGTTAAATATTATATTTTCAAGGAAAAATATTATAATATTCCATTATTTATAAATCTATCTTAGTTTAAAAAAAAATTGTAGGCTCAAAACAATCCAAGCTTATTTTGAAGTTGTTTTAATTATATCATTTAATATTGCAAAATATTAATAATGATGATTCAATGAGCAATAATCATATATATTTTAAAATGTATTAAAAATAATATTTATTATTAGTATGTATATAATATGCGTTTTTATTTTTTTATTATTTTTTTTTTAGTTGACGAATTAAGCGATCGTCATATGTCAAAACAAAGGCGGAAAAATTCGAATTTCAAAAATGGTTTTGTGAACTTTTTCAGCATAAAAAATCATGAAGAGGCCAAATATGGAGGAGGAAGAGGACTTTGTAGGTTGCATTACCTGCATGTCCACAAACGATTTATGCGACCTATTTGTTAATTACGCGAACAATGAAGAAACTTACGCCCAAATGCTTGAAACCTGTTTCGAAATAAAGGTTACATTTTTTAATTTCAACTTACATTTAGACTTCTGTGTAACGTATATATTGTCTTCAAGTCCATTCATATTACGTGTTATTTAAGGTAACAAATGATTTTAAATACATATGTGCGATTTGTGTTGAGAAACTTGAAAAATCCTACGAGTTCAAAGATCAGACGGTTAAAAGTATTGATATGCTTCAATCCATTAAAGGTAAGAATATTCACGATTTTTGATATTTAACTTTATATTTTGTTTCTCGTTTAATATTTTAAATGAATATAAGTGTTACATCTTCCATTTGCGGCAATTTCATATTTAAAGTTAGATTTTGTCTACGATTTTGCTTTCGTCTGAAATTAGGTTTCATCCCTTAGAGATTCCAATATTAGCAATACCCAGGGCTAATCGACTGTATCTATTTAGTTAATTGGTGTTTGTTAATAAATGTTGCTTGTAAATTTACTACAATATTGCTTTTTTAAACAAAATATTATACATTTAAATTTTTTCACTATGTACGTCAGTATCGTCTGTAAAGATTAATGAATCATGAAATGTTTCATCAAATCTCTTTTTAAATAAACGGGTTTCTAATATTCGACGAACCCCTTCATGCTTTGGCACAATACTCAACACTACAATTCGTCCAACAAATAAAAACATTGATATTGCCAAAATATTACTCAATTCCAGTATAAATGAAGCCATATCTTTAAATAATTCGTGTATTTAGTCATAAAACTTGTAGGCCCACGAGTCTGCCTAGTAACTATGAAATTCCGAATTATACTTTACTTAGGAATCATGCATGATTTACCAGAATCTATAGGTTTATACAACAATAAACATAGAAGTAAAAGTAACTATAAAATTAATAATTACATGATTGAACATTTATCTGCAGAATTTTAATTATTTAAATGAGAATCTAAGATTATTTTTACAGATACTAACTAATAAAAAATATTTTTATTAAATTAGATTATATACAGTCTAGTACATTCTGTGTCAAGTCTAGACTATTTGACAGTCTGGACTAGTCTAGAACTCCATTAATTGTTTGTAAACATATTTCTTTAGAGGAAGAGTATTTGGACGAGGCAATCTTTGATGATCCGGACAAAGAAAAGTCCAGGAAAGCCGATTTGAATTATGAGGATGGTAATTAAAATTACATTAATATTAGTCTATTTGTGTAATTGAAGACGAAACTATTAATTAACTGGAATTAGATTAAGTTAGTAAATATATAATGAAGAAATTATTGACAAGGACCTGTAACTTCTGCAATATGACAAAGCAGCTGGAAAAAGACTTCCAGGTATTCCAGAGTTACAGGATTGTGTCCTGGATTGTGAATGTATTTTTCAATATATATATTGTATTTAAATATCAATTTATGTATATATTACTCGGTGATCCAAAAACTATTAAATAATTCTTGGTGAAGCTGAATCTAGCTACAATTCTTCAAGCTTATGTCTCTTATACCTGATAGCATCCTGCCCAAAGACAAGGTTGATAACAAGGAATCAATAATTTGCTATATCTATTATAAGATTTTTATGTATATTCTAGTTAAATTTGTTCTCATATATATAGTATCCCTACTAATATTATAAATGCAAAAGTAACTCTGTCTGTTACGCTTTCACGCCTAAACCACTGAACTGATTTTAATGTAATTTTTTAATTGGTACAGAGATAGAGTTGACCTTGAGAAAGAACAGGATAGTTTTTATCCCAGACTTTTGAAAGGTTCTCTTGGGAACGCGATATAACCGAACTCCACGCGGGCGAAGCTGCGGGCGGAAAGCTAGATTTTTATAAATTTAGTAATAACTATAATATTTAAATTACAACTGATTTGATGAAGTTAATAAATATCATAGATGAAGAGCATGAAATTGAAGCTCTAGATGAAACTCGCTGCATCTACTGCGACCTTCAGCTGGGGACGTCAGAGGAGGTCCAGCACCATGTGAGGCTTAGACACGGCCTGGAGCCCCGGACAGGGCGCAGGGTGACGCAGTGCCACCTGTGTGGGGCTTCGCTGAGGGACCTGGCTGATCACATCAATAGGTGACGCTAGATAGAGTTAAATAGTCTTTTGTATAGACCTTTATTAAGAATTGATAAGTCACTAGCCACTTCAGACCCTGGCTAAAACTGGGAAATTGCCAGGTAGAAAAATAGTCGCTAGCCATGTTAGCATTACAAATATATGTATTCTTTAACTTTAATTTTCTAATTGGATTAATCTTAATATTTTCCTTGCTGTCCCTGATTCCTTCAAACCTTTTGGAAGTTCATAAGAACAAACCTATCTATAAATCTTTATTTAGAACCGATTAGCAATAATAGCTTTTTCCTATAACTTAGACTCTAATTATCCATAATATTTCCCATCCTATCTCTATTCCTTTCATACATCATCCTATCAGAGCCCACTGCTGAGCCTCTTCTCATATGGAGAGGGTTTGAGCATTAATCACCACGCTCGCTAAAGACGGGTTGACAATTTCAAACTTAATTTGATATTATAAGTCCAGGTTTCCTCATATTTTCCTTCAACAGTCAGTGGTGTCTGATAGAACAATTCATACAACGAAACTTTCATTAAAATCCATTTCCTCTCTAGATGCCACAGCAGTTCGGAGACAGAGCGCCAATACGGATGCCACTTCTGCGACAATGTCTACAACAGCAAGAAGGCTTGCTTCACGCATCTAAGGATGAAGCACGGACGTGAGGGATAGTTGTATAGTGTTATGATGATGAAGTAGGGTAGCTAATGTCCATAATTATAGAACAGTTCCCGAATATTCTATAGGAAATAAATAATAGGAATTTTCCGATGATAGGAACAGTCGGGTGATATGATAATAGGAATTTTCCCGCAATAGGAACAGTCGGGTAATAGAAAATTTTCAAAGATAGGAACCTTCTGACTATGGAAAGGTTTTGATGCTACTGATATCAGGGCCAATCAGGTGATAGTTAGTATTTCCACGCAGTAATAATATTTCTGCTGTATTCTACTCTAAATGACCCTTCATAAACTATAAATAGCTATCAAATAAAAAACAAAAGAATAAAAGTTTTTTTATCCCTGCTAATATTATAAATGTGAGAGTAACTCTGTCTGTCTGTCTGTTACGCTTCCACGCCAAAACCACTGAACTGATTTTAATGTAATTTTTTAATTGGTACAGAGATAGAGTTGACCTTGAGAAAGAACATAGGATAGTTTTTATCACAGACTTTTGAAAAGTTCTCTTGGAAACGCGATATAACCGAACTCCACGCGGGCGAAGTTGCGGGCGGAAAGCTAGTGTTTGAATTTCCTATCTATATAAAATGTATCAATAGTTAGGTCTTAATCGTAATTATGCCTTTACCTTATTTAGTTGTCCAATGGCTACAATTAATTCCTAATTCGCTCATAAAACAGAAAATATGGCTTATAGACAGCTTATGACCTGGTCCCATATAATATATCAGTATTTCTATAAAATGCCTTAGTTAAGCTCTGCAATGACCACACTCCGAAGTATTCGTCTCGAGATAGGAAGAAGTGTCACATCTGTGGCAGAGACTTCAGCCAGAAGCAGATTTTGAACAACCATCTGTGGAAAGCTCATGGATTCGAGGTTTGTATCACACGAAGATATTTGCAAAGAAATATTAGTCATATAACTTGATTTGGCTAGGATATATATAATATTTTACAGTGATGGGCTCTAAAAACTTAGGATTGTTTGATTTTTTTAAAGTTTTGATTAAGATTTTTATATGAAAATACAGTTTGGTTTATCTTTTTCTTTTGTGAAACAATCAAATAATTATATTTTTCCACTTTACAAAGCCATAAAGTAATTTTTCGTGTCACATACTTACTGAAAGTATAAAAAATACATAGAAGTAGTACATTCACTATTTTTCGGTTCAGACTTAGTACGAAATAAATTTTAATTATTAACTATACAAATATTATAAAACGAAACAAATAATACAGCCTGTATTGAATAGTCTAAACGTGTTTGTTTAAAAACTGCTGACTCGATTTTGATTAAACTTAAAATCACAAGGTTCTTATAGTATTTATGACTGATCAAATCTAGGTAGCTAAATTAATAAAAAACATTATGATCCCAGGTATTCTTCCGACCTGTCCTATTCTTGACCAGGTCTATCTTAAACAAAGAGCCTACGCACACAGAGCGGTCAGTAGTTCCGCGTTCAGGAGTTCTAGGTTCTGCGTTTAAGAATTCCGAATTCCGCGTTCAGGAATTCGAATTCCACGTTCAGGAGTTGCGAGTTCCGCGTTCATTAGAATATACCGAGTCTATAACGTCCATAGATCGCAGTTTGACCTTCAGTCTCTGCATTAAGTAGCCTTATACTAAACAAAATCCCGCTAGGTGGAGAAGCGCAAGGCGTTCTTCTGTCCGTTGTGTTCGGAGCGCGTGAGTTACGGCGCTAACTTCAGCGCGCACCTCTCTCAGCAGCACGACGTGACCGAGGACGTGGAACAGCTGGAGTTCAGCTCTATGGACGGTGAGTTGTGGTAGAAGCGGTTCTTTCGCCGGTTCTTCTCAGGTCAGGGCATTTTGTTTTCCGAACCGGTGGTAGTGTCTCAAGTGACCTTCAATAAGAAAGTGTAATGCTTATATATTGAATAAAGTTGTTTGAGTTGAGTAGGGGACCTGCAAGAGTGTGTGGGGGAGAGTTGATACTTATATACAGGGTGACTGGTGAATTACTATCGATATTTGAGGACGTGATATTTGACGATCATATATGACAAAATAAAAATTAATCTTCTATATATATAAAAATGGATTGCTGTTCCTTAGTCTCGCTAAAACTCAAGAACGGCTGAACGGATTTATCTTATCTTAGTCTTGAAATGTTCGTGGAGGTTCAGGGATGGTATAAAAGGTCAGAAAAATTGAATAATTGCCGGGAAAACCCTAAAAACAGCCCTTTTCTATTTCCCATACAAACGCTTTTTTTGACATTAGATTTGACAACTAACTAATATGTCAATCATTCTGTTTGATTGAAACAGGAAAAACCTGATTATTTATGGCCTCTAAGACGGAATAGAGTTCGCCTGGTCAGCTATACATATATTACTAATGATGAAACTGACGCGGACGAAGTCGCGGGCAAAAACTAGTATAACATAAATATTAATAAACTTCTAAGTAAAGTTAACCAAAAGTTATGTAATTAATTACGCATCGTATGAACACCCTACAGATTAGGTATACACACACACTCACACACGCGTGCTGATACAACACTACGCCGTCGCACGCGTCCACGCTTGGAACACTTGGAACGTGTCAACACTTTATTTATTTAAACGAAAATTTTGTCAAAAATTAAGTGCCTATTTTTTTTACATAATTCGAATGAGAATCATGTACCGAGTATTCTCCTTAAATATTGATAGTAATTCACCAGTCACCCTGTATATATATATCATCATCAACATTATCAGCCTATCAGAGCCCACTGCTGAAAGGCTTCTTCTCACATGGAGAAGGTTAGAGCATTACTCACCACGCTCGCTCAAGACTATATACGCTATTTAATATATATATTTAATAGTAGTCTATATGGAATCTGTGATATACAAGAGAGATAATAAAGTGTGTGTGTGTGTGTTATAATTAGTTTTATGCTCGGAATCTAGTATAAAATGGGTATAAATAATGACTTTTCTGTTTTACATTTTTTATTTAAGGAAAATATTCGACTGGATACTTTAAAGAATAGTCTTTTTGGAAATTTTATGTCAATGTTATATTAAGTCCTTTTTTTATTAAATACCTACTCTCAAAACTGTCCGTTACAATATACCAGGAATACTATTGAAATAGAGATTTTACTTATATTTTTCCGCAATTTGTGTGTGTATTCTCCCCCAATTGTGTATGTATTCTCCCCCAAATGCCATTTCCAAACAGATTTCATGCTGTACAAGAGCGCTATTCAAGAGGAAACCAAGTTTAGGTTCAGGAAGACGACAGCCAGCAAGCAGACCATAGAAGGAGTCAGGTCACACTACATGTGTAGCCAGTCGGGGATATACGTGTACCAGGTAAGGGTAAGATGAGGTAAGTAACTAGGGTAACTCACACACAGTGTGGTAAGGAAATGTGAGAAACATATATAGAATAATATAAAAAAACTGTTTTATTCTGAACAAATGCCATGTTTCAGATTTTTAAGCTCATTAGACTATAGGTGCGACATTTTATTTATTTTAATAATAAAATTGATATGTAGTAATAATATTTTTAATATCCATATAACAAAATCTTATTAAATTTTGATATATTTTTCTGAACATCTGTCATGTTAGAGATTTTTTTACCTCATTGGACTATAGATACAATAAGCATATTTATTTCATTTTAATACATCTTATTACAGTTATTTTCTTTATAACATTATTCTGAATTACAGTAACGTTTTAAATTTAAACTCATTGGACTATAGGTGCAAAAAATACATATATTCCTTATTAATAATATGTCTAGTAATAATAGCTATAACAAATTGTCGGGTATGTTTTACCCAGGGTAAAGGTAAACGCCCCGCGCCCGAGCGTCAGATCTACAAGACGGGTAAGGCGTGCCCGGCTCACATGATAGTGACGGAGACCTTGGACAGGGTGCTCGTCACCTTCTACAAGACGCACGTGGGACACGGCAGTTAGTACACAGATTATAAAACTACCCACATAAAACACGCAACTAAAACTACCCACATTAAAACACACACAGTACTCTGCACGCTTGTAAAGTTCACTATCATACTCAATACATAGAAAAAGACTGACAGTAAAAAAGGCACAAAAATATGTTGTTCATTTAGAATAAAAGACTATTCCACCGAATATAGAGTTATATCAGTATTAAGTATATGTTGATAATCAATCAATGTATTACTTATAAATAGAAGTCGTGTTAGTTACACTATTTATAACTCTAACGACTGTACGGATATAAATGAAGATTGGTGGAGAGATAGATTAGAACATAGAAAGGACACAGGATATAATTCTTTTCGATCGAAACAGAAAAAACTTGATAAATTCCAATATCTGGTTATTTACCTATGTCGGAATAGAGTTCGCCAATCAGCTGTACATATATTACTAATGACGAAATTAACGCGATCGAAATCAACAAGTTTATTATATATATATTTTATTTGTTCTCGTGTCAGCGTGTCCATACTACGAGCCACGCGACCCGAAGCGCTCTAAACAAGAGGAGCAAGCCTTGGTGTGTGACACGTGCGGCGCGAGGGTCGCGGCCGGCAGGCTGAGGGCGCATGTGGCCGCGCACGGGCTGCATCTGTTCCCGTGCGACTACTGCGACCAGGTAGAAGACAGACATACACACACACAGACATACATATATATACAGTGACCAGGTAGGGGGAAGGGGGACAGACATACACACACAGAAACACACACATACATACATACACGCATATACATCATCATCAGCCTATCAGAGCCCACTGCTGAGCCTCTTCTCACATGGAGAAGGTTTGAGCATTAATCACCACGCTCGCTCAAGACGGTTTGGTGATTTCAAACTTATAATTGTGATATTATAAGTCCAGGTTTCCTCACGGTGTTTTCCTTCACCGTATGTCAGTGATGTCTAGTATATTAAAAATTAAAGCTCCATACTTCCACATCCAGAAAAACATGATACCATACCTTTTGAATACAAGATCAGTAATCGCTTATCGCGGAACAAACACACATACATACATTCCCCAACATAAAGCCACAGAAGAACATCAACTGTACCATATACAATATCCAGCTGTATGTCATATATATTTCCAGCTGTTCCAGAACATTGACGCGTGGACCCAACACACGAGGACAGAACACGCGGTCGGCTCACTGTTCTGATGGAGACAACATGCAGCATATACTGGAGGAGACAGGGTTCAGTTGATACTAGTAGGAATATATATTTAGTTGGTTTATTAATAAAGGCATGGTGATTGGACGCTTATGATTAATAAAAAAGTAAAAAATACACACACACACACACATATATATATACATATTTGTAAAGGTAAGGAAAACGAACACACACACACACTCTTTTAATTATAGTATATAGTGCTTCTTCCTGGCAATTTCCCAGCTTTAGCCAGTATGCCTAGTAATAGTGCTACTTTATATATATTTGTATGAAAAAAATCAACTGAATTCCCTAAGAAGTTTATCATTAAAATAATCCAAAATCGATGCGTCGTCATATATAGGAAGTCATAGGAAAATGGTAGTGTTGTAACAGTTAAAATGAGAAAAGTATTAAATATATATAATTTTATTTTTTATAAGCACTGTGATAGACATACGGCTGGCAAGTTTTTTGTGTTCATATATTGCAAATATATATAGATACATAGTAACATTTAGTGCAAAAATGATAATTTTTACATGAATAGAAATTTTCGTACCCAGAAGAAATTACAACTTGTGAAATTTCATTCATTAATATATAAATAATACGAAAAATTAATTCCCAAGCTTAGCTTATCCAAATAATCTTAGTGTACTAGCTACAAGGCATAGAACAAACATACATTCATATATTGTGCAAAAAATAAAACTATTTTGAATTAATAACATTTAAAAGGAAATTACAACTTAATAGAGTTGATCCCGAAGATGGCCGAGGATTGCCGAAGTTTGACGAAGATTGCTTTAGTGACGTCATTGAAACGAGTTGAAAGCGCAAGCAGATATTATTTTAAACATTAAAGCATGTTTTATTTATACAGGGTGACTGGTGAATTACTATCAATACTTGAGGACGTGATATTTGACGATCATATATGACAAAATAAAAATTAATATAACATAAATATTAATAAACTTCTAAGTTAAGTTAACACACCCTACAGATTAGGTATACACACACACACACACACACGCGTGCGGAGGCGTGATGTTGTATCAGCACGCCGCCGCACGCGTCCACACTTGGAACGTGTCCACACTTTATTTATTTAGGTATACGGAAATTTGGTCAAAAATTAAGTACCTATTTTTTTTACATAATTTGAATGAGAATCATGTACTCGAGTATTCTCCTTAAATATTGATAGTAATTCACCAGTCACCCTGTATAATAGGTCTTAAATATATACCTATGATAAATCAATACACTTCGCTGCCTTCTAATCTTTATAATTTTTACTGAAGAATATATTTCAATGAACACTTTATTCAGTAAATTGCTCAAAGCAAGCCACACTCAGTAACATAATACTTGGTATTCATTTACATTAACAATTCTTGAATATTAATTATGAACATTAATTCACACATAACCGAGGCGAAGGTTTACAGTCATTCAGCCAATATTAATTACGATATATTTATCATGTGTTACGCTCTAAGCGCGGCGTCCAGCTCCTGTAATTGTCTAGCCGCTCGCCTCAAAGCCGCCGCCTGGCCAGCGCTGCTTTCGTTCAAAGCGGCAGCGCTTTGCTTGAGAGCACTCAGCCTAGCGGCCGCACGAGCCCGCTCCGTAGATAATAATCTTCTCGCTGACGGACCTAATATAAATATGTATATATAAAAAAGGTTTAAAGAATTTACTCTCAAAAAGACATAGTCACTTACATGAGAACATACATAGAAAAGTGAAAATACAAAAGTAGTCGCCAGATTATTTGGAACTCAATTAAAGATAGTAAGATATTATTACAAGTGTGTTACATCGTTGGCATATCAATTATTTTGTAAAATATGTTGTGAAAGTTGAGATTTAAATTCGTTAATTGAGCTTGCATTTCTTATAGTACACGGTAATTTGTTGTAAAGTTGTGACTTTATTTTATATATATATATAAAAGAAAGTCGTGTTAGTTACACTATTTATAATTCAAGAACGGCTGTACGGATTTGGATGAAGATTGGTGGAGAGATTGATTAGAACATAGAAAGGACATAGGATACTTTACATACGATTGAAAAAGAAAAACTTTATAAACTCCAGTATCTGGTTATTTACAGCCTCTATGGCGGAATAGAGTTCGCTAGTCAGCTATACATATATTACTAATTCCGAAATTAACGGGCAAAAACTGGTTAATCAAAAATATTTGTAAGCATTATAGTATACTAGCTGACCCGGCAAATGTTGTTTTGCCATATAAAAAAATAGGAGTTGGTGATAAAAAAGTAAAAATTTAGACTGTAATTATTTCGTAATGCTAAATTATAAAAAAATAAAATAATAATTTCCTCGGAAAATAATAACAAAAAAATTAAGGGTGAACAACCTTTATGACTTAGGGCGATGAAAAATAGATGTTGGCCGATTCTCAGAGCTATTCAATATGCTCACAAAATGTTATCAAAATCGGTCCAGTCGTTTCGGAGTTCTCTGTCTAACACCGCGACACGAGAATTATATATATAAGATTATAATTGACGCATGGATGGCGCCAATTATAACACTATATTCATGAAAACATCAAGCGAAGTCAGGTTAAAGTATAGTATGTATTACCTAGCAGTGGTATATAGTCGCCCGCGCGTTCAGATCTTAAGTCCAGGGTAAACCAATCCATAATATCTTCGGAGTCGGATGAAGGTAGCTCCTGGTAGAAAATAAAAGTTATATATAAATATATTGATCCCTACTAATATTATAAATGCGAATGTAACTCTGTCTGTCTGTCTGTTACGCTTTCACGACTAAACCACTGAACTGATTTTAATGAAATTTGGTACAGAGATAGAGTTGACCTTGAGAAAGAACATAGGATAGTTTTTATCCCAGAATATTGATAGGTTCTCTTGGAAACGCGATATAACCGAACTCGACGCGGGCGAAGCTGCGGGAGGAAAGTTAGTTACTTATATATATGTAACATACTGGCTATAGTCGCGATTTTGCTCAGAATTATTCCTTTTTCATATTATTCTAAGTTCTTAACCAATGAAAATCGACAAATCCAATCTAGTCACTTCAAATATTAGATGAAACAAATGGATAGGCAGACAAAGTTAGAAAAATAAAACCACCACTACGGTGTGCAATGTACATATTATACTTCTTCTACCTGGCAATGTCCCAGCTTAAGCCAGGGTCTGCCTTACATGTTGTGAATAGTTTTAGCTAATTGTTTTTACGACCGGCCGTCTGCCTGACATCAACCATCTTTGAGAATGCATTAATCAGTAATGTCTAAATACTCTTATAAAGTACATAAGACTCGGAAAAATCACATTGGTACTTGCCAGGGCCAGGATCGAACCCGCGCCCTCGTAATTAAGTTAAAAAAAATATTATTATTAATTATTATTATTATACAGGGTGACTGGTGAGTTACTATCAATATTTAAGGAGCATACTCGGTACATGATTCTCATTCGAATTATGTAAAAAAAATAGGTACTTAATTTTTGACCAAATTTCCGTATAAATAAATAAAGTTTGGATACGTACTCATCCTTGCCGGCGCCAGTGTGTCGCTACTCCCCAACCCCCGCCCCGTGGCTAGCGGGCCATTAGTCGGCTATTAGTCGCGCGAGGTCCGCCGTAAGGTCCGTACGTTCGTCTTCCCGCGCGCGCGCCTAGCGATCGATCTTACGCGTATACCTAATAATAATCTGTCGTGTGTGCGTGTGACCCGTTATTACTTATTAGTAATTAAATATGGCTTTTCAATACACAAATGCAGAATACTTGGACATGGTTTATGCGTATGCGCGTGCAAATGAAAGCTTGCGGGGCGCAATCAATTTGTACCGGGAGATGTTCCCCAATCGTCGAGTACCTACGGCCAGCGTCATCTTAAACGCTAATCAAAGATTACGAGACTTCGGACAGTTCCGTGTTCCAACACATGCCCAAGGAAACGTCTTGTGTATGCTACAGAGTATGTAAACAGAGAGGAGTTGAAATTAAAAATAAATAGTGATTTCAAAACTATTAAAAGTGACCCATTCGTATTAAATCGTGTGAAAGACAATATGTGTAAACGTGCCGAACTGTGTATCACACGAGAAGGAGCTCGCTTTGAACATTTGTTAAGGTTAGTGTAGTTATGTAGGTAAATAGGTAGTTTAATGATTGACAATTGTTGTAAATAAGTATGATTCCATTTTTAAATACGCCGGAAATACCAAGATAGGTAAACAGTTCATATTATTTTTTGTGTCAAGGTCACACCATTTACCTAGTCAATAAATTGGTTGCTTAAACGAAAGAAATATCTTGGTATTTTTGCCTGTCCTAAGCCAGGATTAAAGTATGAAGGGAAATGGATCATTTTTGTTTATCTAAGGTCTAACACGCAGCGGCGCGCGGCGTTTGGATGTAGGTAAACTACCGCGCGATAACTACATATACCTACGTACATAACTGTTTTGTGTCGATAACGCAGCTAGGGTATCCACGCGATCCGTAATTAATTACATAACTTTTGGTTAACTTTACTTAGAAGTTTATTAATATTTATGTTATATTAATTTTTATTTTGTCATATATGATCGTCAACTACCACGTCCTTAAATATTGATAGTAACTCACCAGTCACCCTGTATATGTACTAACATCATATAGACTTTCATCATCAGGTTCTGAATCTCCGTCTGTGGGGACCTCTTCATCCATTCTCTCGGGTCTCATGATACGCTGGCCTTCCGATTCTAGACCCTGGAATTATAAATAATTATCGCTCTAGCATCACAAATATTAAACCAATTTTGATATAACTTTAAACATATCTCAGGTAGAGTGTCGGAAAAATCATATGTTAATAACTAAAAATAACTAATTAGTAAGATATACAATTCTAAATATATATATGTTCGTGTATCGTATATATAAAATTCTCGTGCCGCGGTGTTAGAGAACTCCTCCGAAACGACTGGACCGATTTTAATGAAATTTTGTGAGCATATTGATTAAGTCTGAGAATCGGCCAACATCTATTTTTCATACCACTAAGTCATAAGGGTTGTTCACCCTTAATCCTTTTTTTTTATTTTTTTTATAATGTAGCATTATAAAATACATACAACCCAAAATTGTAACTTTTTTATAACCAACCCCTATTTTTAAATGACAAAACAAAGTTTGCCGGGTCAGCTAGTAATTTATATATATATATATATATATATATATATATATATATATATATATATATATATATATATATATGTGTGTGTGTGTGTGTATGCCTATTATATAAAGATCAAATCTCATTAACATTACTTCATCCAAGTCAAACTGCTCTTCATCCAAGTATTCTTCTTCATCGATGATCTCCGGAACATGTTTCTCAACTGGCTTTGTTTCTTCCCTTTGCATCCTCGGCTTGGTTGCTTTAATCAAATTATTAACATTTATATATATATAATTATGTTAATTTATTAAAAAACTGCACTTATATACATATAAGAGATTTTGTTTAATATAATGTTTCATCAAGATATCTGTAACCATAAGTCGTAGACTTCATGTCTGTCAGGAATATTCCTACAACAGAGTAGAGGTCAGATAAGAACTGAATATATGAAATTATACACAAGAGATAAATTTTAGACTCAAAAAAACTTGACTTACGTAGTACTAGTAGTAATATGTAAGTTAGGATACATATTAGAATAGAAGAATATTTTTTATTGAGTGACATATATTTTAAACTCAAGCCGATAATAAATCTAGTTTTGACCAATGGGTTCGTCTGCAAGTTGGTCTTAATCATATTAGTTGTTACATGAAAGTACCAAACATACATACAGAACTTATAACCTATATTAACTTCTTGGAACGTACGTCGAAGCCAGCCCTAGTAGGTTAATTTTAAATTTGGTAGAGAGAGGAGCTTGGACGGTGGAGGTGAGCGTTTAACGATAGATAGGGTCCCTTAAACCTACACCTGGGTCACAAGTCCCAGGCACTGTTGAAGCTCCTCTCACTACAACGATGGACCCGACACACGCACCGTGAATACATGGAATGATGAGAGGTTTCGTCTCATTTATACCAACCTGTATCTTTAACATTCTTGCCGTCCCTCATAGCACTAATACTGGACTTGGCCGTACTCTTCGAAGCCACATTATTACTCTTCTTGGTCACTCCGAACATCCTCTTCACAATCAAACGCTCATCTGATGACTTCAAAATAAATTTATATATATATACAATTAACCAGCATGTGACACATTCATTTAATTTTGTATAGTAAAAAAAATATCCTCTATTAAGATACCTCTTCTTCCTGGCAACCTCCTAGCTTTAGCCAGGGTCTGCCTATATTAAGATACCAATTTTGATAATATTTAATTACTTTATTCTTTACGGTTACATATCTTCTATATATATAAAAATGGATTGCTGTTCCTTAGTCTCGCTAAAACTCAAGAACGGCTGAACCGATTTGGCTATTTTTAGTCTTGAAATACTCCTGAAAGTCCAGGGAAGGTTTAAAAGGTGAGAAAAATTATAAAAATTGCCGGGAAAACCCTAAAAACAGCCCTTTTCTATTTCCCATACAAACGATTTTTTGACATTAGACTTGACAACTAACTAATATGTCAATCATTCTGTTCGATTGAAACAGTAGAAATTTAATAAATACCAATACCGGGTTATTGAAGACGGAATAGAGTTTGCGCGGTCAGCTATACCTATATTACTATTGACAAAACTAACGCGGACGAAGTCGCGGGCAAAAACTAGTATGTTTATATAAATGAGAGTCACATAAAAATGAGTTTATACGCTTCAGAGAAGACAACAGACACATACAGATGAAAATATTATACATACAATACCTGGTTACCGAATTTTGCTCGGTATTTAGGAATTATTAGTATTTATTTTGTGTTTTTTTATTTCATTTCGTTAAGACATTTTTAAGTGAACACGTTAAGAAGACACAAAATAATATAAATCAACAATTAATTTCTTAATCTAAACTCAAAACAAACACTCATTGACTTCCTGTTACTTAACAACGCCATCTGCTGTTGTGTCGTTAAAACAATTAGCAAAAAGTAGTATTACTATTCGCCAATAGATGTCAGGAAGAGTCATATTTTAAATGACTACTTTTTAGTATTATTTTTTTTTATAAAATAACATTTTCTTAAAATTATTCCTAGCTAAATCGAACCCTCCCTAAATCGAAAACCCCTATATACTAGATTTCATGAAAATCGTTGGAGCCGATTCCGATTACAGTGGACCCCCGGTAGTCCGAAAACATTTTGCAGGGCAGTGTCGAACTATCGAATTCGTCGGATTATAGAGTACTGCCTAAGACCCCCTATAGTCCGGATTTTTTTACAAAGGAGTACCTTGTAATCCGACGAATTACAGATTCAATGACAAGATTATTTACATATTATACATATATACATATGTATTTATATGTACTCTGAAGTACAAATTCAAATTCCAACTAAGCAATCAGAATCAAAACAGTACCCTTCACGTCGAGCACAATAGTGATGGTGCGTACAAGTTGTAACTTGTCCAATCATGCATTAGCGAATACAAAATATGTGTTCAATAATAAATAATAGATCATGTCGGATTACAGGGGGCGCCGGATTAGACAGGGGCCGGATTACCGGGGGTCCACTGTATATGTAAATATATATTATACAACAATTGCTTATTTAAATATGTTTATAAGTATTGTTGGTGATAGTGCAAATCCGCGTAACTAGTATTGGATAATTCCACGTAACTACATTGGAAGCAGATTAACAGAAGAAAGTTTCAGCTGAAATATTTTCTATATTATTGTTTACGGATATCTTACAGAAGAGACTTATTAATATATGTAATTATATTGAATATACTGCAGACCCTGGCTAAAGCTGGTTAATTGCCAGGAAGAAGAAGAATATCTTACTCAAGTCTTACCAGGTCACTATCTCTATCACTTTCCTCGGGAACAGCTTTGGTCGGTAACTTCTTCATTATGGCATTCCTGGCTACCTTCAAACGGGATATTTTTGCACCCTGGAAGAATACCATGAATTCTATATATCCTAATATATATTAATGACAAAAGCATGAATATCTAAACAATTTTATGTGGAAAATTAACTAAATAATTCATTGCAATGTAATTTAGTTGGTAAACTTCTGAAATATAAGATTTCCAGAAGTTGCAGGTCTAAATCCAGCTTATATTAAGGAGTCTATAATTAAATATTAATAAATTTTAACTTATTAATATTTGAATGAAAGTATATTTTAACTAAAACACCCATAGAACAATTATATTAACCACAAGTTACAACTCAAACTAAATACTTTCAGTTTTCAGTATTCCATACATAAATCTTCTCACATAGTATTATAGGTATAATTAACTGCAAACTATCAGTTTTTTAGTTACAAACTTGTCGTAAGGATATTAGAACATTGTAAATATCAAAATATTGAATATTATGTAAAAATCTCACATCAAATATATATTCATCTTCATCGCTCGACCCTTGGTTCCTATCATCTGTCCTGGAGTGAGTTTTATTCAACTTCTTCTTGCCCTGATTGTCTTCACCGAGCATTCTCTGGAACATATAAAATTATTTTCTTAGATAGCTTGTGGCTATCAACTAATAATAATTCTTATATCCTAATCTTCTATATATATAAAAGAAAGTTGTGTTAGTTACACTATTTATAAATCAAGAACGGCTGTAGGGATATGGTTGAAAATTGGTGGAGAGATAGATTAGAACAAGGAGACGGACATAGGATATTCAATTCTGTTCGATTGAAACAGAAAAACTTAATAAATTCTAATATCTGGTTATTTACGGCCTGAAGGGTATATAGAGTTTGTCCACTCAGCTATATATTACTTATACAGAAATTAAGGCGGACGAAGTCGCGGGCATAAATTTGTAATAAATGTCTTAAAGCTATTTCTAAAACAATTGCTTACAAGCAGTTCATCTGTGTCATTTCCATCGTCAAACTCATGTTTCGACTCTTCATTTTCATTGTCATGACCGTCAGCTCTTGAAGTAGTTTTGTTATCCGTCTTCCTTATGAGGAATGTACTGAGATCACCTGGCAGTTCAGTCTGAAAGAAATCTTAAGCACTGACTAAAAATGTATGAAAAAATTTACTTCAAGAACATTAAAGGGTAATATAAATTACTTTGTAAATCACATAGACAATAAACATAACTTTAAATGATAATTATTTTCGTTTTAAATTAAGTCATAGTTACAATAATTCGTTCGTCATTATACAATATTTTACCTGATGTGAATTCTCAAAGTTATTAAGAGCCTGTTCTATCGTCTCTGTCTGGCCGATACCCTCAACTTCCATACTCGTCATAGTGTTCTCTTGACTAGAGTTAAAATTAGACGCATTCTGTTCTACATCCGCCTGAAAATATATATAACATAACAAACCGATTTTATTGCAATTTAATTTAAATTATCTCAATATTTATGTAAAAAAACATTTTTTGGGTGAAAAAAATATAATTTTATATACATTTCTGACTTAACTAAACTGTTATAAATATAATAGAGTAACCTACACTTGGATTATAATCATCATCAGTAAGTATTCCTTCGCTCAACCATTCTTCTTGACCTTCATCTAGCTCTTCATCTTGGTCCTTTGCTGATACCTAAAGTTGGTGAGTAATTACGAAATATACTGCTTATTAATAACATTACAAAACAATATAATTTACTAATTAGTAAGTAATAATGGAAAAAAAAATGTAAAAGCATTTAATAAGATTTACAAGTATTTTTCTCGTTACATATATTGCGAGCATCTTATAGCTGGGATTTGATATAAATTATTTTACTAAAATGAAAAATATTCGAGTGTTTTACTATTAAAATATTTTGAAATGAAATTCTTTGATTAAATATGTCTTGTATGCATTTAAATAATAAACTAACCTCTATCTTCGCAATTTTAGCCGACGGTTCTTCGACTTCAGACATTTTAGGAAGTAATTCACAAATTATTTCTTAAATAACACTTTCTTTAATATAAGTTTATCGTATTTAACTCAATTCAAACAAGCCATAGTATTTCGTAGTAAACGCTAATCAATTAATTGACAATTGACATCTTTCACTTGGGACTTAGCACTGACATATTTTTGTCGCAACAAAGAACATGGTTATCAAAAAGTAAAAAATAATTTGAATATATAAAGATATTTTGTTACTCAATATAGGTTATTTAATTTTTATACAAACTTAGTATTTTTTTTATTTTAACGTATTGTTCTTTATTGTGTTCAGAGAGAAACAACTGTTTTATGAGTTCCCAGATTATGTTAACAGAAAAGAAAAGATAAATTATAGCCTAAATATTAAAATCATGTCTTAACTTCTAAATAGAAAGGTGACATAGGAATCACTTTAATATTTTACAGGATAGATCAACAAACATACATTAATCAGAGAATTTATAGGAAAAAATTTAATTAAAGAAAGACATTAGTAAGTAAAAAGGGTCAAACTCAAAAAAACCAAACTAATTAACCAGAATCTTAAAATTATATATATTTACCAAATATTCCACACGGAATTTTTGTTATCGTTATACAACTTAAAATAATAAAAATACAGTTAGTTACTAGTTAAGAGCTCTGGGAATCCTAAGTAGTCCAGTCATTATAGTAAGTTCACCTCGGAATGCGAGATACCCAGCTGTAAGTCTGTAAATAGTTGTATATTGACACCCTAAAAGTTGTCTCAAAACCTACATATGGTAGGGTGTAAGCAACTATTAAATTTCAAGTTCAAAGGTCACAAAAATCGGTTTTTTGCGCTTTCTTTGGAAATATCTCATTTCCTATAGGTTTTTTGCTATTTGTATTTATTATCAATATTGTAGAATACTAAATTCTCTACAAATTTCGTTTCAAACAAATTTTTTTACGGTGTACCGTTTTCGAGATAGAGGGCGGAGAGCGCGCGGTCACCGCATCACTTCAGGTCAACCGGTGCCTCCGGTCGAAAACGCGGCATATATAGTTGATGAACTATCAATAAATCAATGATTATAAATATTTGTCAATTTTCAAAAAAGCAGAAGAACGTGGGGATCATTTTGGAGAATTGGTGAAAAGTCGTAAAATTTTACAGTTTGATTTGATCGCTGCTGAAGCGAAGTACCATGCTGCTTGTTTTACAAACTTTTCAAATAAATCATCATCATCATCGCCTCTTGAGAAACCTCGTCAAGATAATCAAGTTACAGAAGCTATGTTAGAGATTTTCAATTACATCGAAAATAATAATGATTCTCAATTCACACTAAAAGAGCTTAAAGATGTCTTGACAGGGTATGTGCCAGATGATAAAAAGATCATTACAAGACTACAACAGAAGTACTTAACCGATATCGTAATTACGAAGAAAGTTGGAGCTTTCACGATCATTTCTTTCCGTGATGCACAAGCTAATATTCTATCAAAAGCTTGGTACGAAAGTAAAAAAATAGATCCTGAAGCAGAAAGGCTAAGAATTGTAGAAGCTGCAGCAGCAATTATTATTTATTATTAGAGAATTCTGCAATTACATGGACAGGTAAGTGTTGTTAAATAAATTAATACTGAATAAAAAGTGGATAAGTTAGGAAAAAAATGATAAAATATAATATAATAGTTAATAAAAATTGACAAATATTTATAATCATTGATTTATTGATAGTTCATCAACTTTATATGGCGCATTTTCGACCGGAGGCACCGGTTGACCTGAAGTGATGCGGTGACCGCGCGCTCTCCGCCCTCTATCTCGAAAACGGTACACCGTATAAAAAAAATTTTGAAACGAAATTTGTAGAGAATTTAGTATTCTACAATATTGATAATAAATACAAATAGCAAAAAACCCATAGGAAATGAGATATTTCCAAAGAAAGCGCAAAAAACCGATTTTTGTGACCTTTGACCCTGAAATTTAATAGTTGCTTACACCCTACCATATGTAGGTTTTGCGACAACTTTTAGGGTGTCAATATACAACTATTTACAGACTTACAGCTGGGTATCTCGCATTCCGAGATTCTTACATAATTTAAGCTTAAATGACTGGACTAAAGACTTTTTACTTGCTTTAGCTCATGGGGATGCGTGTGTATATCCGATTATATATCTTCTATCATCATTTCTGCCCTCTGGAACTTAGTGGACACAATCTTTCTACCCTATGATTGCTGGTAGACAAATATGACGGCAAAATAGTTCATGCCTACAATTATCAATCTGAAGATCGTTCGTGATGCGCCGACGCTAACATAGATGTAAAGTAACGGAGTACTTCATCCCTTAATATTATACATAAGCTTTTCAATAGTTCAAAAATTCAGAGTTTGTAAAGTTACTAAGTCCTTAAAAGAGTATTAAAGAAGGCTTATCTTTAGCTGTCTGCTTAAATTCCTGAAAGAGGAGCTTCTCAGGCCCTGGCCAAAGGTGTTGAGACAATTATTGTAATTCTTTCCTGTCTCCTCTGGCTAATTTTGATGAGAATTTTTCATACGTGAAGAAGAAATAGAAGTTTGCGGTTTCAGCCATATATTTACGGGAAATAGCTTTAGATTTCTCGAAAGCGCTCGACTTAGCCCAGCTGTCATTTGACAGAATTATGATGGAAACTACATCTTGTTAATAAATTATTACTAATAATTTAAAATTTCAATACAATTAAATATATATTTTTTAATTAACCAAGGAACAGATATATATATACATAAATAAATAATAAATTAATGGCAATATACATATTTTGCCATAAATTAAAAAATTGTGTTCAACGATATTTTTGTTATTATTATAATAAGTAAGATAAAAGATTAATTTTGGACGAAGGTTTACTCATTATACACATTAAATCATATTTGAATATTACTTTTTTATGTTTATTAGTAGTTATATACTATTTACATATCGTCGTCAGCCTATCAGAGCCCACTGCTGAGCAAAGGCCTCTTCTCACATGGAGAAGGTTTGAGCATTAATCACCACGCTCGCTAAGACGGGTTTGTGATTACAAACTTACAATTTGATATTAAAGGTCCAGGTTTCCTCGTATTTCCTTCACCTTCTGTCAGTGATGTCTAAATACCCTTATACAGTACATATGACTCGGAACAATCACAGTGGTACTTGCCAGGATCGAACCCGCGCCCACGTACACGAGAGGCGCTTCTTTAACTACTAGGTCACCACTGACTTATATAATATATACGTACCTTTTTCAACTTCACATTATTCTAACAAAACAAAGGTTATCACAAAAAAAACACATACATAAGCAAAATCAATCAAAATTTATTCACTTACAAAATAATATATATTACAGTATGTCAATCCTATCATGGGGTTGTACTGACATTGTTAGTCAAAAAAATTACTGTTAAAGGCATTTGTATGGAAAAATCTACCTTATATAACCCCATGAACAGACAGAGATAAACAACTCGACCATCTTTAAAATACCTTAAATACATTAGCGGAAAACATGCCAAAGTTGCCTTAATCAACAATACTGGTACATCAAAATTATCAATATCTATTTTTATTTCTGAATATATATGTATATATATTTAAAATTTTAGACAACTTTAAGGCCGACATATATAGTCAAAATTACAAGAAAACAATGTCATGTTTTGTTAACATATATCGGTTTCCAATGACAATGATTTTGATCATAATTACTATATATATAAAAAAAATAATATATGCAAAATGAACAATATTTTACAAACAGGATTATACATTTTAAAATAAAATCATACTATATTTTATCAGGACATTTCTAAAAACCGTAACTTGCCATCGGAAACCAACACAATCAAACCTCATCGCACGGAACCGTTTTGTTTATATACATTAAAATGATAATTAAAGAAAAAAAAAACCTATTATAATTGTTTATTCATTTAAAAAATAATAATTAATTTCTAATATTTACAGTAACAGAAAAAAACCTATGAAAAATTTATCTTAGCATTATATAATAGGCATAAAATGAAACATTATAATGATGACCATCAATATAGTATCGTTTCAACAGGTAACCATCGCTCAGGGCTGTACAACACTCTCGATTCCGTTGCAACGTACATTGCCGCGTCAATTCAATTGCAACGTGCATTGCCACGTCAACTAAATTGCAATGAATATTGCTGCGTCATCTCCGTTGCAACAATTTGACGAGTCAACTAAATTGCAACAAATATTGACACGTCAATTCAATTGCAACGTGCATTGCCGCGTCAATCCAATTGCAACGTACATTGCCGCGTCAATCCAATTGCAACGTATATTGACGAATCAATTCAATTGCAACGTGCATTGCCGCGTCAATTCCGTGTCCAAATCCTTTACCACTCGTTCCGTGATCGCGACTAACTAGCAATAACGTAAAACAACACTAAATGTATCTATATTATATTACAAGTCGATTGCGACCGGGTTTAAATTCACAAAATAATTTTCGATGCTCCTATTCTTAAATAATCTTAATATTTTTTGTTTTTATAATCTGTGGCAAGTATTTCTTATTGTTTCATATATATACGTCATGTCCCCGGTCGCAGCCTCAGTTCATATGTACAATGTTTTATCATTTAGCTAAAGCCGTTAAACTATTAAAATTTAATGATATTATACATTAAATTCTTTTTCTCCATAAACTTTTGGGTATTGGACTGTTATGTGGTTTTAAATAGTTAACTGGGTTATGTAACCATTAACCCATATATATATTTGTTCCGATTAAACTGAAACATGTAAGTCATCAGACAGATTCTCAATTATCTTTAAGTATAAAAACAAAGTTATAAATATTACAATTGTTAATTTTTACAGAAACATATAGATTTATAATAAAATCTGAAAAACAATAAACAATTTAAAAGTTAGATCAAAATTTCTGATTGGGAATGATTTACTTAATTTTTGTGTATGGTTTTATAATTTAAATATGCTCTGTTTGAAGATAATTTCCTTAGAATGTCTGTCTATCTGTTTGTAAATTCTTAATAACAGTCCGATACCCATATACTATCTACATATTTGGGCAGTATAATTCACTATTCAACCGGCATCAGTCATAGTTGATATATTTCTCAGCGTAAAAAATACTTTTTTTTTCACATTATTATATATATAGATATATTTTTTATTTCTTCAAAAAGTCACACAGCCTATCATATTTGAGATTCCTTATACATCTTGTTACAAAACGGGGATTTGAAAATTGGTGATACGGATGTTTCCTTTATATTTTGATTTTAAAATGATTTAAACCATAACTAATGACAATCATATCCTTACTATTACAAGTATTTAACTCTATACTTGCAGTTTTTAGTATTCCACTCATAAAACCTCTCACATGATATTGGTGACAATTAACTGCAAAACTATCCGTTTTTAGTTACATACTCGTATTAAGATTGTATCTTACATTTCAATCAATACAATGTATTAAAGTATCGGCTGGCTTGAAATTTTTGATCCCCCTACAATCAAATCACAATTATTATAGCCATGTTTAAACAAATCCATGAAAGTATCATTCGACATCAACATTCAAGTTAAGTACATATTGGTATATAATTTCAGATATCCCGATCAATCCTGTTTAATAAATAAGTCTTGTATACATCTGCGGTGTATTCTATCGTTCATCGATGAGATCTCAGTTAAACAGACACCATATAACTCCATACACTTGTCACATCACTACACAGTATCAGTATCAGACCGCTTTCTGTTCGTACGCTATCATGATAATAACGTCCAAGCGGCCAACAGCTTGACCTGCAAATAAAAATAATATTAACACCTGGATTTGACAATTTTCAGGTAGATTTTACGTGTTCCAGCCTCCAGGTGTAAAACTTATTATTCATATATAATATTTTAAATTGCTTTTGCTTTGCTTTCTGTAAATTTACTAAACAATTCATTTATTAAGTTTAATTTGTAACATACTAACACTATATTGATCTATGTAATATGGTCTGAAATAAATTATTATTATTATATATTTGTATTGAGTAGATTTATATGTGAATGTTTGTCATTCCTATATGTAATAGCTCCTGAACTCTACAGTAATATATAGTCAGGAATAGTGCAAATCCTCGTAACTAGCATAGAATAATTCCGGGTATCTACATTAAAAGCAGATTATAAGAAGAAAGTTTTGAGCTGAAATATATTCTATATTAACGACTTTTTAGATATTTTTTTTAGCAATTAGGAATTATTTAGTGTATTAATACATTATAATAAAATATAGTATTATCATGACTGTATAATTCCGAGTCGATATCAAAATATATGTATTTATCAACAGCAATGAAAAAGTTACCGGGAAAAGGTAGTATAACTAAAATAACATAGAAAAATATAGATTTATATACAAATTAGGTAATTAAATCTTTATCTGATTGAGTAAAAAGTCACTTTATACATATTTTTTCACACAACTAACTAAAAGCAACAAATTAATTCAAAGTATTTGAGTAATATAAGAGAACTGAAAAAATATTTAATGACAAAAAACCTTTGAAAATTGTAGTATTCACTGAAATTATATTAAATTCGTATGAATGTATTATGCTAAAAACATTTCTGAATGACGGATACTAATATAATAAAGTGATCTTAACCCACCAAGTATAACAAATACTCAACTATCAGATATTTGTTTACCGCTCACCTAGTCATAGAAGGCCCTGTCGTGTTCGGGTGAAGCCCTACGGGGCGGAGGCGCGGCGGGCGAAGCCCCACCGTAGTTCAGGAAGTCCCACACAAGAATTGTATCATCGTGTGACGAAGACACTATTTGAAATTCATCAAACTGCAGTCGGAACACTCTGCCTGTGTGCTCCTGAAGAATAAGAATAGTTTAGTTATAAATTGCTTCTTCTACCTGGCAATTTCCCAGCTTTAGCCAGGGTCTGCCTTACATGTTGTGAATAGTTTTGGCTAATTGTTTTTAAGACCGGCCGCCTGCCTGACATCAACCCTCTTTGGGAATGCATTAATCAGTGATGTTTATACTCTTATAAAGTACATATGACTTGGTAAAATCACATTGGTACTTGCTAGAATCGAACCCGCGCCCTCATGCATGAGAGGCGGGCCTTTAACCACTAGGCCACCACTGTTTCAAAATAATAAGTCATTTCACAAAATAATAAGTCATTTCACATTAAACAAGAACATTCAGCTTGGAACAATGTTATCACAAGCTAATATGGGTATCAAACAGTGGCGGCTGTACCTTAAGTGCACTCGTGCGCTGAACCACCAATTCAAAAGATTTAAAAATTACAAAAGAATACTTCATCTTTATTTTTAAATTACCATTTTAATATTTATTTTCTAAACATATAAAAAATTTAATTTCTAATTATAGTCAAAAAGTTTGTGCGCTTTACTAAGCTAATATCTCGTGCGCTTCGGCGAGTGCACGAGGACTCCTAATACATCTTGTATGAGATACGCATTAATACGCCTGACGCGTGAAACAAAAGATAGTTCATAGAAATGTACCGAGTAATGAGTCGGTTCTCGAGCGCCGCATGAGCGGCCGAAGATTACCGAGAGCACCCGATGTATGACGAATTGTAATTGAAAAGAATCAAAACTTTTCTCCGAAATACCATGCACTTGCTAAATGCACTTTCTATGCTTAGTATTGAAAAAAATAATTATACAAACAATACCCGATTTAATTAAAAAGGTGATTGAACATTTCCCTTCAGAAAAATGTCGTCGCATTGATTTAATGTTTAAAAAATAAACATATTTTATGTCAATTGGTTTTTTGTTGCATTTTCTAATTTTAATATTTTATTAAAGTGCACCACCAGTTCGATAACCCACCAGCCGCCACTGGTATCAAAGCTAGTCTATTTAAATATGTAATTATGTATATATAAAATATAGAGGAAGGCCAACAAAATGTTAATAAATACCTACTTTACACACTTATAAATTTATGAATTACATACCGAATACTTTCAATAATTCGTTTACATCTTAACATGTATACTAATACAGTTATCTGCTGTTACTATCAAACTATAAGTATGTAAGTAAGCCACATTATATCGGCCCCTCTATGTATGTAATGTATTATCCGACCACTAGTGTTCGTAGACACAGGTCCTGGTGAGGTGTTCTAACGTCGAGGGCTGCTCTCAAGTCCCACACTTTGATCTTCCCATCATAGGCCCCGCTCACAATACGCTTGTTGTCGAACCTGGAATGTAATATATATATTATATATATTGCTTTAATATTAGAGCATTATAGGGAATTAGATTTTTAGGTTCAATGAACTAAGTTTTTTAGATCATTGAACAAAATTTGATAAAAAATAGGCTCATAAAGGAATTAGTTTTTCTTAATATGAATTATTAGTTTTTGTCAGCGACTTCGTCCGAATGAATTTCGCCATTAGTAATCTATACTAATATTATAAAGCTGAAGAGTTTGTTTGTTTGAAAGCGCTAATCTCCGAAACTACTGGTTCGAATTGAATAATTCTTTTTGTGTTGGATAGTTCAGCTATCGAGGAAGGCTGTGGGCTATATAACATCACGCTACGACCAATAGGAGCAAAGATATAGTGGTAAATGTGTAAAAAACGGGAGAAATTATTTCATCTTTGAAGCCTTCCGTTGCGTGCGCCGTGAAAACTTTTCAAGATACACAAAAAATATGTATGAAAGAAAAATAGCTCTTTTAATGATCTAAAAAACAGTCCGCGACAGTATATGTCTATTTTTTAAGATAAACTCACAAAAACCGTTTTTATGGTACCTAATTTGGTCGAAATAATTTGTTTAAGTTGTATCAACATAATAATATTAATCTTTATTCAAATAAACAAATAAATATGTTGTTGGTTAAGAGTACTTCATTGTGAATAAAAAAAAAACATAGGTTTTATCCTGAAAATTCTACGGGAACTCGACCATTCCGAAAACCCAGCAAGAATGGGAACTATGTGGGAAGAACCAAAAATCTGTCGGAAGTAACTATTCCACGCGGACGAAGTCGCGGCAAAAGCTAGTATTATATTGTAATTCGGTATTACTAATGATATTAGTATGTCTAAATAAATAACCAGATATCAGAATTTATTAAGATTTTTTTTTGAGTGCATGAAAAGTATCCTATGTCCTTTTCCTGGTTTTAAGCTATGTGCTGAGTTATAAGTAGTGGTAACTAACACGACTTTCTTATACAGGGTGACTGGTGAATTACTATCGATATTTAAGGAGAATACTCGGTACATGATTCTCATTCGAATTATGTAAAAAAAATAGGTACTTAATTTTTGACCAAATTTCCGTATAAATAAATAAAGTGTGGACACGTTCCAAGTGTGGACGCGTGCGGCGGCGTGCTGATACAACACCACGCCGCCGCACGCGTGTGTGTGTGTGTGTGTGTGTAAACCTAATCTGTAGGGTGTTCACACGATGCGTAATTAATTACATAACTTTTGGTTAATTTTACTTAGAAGTTTATTAATATTTATGTTATATTAATTTTTATTTTGTCATATATGATCGTCAAATGTCACGTCCTCAAGTATCGATAGTAATTCACCAGTCACCCTGTATAAAAATACAGATTTCATCGAATCCTAACACACACACATATATATAACTGACTAACTTAGCCATATTATCCAACTGAAACCCAACTATTTCCCACCGAGCCCCACCAATATCAGTTCTCGAGCTATAACTAAACAAACAAACCCACTCACCGTATACACCGTACAAGTTCCTCGTGTCCCTCCAACACTCGTATACACTGTCCGCACTCTATATCCCAAAGTCTGATTGTATTGTCCGAGGAGCCAGAAACAACCAGTCTATCTCTGTACTGGAGGCAGGCTATACCACGCTTGTGGCCGTTCAATGTCCGGACAAACTCACATGATGATGTATTCCAGACCTGGAATAGTTTTAAATTAGATTAATAGATGGCGCTGTTGGTAGATGTTACAATATAGAAATATATTAGATAATATATTGTTAGGGATATAGTGCAAATCTGAGTAACTAGCATTGTATAATTCTGCGTATCTATATTGGAAGCAGATCAGAAGAATGTTTGAGCTGAAATATTTTTTAAATTGACGACTTTGAAGGTAATTTTATCACAATTAGTAACAAAGTATTTAATAATTACTAATTTTGATAGAAATTACTGTAAAAGTTATTAAATTCAGATAATAATTTAGTTTTAAACTTCTTCTGTAAAACTTGAGTTGTGGAGCAATAAATATCTAAGCGGAAGTACTGGCTAATTTATTTCTAACATAACATAATTTATCTTGTCTCATTAGATGATATATATACTAACACCACAAAAATACATATTTACATAATTTATCTTGTCTCGTTGGACACATATATCACTTACCTTGATAGTCCTATCACCGCTGGCACTGACTATATATTTCTCATCAAAGTCCACCACGTTGACCGCTGCCCGATGACCTACTAGTACACGTCGCAGCATGATCTCCGTGGTTGAAGACATGTCCCATACAGCTATCGATCTATCCTGGAATGTGATAAGGAAATATGAAGTTAGTTATGAATGAATGGGTGGGATTTATATTGGGTAATGATTAATAGCCACTCTTTGTGTATATAGTATGTGGATTCATGTTTTTTGTGTAATATCTATATATATAAAAGAAGTCGTGTTAGTTACTCCACTTATAACTCAAGAATGCTGAACCGATTTAGTTAAAAATTGGAGAGAGGTAGTTTAGAGCCAGGAGAAAGACATAGGATACTTTTTATCCCGTTCGACAGCATTCCCGTGTGACTTGACACGAAACGTCAGTCACTATTAAACGTGGATTAACAGAAAAGAATCAGACTTAGAATAACAAACCGCAAAATGACAGCTATGTAATTGACTTATAATGACGTATGGATGACAATTTCATATTTGTAAGAAATCTATATATATAAAAATGAATCGCTGTTCTTTAGTCTCACTAAAACTCTAGAACGGCTGAACGGGTTTTTCTTATCTTAGTCTTGAAATGTTCGTGGAGGTCTAAAAGATGGAAAAAATTGATTCATTTCCGGGAAAACCCTAGAAACAGCCCTTTTCTATTTCCCATACAAACGTCTTTTTTTGACAATAGATTTGACAACTAACTAATATGTCAATCATTCTGTCGCACTTCAAAACACGGAGATTTATGGCTTTAATAGGTAAACTCCAAAAATAAGAATAAAAAACGTAACAGATATTTCTTGATTATAGGGCGATACGAAGTTCGCCGGGTCTTCTAGTATATATGTATACAATTCTTACCTTACTACAAGTGACCATCATTCCATTACAGAACCTCAGATGCAGTACAGCTTCACAATGATGTATCAGTGTATTGAGCATGGCCCCAGTATTAACATCCCACACTCGAACTGTGCTGTCCGAAGACCCAGATATAATAGCTCGCTCATCATATTGCAAACATAGGACCGAACCAGTATGACCTTGCAGCTCCTGGAATTGGTTAATATAATATTAAAATATCAGTTTAATTTATCTTAATGAAATCTAAGATTTTTGCGAATTTTTTTTCATTTAAATGAAACTAATATTTTTTCCTTACTTTTCAGAGTTGTAGCCAAAACGTCGGTAGTATGTAGTTTTTTACGATAATAAGGTTGCGTAGTATATCGGATAAATATTAGCTTCATTTAAATTAATGTATCTTTTTATATAATTAAAAAGTTGTGTTAGTTACACTTTTTATAATTCAAGAACGGCTGTGTAGGGATATGGTTGAAAATTGTTGAGATAGATTAGAACTAGGAAAGTAACCTACTAAAAGACTTGGGCCTGTCCAGAACTAACACCAATTAATTCCTGGAACGTACTTTGAAGGCAGCCCTAGTAGGTTCATTTCAAATTTGGTAGAGAGAGGAGCTTGGACGGTGGAGGTGAGCGTTTGACGATAGATAGGGGTCTCTTAAACCTACACCTGGGTCACAAGTCCCAGTCACTGTTGAAGCTCCTCTCACTACAACGATGGACCCGACACACGCACCGTGAATACATGGAATGATGAGAGGTTTCGTCTCATATATATTACCTTAACACATTGCAACGTTTTTCTATCCCATATCTTGATGGTGTTGTCTCTCAAGCCGGAGACTATCTTGTTGTCATCATATTGCAAGCAGTATACACCTTTAGAATTCTCCGATCTGCAGTTTATCCTCTGGAAATATAAAACAGATAAATATATACTTTTTCTATAAATATTACTTAATTATCATCATCATCAGCCTATCAGAGCCCACTGCTGAGCAAATGCTTCTTTCTCACATGGAGAAGGTTTGAGCATTAATCACCACGCTCGCTCAAGACAGATTGGTGATTTCAAACTTATAATTTGATATTATAAGTCCAGGTTTCCTCATAATTTCCTTCATTAATCAGTGATGTCTAAATACTCTTATAAAGTACATATGACTCTGATAAATCACATTAGTACTTGCAAGGATCGAACCCGCGCTCTCATGTATGAGAGGCGAAATTTTAACTACAAGGCCACCACAACTTTTATATATTACTTATATAAAGTTATATGCAATATGATTTACTTAAATTTTTGATTAAAAAATAAAGTATATTACTTTTCTTCAAGAATTTCTATTATATTAATATTTAACCAAAGTTTCCACTATTATTTTCTTTTTAAACAGTCATATGTTGTAATTGTACAGGATTTGAACCTATATACTATCAAATATTGCCATACAATAGCTTTTTGGACTAAACCATAGTATCTCTTCTTCTTCTTCTTCCTGGCAATTTCCCAGCTTCAGCCAGGATCTGCCTAAGTATCCATTACTACCATATCACTCACCTGTAAGTTATGCCGTCCCATTCTCCAATTATCCTCTATGGACTGAATATCTTGAATGATCTTGGGATACAATTGACGGTAAAAGGAATGAGAAGGATGCTGACAGCCAGGCTTGGGTTTAAACAGGTACATTATCCTGGAAAATTATTATGAATAGATCAATACAAAACCTGGCTAAATCTGGGAAATTGCCAGGAAGAAGAAGATAATCATTTATCACATAATGTACACATAGTCATATCGTCGGTGATAGTACAAATCTGAGTAACTAGCATTGTATAATTCCGAGTATGTACATTGGAAGCAGATTCTCAGAAGAAAGTTTGAGCTGAAATATTGTCTATATTAACAACTTTTAAGGTAATTTATAACGCATACTACTTTTCGACTCACATTTAGAATTTGAAATGTGAAGGATATCATAAATAAGTAGATTTGAGTTTTTATCATAAATTGTTTCTTTTTCTTTTAAATGTGATGAAAGTAATAAATATAAATAACCTTTCGACAAAGTTTCAAACAAATCCGTACAGCCGTTCTTAATTAGTAGTGTAACAAAAACGACTTTCATATATATCTTAATTAGAAAATATAGAGGTATATTGGCCTAAATTTTTCAATATGATCAATATTTAATGTAATATATATATAAAAGCTATGGCTTCATTCACACTGGAATCTTATAGTTAAATTTTTATTATGTATAGCAATAAGTTATAGATTACTAGCTCCATTGATTATGTCATACAAGGCGAGTGTGCACTTTTGGTACATGTGAGCAATTCCATTCACTTAAGGCTAAAACACATGGACGTACTCTTTTCCCAGTGTGTACACTACACTTGCCTCATATTATGATTAGATATCTGTAAGGGTACCGTTACATTAAAAAAATATGTCGTACTTTTATATTTAACTAGCTTTCCGCCCGCAGCTTCGCCCGCGTGGAGTTCGGTTACATCGCGTTTCCAAGAGAACCTTCAAAAGTATGGGATAAAAACTATCCTATGTTCTTTCTCAAGGTCAACTCTATCTCTGTACCAAATTTCATTAAAATCAGTTCAGTGGTTTAGGCGTGAAAGCGTAACAGACAGACAGACAGTTACTTTCGCATTTATAATATTAGTAGGGATACTGACCATCCCCTCCTATCAGCGAGCCCCCTCCACAACGAGTCCGTCCTGACTTTCCTCTCAACCAGTTTTTTCCACAGCATCCCTTCAGAGATGACTCTCTGCCACTCCCTACATACTAGTTCAGCCGCGCAGAGCGACCCGGCGTCCAGATATGACAGAATATTCTCAGCTACATGGTCCAAACCTTTCTCTGGAAAATAATAGTTTTTTATTTACATATGAAACTAATATCTACGGATTAATACACGTCTTTTATTACATTCACATCTCGTCTAATGATCACGGTTGCTGCAAAGTAACCGAAACGTCGAGAGTATGTAGTTAAAATAATAAAATACGAGTAGTAATAAAAAAATATTAGTTTAATGTAAATGAATACTCGTAAGTCTTAGTTATCTTTTTTTTATTTCTGTTCTACAAACACATTACTTTTTCTGGTTGATGAATTTAATAAATCATTTGAAGGTAGATATAGAATATTTTAGTTTTTTCTTTCTTCAAAATATTATTGAATGTTTTGTGTTCATTATAAGTATGATTTAACTAATTATTAAATATACGAGAGTTATATTAATTTTAAATTTAAATGTTACATCAATAATTACAAAAATAGTAATTGGGTTGCATTAAAAAAATTGTTCATATGTCTTTGTGTTACAGCTAATTTTCTGCATAAAATATGTATTTTCTATGGCATACCTAAAGATTTTAGGACCAAAGATACTGATTTAAAACTTGGTGATTCAAAATATAAAGAATTTCTTTTGTAATTAATGAAATATGTAATTTTTATTGAGTAACCAAAATATACGATCAAAAATGTTCGTTAAAAAATTTGTGTCTAAAAATATAGAGAATTTATAATTTAATATGTAAATATTACGGAATTACTATATTTTAGGACCAAAAATCATGATTAAAAACTTTCTGATTAATGATATAATGAATTTATAATGATGATGAATATCTAATAATAATTTGTACACCCCTACCATCGCTGTTTTAGCGATAAGGCCGCCTATTGTACATTTTTCATTTTTATGTTTTACTCCTATTATTTTTGTCTATATTAGTGTGCAATAAAGAGTATATAAAACAAACATCTACATACTCGGCAGCATACTGATGAAGTCTCTCTGCAGCATCGGCTTGAGGTAGGCGTTGATGTGTCCATGCTGGTAGTGACACATACGAGCCAGCAACTGTTCCACAAACTCCACCTAGCGATCAGAATATTAATTAATAGTTCATCATAATATACAGGGTGACTTGTGAATTACTATCGATACTTGAGGACGTGATATTTGACGATCATATATGACAAAATAAAAATTAATATAACATAAATATTAATAAACTTCTAAGTAAAGTTAACCAAAAGTTATGTAATTAATTACGCATCGTGTGAACACCCTACAGATTAGGTATACACACACACACACACTCGCGCGTGCGGCGACGTGGTGTTGTATCAGCACGCCGCCGCACGCGTCCACACTTGGAACACTTGGAACGTGTCCACACTTTATTTATTTATACGGAAATTTGGTCAAAAATTAAGTACCTATTTTTTTTACATAATTCAAATGAGAATGATGTACCGAGTATTGTCCTTAAATATTGATAGTAATTCACCAGTCACCCTGTATAATTAAGAAAAATATTGATTAATAGTTCATCATAACATATAATTAAAAAGAGAATAGTCCTTTCAGCAGTGAGCTCTGATAGGATGATGATGACGAAATTAGATATTTTATCAAAATCGGTGATGCTTTTTGTAATGAACATGATAGATTAAGGATTCTGTAATAATTTTGTAAGTAAAAGTAAATAATGAAATGAAAGTCTTATAAAATTCATATTTTAATGTAAATTATTAGTTATTTTTTAAAGTAGCACAATATATTTTTATAAAATTTTTATAGTACAATCAAATTGACTGTGACAATTCTTGAGATAATATTAAATCTACAAATATACATATAGATGTATAAACAAAATTAAAAGTCCTCATTTCGTCTTTGTGATCACGGTTGATGAAAAGTAACCGAAATGTCGGGAGTATATAGTTAAAATAATAATAAAAGCGTAGTAATACGAAAATATTAATTTAATTTCAAAAGTAATAATTATGGATAAAAACAAATATAATAAAAATGTGAATGAAATTTATATTTAAGAAAAAACAAGACTTTTTTTTATAGAAAATAAGTACACATTGTGTAAATTGTGTCAACTGCCAATTTAAATATTAAACTCAAAATTATAATAAACAATTGCTAATATATAGTATGTTACATATACAGGGTGACTGGTGAATTACTATCGATACTCGAGGACGTGATATTTGACGATCATATATGACAAAATAAAAATTAATATAACATAAATATTGTGCGGGATAGCATCAGAGAAATAATATAGAATAAAATATATAGTTAAAATAAATAGCGATAGAAACTATGTAATATGTAATATAAGATATAGCGTAAAATTAATGTAAATAAACAGCTAAGTATAGTAAATAAATAATATAGAAAATATGTATAATGTAAAATAAGACACAACTTGTAACTGTAAAATGATCATGTACGCTCAACATCGCAAGCTCCTGATTGGGCGAGCGCCGGCGCGCTCGCTCAAACACCGGCAAGGCGCGGTGAGATCACCGCGCGGATATAAAAGGCCGGCCGACGGGCCGACTCAGCGCAGTCAGTGAGCGGAATTCATCGGAAGAACATCAGTCAGCGGAACTCAAGAACTACGGAAGACTTCAACAGCGAACAGTGAAACGGAAGATTATTAACAGTGTTCAGAACTGTAATTCGTGTAGAAAATAAATAGTGAATAACCGAACCAGCGCATAGTTTTAATGTACAAACCCGTACATTAAATGGTCCTTCGAGCCGGATAGTACAGAAGAATCGGTTATCGAAGAACACGAAGATCGTCAAAGAACACGAAGATCGTCGAAGAAATACGAAGATCATCAAAGAATGCCGATCACTCGCTCTGAAGGAAAAGGTCGGAAACTGCGATCAGTACAACAATCCTCGTCCGAGGAAACGACCACGGGGACATACGACACGGAGACCACGGAGACAACGCCTTCTACGATGTCATCAACGCCTACCGTAACAGGTGACGGCACCAGTACCGCCGTCGCCCCACCCCCCGTTATCGCCGCAGTTATCGACGCATCCGCTACCTCGGTGAGAGGCGTTCAGTCAGTGACGCCCTCCGCCGCGCCTACAGTACAAGTGGGATCGAAGATGAAGCCGCCTGCTCGACCTGTCACCAGGGTTGACCCAGCAATCAACCAGGGAGCTGAAACTGGCCTGCCACTGCCGAGCGGCCAGCCGAAACCCCATACACCGAGCAAGAAGGGCTCGACAAGGTCTAAGGCTCATAAAATAGCCAAGGCCAGAGAGGAGATGCTCCGACTACAAGTGGAGCTCGCCGCAGCTCGTCTCGCCTCCTTAGAAACGGAGGACACAGAGGACGAGGAAGACGACGTGACGGTTTACTCTAAGGAGGAAGCAACCGACAAAGTCGACAGCTGGTTGAATAACCAGACCGACAAGCCGACGTTACCCGCAGAGCCTGTGCCAGAAGATGACAGGGCGGGACACGAAATACCGGTGCCGAAGCCAGTGGTTCAACAACAATCGACGGAGAGCAAGACAGATATCGCCGCCCTCGCCGAAGCAATCACACGTGCCGTGAGTTCGAGCCACCGACCGAGATTAACGGAACTGCCATACTTTGACGGATCGTATCAACAATGGTTACCGTTCCGTGCCGCATACTATGACAGTCATAGTCACTTCACAGCAGTGGAGAACACAAACCGCCTGAGAAGGATTCTAAAGGGAAGAGCCAGAGAGGCGGTCGAGGGGCTGCTCATTACGAATACGCAGCCAACGGATATTATGAAGACTCTTGAATCAAGATTCGGGAGACCAGAGACCATCGCCATGATGGAGATGGAGGCATTACGAAGCCTAACCCGCCTCACAGAAACACCACGTGATGTATGTATTTTCGCCACCAAGGTGTCAAACATAGTGGCAACGTTGAAAACGATAGACTGTGTCAACTACTTGTACAACCCAGAAGCCTCAAAAACGGTAGTGGACAAGATGACACCAACGCTGAGATACCGTTACTACGACTACGCAGCGACACAGCCAAAGGAGGAACCGGATCTCATTGTAATGGAAAGATTCCTCAGAAGAGAGGCTGACCTATGCGGGAAGTACGCACAGCCGGAACAAGTCGCGGTTAGTACTCAGAAGAGAACCCAGAAGATTCTCAAACTGTCAGAAAAGCCATACACACCGAAGTGTCCAGTATGTGATACAACGGGACACCCAGTGAACGAGTGTGAAAAGTTCAAACAATTGGAACTGAACGACAGATGGGAGACGGCTAAGGCCAAGCATCTGTGTTTCAGGTGTCTCCGCTACAGGAATAAAACACACCAATGCCACACGAAGGCATGTGGTATCAACAATTGCAAGCGTACACATCACAGAATGCTACATAAGATGGAACAAAGGCAAGCGGAGACACCTGAAGTAATAAATTCGACTTGGGTAACGGAAAGGAAACAGTCATATCTGAAGATTGTCCCCATAAGAGTGAAAGGACCGAAGGGCACATCGGACACATACGCCCTATTGGACGACGGGTCAACGGTCACTCTCATCGATGAGAGGCTGGCCAACGAAATAGGGGCGAAGGGACCCCGAGACCCGCTCAGAATAGAAACTATAAACGAGATGAAAGCATCAGAAACTGAGTCGAGGCGAGTCACCATAAGGGTAAAGGGAATCAGCAATGAAGAAAGACGAATCCCAGCACGAACGGTCAAGAACCTCAATGTGTCGTCTCAGCGAGTACCAAAGCAGCTGGTGGAACGATGCAGCCACCTAGCTGACCTAAAGGATCGCCTGTGGTACACGCACGCCAAGCCACAGATATTAATCGGCCAAGATAACTGGCATCTACTACTGGCCTCACAGACAAGAGTGGGGCGCAAGGACCAACCGGTGGCATCTCTTACGCCACTGGGATGGGTACTGCACGGAAGCCAGACAAGGACCCTCGGGAGGAACATCAACTTCATTTGCCACATAACCGAGGATCCTGAAGAGGGTTTGAAAGACCTCGTAAAGCGATACTTCGAGATGGACGCGCTCTGTCTGAATCCAAGGAGACCTAACACGGATCCCGAGGAGCGCGCGCTGCAGGTACTGGAAAGGAACACCGTACCAACCGACGACGGGAGTTACCAGACAAGCTTACTTTGGCGCAAGGAAAACATATCGTTTCCCGACAACTACGAGAGCGCGCTAAAGAGACTCCATGCCACGGAAAGGAAGATAGATCGCGACCCGAACCTCAAGCGAAGATACAACGAGCAAATGGACGCGCTCGTAGCCAAAGGGTACGCCGAGATAGCACCGAAGCATAAGACTCCGAACAAGACCTGGTACCTACCACACTTTGCGGTGATTAATAAGATGAAGCCGGACAAATTAAGAGTTGTTCATGACGCCGCAGCCAAGACGAAAGGGGTCTCTCTCAACGACATGCTACTCAAGGGGCCGGATCTACTACAATCCCTACCAGGAGTCGTTATGAAGTTTCGTCAGCACAAGATTGCAGTCACTGCTGACATAAAGGAAATGTTCATGCAAGTCAAGTTACGAACTGAAGATAGAGATGCACTCCGTTACCTATGGAGAGGAAACAGGAGGGATGACTCACCTCCGGAAGAATATAGGATGACGTCGCTCATATTCGGAGCATCCAGTTCACCGTCAACGGCAATTTATGTCAAGAACTTGAATGCGAAGCGACAAGAGGACTCCTACCCGGAAGCCACGGAGGCCGTAATCAACAAACACTATGTTGACGACTATCTGGACAGCTTCAAAACCATCGAAGACGCTATACGGATCACCAAGGACGTCCGAATAGTCCACAGCAAGGCGCACTTCGAGTTAAAACAGTGGAAATCGAACTCGGCAACGCTTCTGGAAGCCTTAGGGGAAAGAGAGCTACCAAAGGACGTGGAACTACACACCACAAATGAGAAAACGGAACGCGTGTTAGGCGTGATGTGGAAGGTGAACTCGGACGAGCTCTCGTTTAACTTAAACTTGGCGGGCACACCCGCGGAAGAAGCGTCAATCAAAAGACCGACAAAACGAGAAGCCCTCAGGATCGTGATGTCACTTTTCGACCCGCTCGGGTTTGCATCTCCGGTGACAATCAAGGCCAAGCAAATTCTCCAGGAAGTCTGGCGAAGAGGGACGGATTGGGACGAGGAATTAGAGACAGATCTCGCCGAACAATGGCTCGAGTGGATGATCCACCTTAGAAATCTCAGCCAGGTCGCGATCCCGAGGTGCTACATGAATTACAGCGACGCAACCTCGCTGCAACTACACGTATTCACCGATGCGAGTGAGTCAGCTTACGCAACGGTGTTGTATTGGAGAACAACGATGCCAAGCGGAGAGATTAGGGTGTCGCTAGTCATAGCGAAAGCGAAAGTGGCGCCTTTAAAGCTCACATCAGTGCCAAGGCTAGAGCTGCAAGCCGCTGTCATGGGTACGAGACTAGCCACAACGGTAGTGGCCGAGCACGAGAGGAAGCCCGACACCACAGTGTTCTGGTCGGACAGCAAAACGGTGCTCACGTGGATAAGGAAAGGGTCACGGTCTTACAAACCATACGTGGCCCATAGACTGGCGGCCATCGAAGACGGGTCGGAATCGAACAGCTGGCGGTGGGTGCCATCAAAGCTAAATGTCGCAGATGACGCGACAAGGGACGTCCCACACAACTTCAGTACAGAACACAGGTGGTACAAGGGACCGGAGTTCCTGTACGAGCCCGAGACCTCCTGGCCAACCGAAACACCCACGCCAGCCTCGGAAGAGTCTTCAGGCGAAGAGAGAACACACCACGTGAGCACCAGGAATGCAACAAGACTAGCGGAAGGGCTACCAGACCCTGCTAGATTCTCCAGCTGGACGAGACTAAAACGCTCTACGGCCAGAGTCCTCCAATTCATTCACTTATGCAGGACGACTAACCAGGAGGTACACTACGCTCGGAACAAAAGGAACAAAGAAAGGGATCCAGAGTGGATCAAGAAAAGGACACTGATTCCGAGTAGGCCGCAGAGAGAACAAAAGAGACCTTTGACACATGTCTCGGTCAATAAGGAAGATCCAGAGGCGCTCACGCCTAACCACTTCCTGCTAGGCGGACCAGGTCGGGTACCCCAACCAGGAACGTTTAACGAAAAGGACGCCATCTCCACGTCGAGCTGGCGAGCGGGACAACAACTGGCGGATAAGTTTTGGTCTCGCTGGGTGAAGGAGTATCTCCCCGAGCTTCAACACCGGCGGGAGCCAAACGGAAGGGGACCTGAAGTGCAGATAGATGACCTGGTGCTAATCATAGACACCAACCTACCCCGGAACACTTGGATTCGTGGTCGCGTGATAGCAACGTATCCAGGACCAGACGGCGTGGTACGTACGGTGGACGTGCGGACCAAGGGAGGTGTACTACGTCGTCCAGTCAGAAAACTCGTGATCCTGCCGATATCAACAAAAGAACCCGCACCGAAGGGTACGACGAGTCGTACGGCGGGAGAGATGTGCGGGATAGCATCAGAGAAATAATATAGAATAAAATATATAGTTAAAATAAATAGCGATAGAAACTATGTAATATGTAATATAAGATATAGCGTAAAATTAATGTAAATAAACAGCTAAGTATAGTAAATAAATAATATAGAAAATATGTATAATGTAAAATAAGACACAACTTGTAACTGTAAAATGATCATGTACGCTCAACATCGCAAGCTCCTGATTGGGCGAGCGCCGGCGCGCTCGCTCAAACACCGGCAAGGCGCGGTGAGATCACCGCGCGGATATAAAAGGCCGGCCGACGGGCCGACTCAGCGCAGTCAGTGAGCGGAATTCATCGGAAGAACATCAGTCAGCGGAACTCAAGAACTACGGAAGACTTCAACAGCGAACAGTGAAACGGAAGATTATTAACAGTGTTCAGAATTGTAATTCGTGTAGAAAATAAATAGTGAATAACCGAACCAGCGCATAGTTTTAATGTACAAACCCGTACAAATATTAATAAACTTCTAAGTAAAGTTAACCAAAAGTTATGTAATTAATTACGCATCGTGTGAACACCCTACAGATACACACACACACACACGCGTGCGGCGGCGTGGTGTTGTATCAGCGCTCCGCCGCACGCGTCCACACTTGGAACAATTGGAACGTGTCAACACTTTATTTATTTACACGGAAATTTTGACAAAAATTAAGTACCTATTTTTTTTACATAATTCGAATGAGAATCATGTACCGAGTATTCTCCTTAAATATTGATAGTAATTCACCAGTCACCCTGTATATGTTCTAGTAAGTGTTAATTTTCTGTTTTGTAACATATATATAACTGGTCTACAATTCGATATCTCCCACTTAAGTTGTTGTATGCCACAAAAATGCAATTTTGTTTTTTTTCAAAAAAATATCCCATTATGGATCATTACATCCATACAAAGTAAAAAAACAACAAAAAAACTATTTTTTAAGGATTTGTCAGATGCATACCTAATGTTGTAATTTTTAAATTTTGCAGATTTTGGTTTAATTTGAATGTTTAAAATGCTCTACTGTATATTTACAGTTTTGGAGATACAACAACTTATGTTGGAGGTATCAAATTTTGTAACAAGCCTTAGTATTATATATATATATATATATTGTATATTATGTGTTACATTGTACAAAGTAACCTTAGTCCACGTCAACTATCACACTGCATACTAGAAGTATACAGTTTTTTTAAAATAAAACTTCATAAATTACAGTATTAACTAACTATTGAACGTTAAATGAGGAATACTATACAAGTATAGTGAGAATTGAGACTTGTGGTAAGGGTATGAGTTTTTGAAACACATTACTATTGAAAACATTAGTTTTAGAACTCTTACAAATAATAATTATTTAATCCATTTACAATAAACTTATTTTGGTGAAACTTTATAAAATAAATGTAATTACTTTTCAATTAAACTTTTATGATAAATAGATGTAATAACTATACTCATCAAACACGGACAAATGTATACATAAATATGAATTTTAATATATATATAGAAAAAACTTAAATATTGGATTAAATGTCATGTTAATACAAAAATTTAAGGCTTAATCCAGACTGGTTATGCTGTTTTTAGGCTATATATATACAAACCTGATCTGTTTCGTTCCATCTCGAGAACAAGTTGAGACATGTGTTCCTCTCAGCGACATAGGCAGCCCCGCTGGGTGCCGGTCGGACTCCGGAGTCCAACGAGGTTAATGACGTCACCTGAAATTATTTATAAGGATTTTTATTATTCTGACCACAAATTCGGTACACTAGAATTTCTACCTTTAATTTATTTTAGTTATAATTGTATATTTTATATATGTATGTATGTGAATATTTTTCGTCTTGCCATTGATTTTATGCATGTATATATATATATAGATTTTAGCAAAATTTTTTTAGTTTGAATATTTGATGAATATTTGAAATCAAAATAGTGACCTTATACTGATTTTTGACTCATTAACCACTATTGTCATGTAATTTCTAGTCTAATTTATAAAATAAAGGATTTATTTAGTCTAAGTGTTATCAGGTAAGTTATATAGATAAGATATTGATACATTAATAATTTTGTAATAATACTGCATTTTCGAGGATTTATGTTAATAGTACCATAACTTTGTATATAATTAAAAAATACTAATGAAAAAAGGATATTCATGTACTACTAGTAGATTATCTATGTAATTTCTGGACAATAATTTATACTTAAAATTATATTAAATCTATAATTATATGTAACCGAATCAAGATATTATGAAATATCTGAACGACACATTGTTTTATTCTTGCGAAATTAACGAAAGTAGGACGTGTAAGTCATGTTTTTTTTGTCACTGAAAATATTTACATTTTTCTCATACAATAGTAACCTTAAATAATCTTTGCATCATTTTATGGTATCCATGGAGAACATATTTTGTATACTGATGATATTTAACAATCAATTAAAGGGTTATTAATGAAGTTTCAAATGGTCTACGCGAATGTAGAATGGTTATACTAGAAATTGGGTTAAAATCACTACCAAAAGCCTGCATTGCAGAAGTTTGAAGGTGGTGTCTGTGAAATAAGTGACTAAACACAGCTCTTATGACTAATAGCTGGTAATAAAGCATAATTATTGTAGATATAAAATCTTAGAAGTGAACAAAAGTATTAAATTTACAAAGCTAACTTGTACAGGCAAAGATGGCGGAAAAGTTTTGCCCTGACATTACTGCTGTGGCCTATTTACTAGTTATCAGGATACCTTTGGTGTCGTCGAATCTTCTATCATCCAATCGGTTTCCATTTTTGTAATTTCACTAAATACATTAATAAATGTCCACACAAAACGCCACAAATAATTAAACCACCGATGCTATATATTCGTCGTTCGCATGACGTCAAGCACTATTGTTTTTTTTTTCAGTATGAAAGGGTATATATTGTTATTAGCACTGGATACGTGTACTTTTGGTCCTTTTGGAACGAATAGTTGTACTTAAATAATTTTGTTGTAATGTGAGTTATGAAATATTAATTAATTAAATAAAATAGTTAAATATTCCAATAAATGTTCTAATATTAATATTATGTTCTTATCCCTTCTAACTTATTATTAATTTTGATATTTCAGCCAAGTTTAACTGAATCACCTTATTAAACAATCGAAAATATCTTCTTTAGTGATTTTATTTCAATTCTTTGCAATAAATATTACCTTTAATATTCAATTAGCTATTTTTTTTATATTTTTCATTGAAAGTTTTATTTAGCAAGATTTTTAATAGTATTAAAATATTAAGTATAAGCATCAAAACAGAACCTTGACGTAATAAATAATTGACATTCTCAGTTTGTCTTTTCCTTGATATATATGCCAAAAACTTTGAAGATATGTTGATATTTTTATTTAGCAATGTTAATTATTGTACTAACAAAATAATTATCTAATCATGGCTGTTTTATCATCTTTAAGATTGGGAAGTTTTAATTAAAAATGATTTATTCCAACTATTTATTATAAAATAGTGTGAATCGAATAACATATATGTAAGTGCTAATTTTAATATCAATAGCTACTAGTTGTTTTCGTAATTGTTTAGTGAATTCTTATATTTAATATTAGCATCATGATGTATACAAATATATTAAAATTGTGGCTAATCGCACTGGTTCTCAAGTTTTTAGTAATATTTGAAATTTTTATCTGCTTTAAATTATTTATTTTGTAAAAATGATTTTGTTACATGCTTACGAAAATTGTGTGCTCTTTCATTAAAATAAAAAAATCTACTATCAAGACTAACCAGTTTATTTCGAAATATGTGTTCTATTTGCCTAACAATACATATAAAATATATTTATAAAAATTTAAGGGAAAATTTTATTTGTATTTAGTAACTAAACAACAAAAAGAAATATTCTGTACAAATAATACCCATATCTAAATTTTATAAACTTAATGTAATTGTGTCTGAAACATTTTAAACATAATTTAGCATTTCCAGGTCTTGATATCCCGAAGTTAAATATAAAATGGAGAACCGTCACGCACCTCCCGGGATTAACACTCGCTCGGAAACAGCGGCTCAGTCTGCTGCCGATCTTGAGGTGAATATTTAAAATTATAAGAAAAACGTGTCAATTGTAATGTATGTAAAATGAGTACACTTTTTGATATAATACATATTATGTAGTATTCAATTAAACTTTATTAAATTCGTCATGTATGTATTGTGTTAAGTAACTAAACTGAATAATATAATAAAGTGAGCTATGTACATTACACTTGACATCATATTATTATAACAATAATGAGGAAGGATAACTAATACATAAGATGTTATAAATTACTTCTTTTATATATAAAAGTAAAGTTTATGAGTACAGTGCATTTGATTTAAGCTGAGCTTTGCATTTGTGTGAGTGTACACGGATAGTGTAGGTGTGATGTCAAATTTTTGAATGCCACATTCTTTTCTAGTTTTGAACCGGTTTATTCTGCTTTTACTTCGCCCCGCACCTTCTGCACTTCACCCTTTGTAGTGATAGCAAAATCAAATGTTGAAACCGCAATGTCAAGTGAATGAGAATTTGTATAGTTTTTAAAATTTTTTTATTAATTAATATTTTTTTCCAAAATATTTCCATCTGGTCTTTTACAAGTTTTGCGTATTTTATAGCACTTATGTTATGTATCTATTTAAAATATAATAAAATTTAATTCTAAAAGTTTTTTTGTCTAAATCTACTTTTTCTTTCACTCACACAAATGTAAAGCTCAGCTTAAGTGTAATGGACTATACTACATGTTTTTTTATTATTTTTTATGAAAGATATTTTCATCTCGTCTGTTGATCACGGTAAAGGAATCAAAGTGTTGGGATCATGTAGATATAGAATAATATAAATTATGTAGTATATGAAAATCCTTATTTTCATTTAAATGTGATAATCTTAGATATCATCATTTCTTATATTTAATAAATCAATTGAGGATGCCCAAAATTTCAGTTCATTAATTCAGTAATATAAATGACAAAATATCTTCAACACTGCAGATTTACTAAATTTTAATAATTTATATTACTCAAGAAATATGATTTATTAAGGACTATATTAGACTATTTTGTTAGGAATTTGAATAAAAACATTTTTTTAATAGAAACAATGAAGTTAATTAAAATAACTAAAGACATTATAAATTGTTTTCTTCTAATAAATAATTGAGTTTTCATCCAAAGTTGATCCGAAGTATTTCCCAGAAGTAATTATTGATGTTAATGAATATTACCCAGGTGTTGAAGGAAATAGATCATATATATTTCTCACCACCTTCCGAGTTTGATGCAGCCCGGCATGCTTTGGAGACAGCACCCTCGCCTCCGGACTGCGAAGCTATTGAAAGGATGTTCACCAAGTTGAAACGACAGCAACAGGTTGGTAGAAATGTGCAGTGTGTGCAGAAATGTGCAGCATGTGCAGTGTACATATGCTCGGCATAATTGCAAGATCATGTAAATGCACCCATAATAATCTTTGTTTCATTGCTCTATTACAATAATTTATACTTTAATTCAGTTTGCATTCGGGCACCAAGCATACTTGAGGTTCTCATCGATCAATCATTTATTTTATATCAAATTATTTAATCTAATAAGTAATTATCAATTTATATAATATTATTAAGTGTATGAGGAAACAAGTGCAGGAATTTAGGTGCAGAAATGTGCAATGGTATCCGAATAATATGTATTCTATTAAGTAATTGGGTGTTCTGATGATGAATGTGGTAATGTGGTTGTAAGGGTTCCTCTTTTAATATTTGAAGATGGATGAAAGATGGATGTACAAGTAATGACAAAAGTAGCAGTATGTAAAAGTTATGGACATTACAAAGGGTGTGATTTATAATTAGGTGGCTAGTAGAAGAAAATTATTGAGAATGTTGTATTATTTTAGAATTTATTTATGTTTTATTAAGTGCATGCATCTGATAGTCCTTTAATCTGTTAATACGAAATGGAAGGCTTAGATAACCATACTAAGTGGTATAGTGTATATAAAAACATTATTATTTTCATTCTATCTTGTATTTCCAAGTAATTATGTCGAATCACAAGATGGGTCCATATATATAAGTTTTTATTAAAAAATGTCTTTTTAATCAACACGTTTGTTTTATTTCCAGGTAGTATCAGGTAAAGCTCTTCACTTGATATCCCAACATCGTGATAATTGTGACCGCGAGTTCGCCGAAATACAGAACATCCGTGAACAACTATCAGATACCCTCGAGACTTGTAGGAAGGCCAGGGAAAGACTGAAAGCGGCATCAGACCACTTGACTATATCCACCTTTGTCATACTAGCTAATGTCAGAAAGAGACAGATAATAAAACGTGTGCTGAAATCTCTCGAACTGTTGAGAAGTCTCCGCAGCGTGGAGAAAGATGTCGCTGAATTAATCACCAAAAAGGAGTACTATGAAGCGATTCAGTTGATCCTGGACAGCAAAAAAGCGGCTGCGGCCCACAAGGAGTACACTTGTATAGCAGATTTGGCGACAAGACTTCAAGACACCTTGGATATGACTGAGGAAAAATTGGATTCCGTACTAGCGAGCATCTGTGTTAACTTCGACGAGGTTGTTTTCAAGAAATTAAAGAAGGCATACGATCTTCTTGGTAAAACGCAAGCCGCTATGGAGCAACTGCACATGCACTATTCATCAGCGGTCAATGAATCGGCGTTGGAAGCTGTTAAGCCTTTCTTGACTGAAGTGTCAATAGAGATGAAGTTTCAAGAGATGTGTCAAGCGGTTCCTACGACTAAGGCGCCGCTGTGTTTATTGAATCTCTGTGAGAATCTATTTCTTGTGATGCGTAGTTATTATCTATTGGTGAATTGGCATATAAAAAATGAGGAATATTTGCCCAGCTCGGGTAATGTATTTGATGTAGAGAGGAACGTCAGTCGAGAATATATAAAGCAGAAGTTAAAAGCTGGATTAGTCAGAATCTGGCATGACGTGCAAGCAAAAGTTTCAACGTTCTTGAAGAGTTCAGGTTTGGAAGAATTCCCGTTTGAGAAGTTTATTCAAATGCTCGGTATACTGAGGAAGTTGACTCAAGTAGCTGAAGTATTCTGCGGGGACACATCAGACATGCTGACAGACTTTATAAAGACGCAGAGTTTGTTATATATCAAAAATTATCATCGAGGAAGGATGGAGGAGCTAAAGTTATTCCTGGAGAACGAAGGATGGGAACAGTGTCCAGTCAGAACTACCTTCAATGTCTTGAATTTGCAAGAGTTCAAACAGTTTAAGAAGTATCTGAACTCCATTAAATCAGATGCTGTTAAAAGCACGCAGTCGGAAACCACTTCATCCGTCCCATCACAAGATGACAGTCTATATATATCGAAATATTTCACCGAAAAAACATCAAGGACTCCGTTCGAGATATTTAGAAACGAGAACGTCACTAACGAGGATATTTTCGGGCTCGAACCTGAATCCGACGATACCGACGTTTCGGACGACGAGCCTGATGAGCTCAGACGAGATTTCGTCGAAGATTCCGACCAGATTCCGTTAAGTCCATCCAAAGTCAAAGAAACCGTCATAGTCACCAACACAACGCTCTCCGTGCTCAGGAACTGTGGCCAATACCTTCAGATAAGCAGATATTTACCACAACTAGCGCTAGAAGTCATCATGTTCATGAATCAGCTGTTCGATTATTACTTCTACGCCGTGCATCTCTTCTTCACGTCTGATCTAGAAGTCTCATCAGCTACTTTATACAGCCCAAAGTTAAATTCAGTTTTAAAGAGAATCACAAATACTCTCAACATGGCGACAGAAGACGGCTTGACCTTGGAATGCCCAAGTATTCCTAATCACCTGGACATGGGATCCGAAGAGAATTTACACGGCTGCAGCGAGAGAATAGTCGCAGTTGAAAGCGTTATATTCCTAGCAAAGCAATTTGAACTCTTACAACCGTATTTAGAGTCGATAGTTGCTCCGCACCAGCGAATGATATTGGAACACTTCAAAGAGAATACACTGGCTGTGGTGACGGATTTACGTATGCCGGTATATATGTGTTCAGCTTCGAAGGCAGTTGATGCGAAATCAGCCCTGATGGCAATGTCTCAAGTGAGATGGGATGTTAAAGACGTAGCGGTGGAACACAGTCCGTACGTGGATATGATTGTGAGGAAGATCCAGGTGTTCGCTCTTCGCCTGGAGAACATATCAGCCAGAGTAACCCTGAACTACGAAGTCCTGAACTCAGTATGGGCGATGGTGTCTAAGTTTGTGGTCCATTTGCTAGTTGAAGGCTTCTCCAATTCCACAAAATGCTCTAACGGAGGCAGAGGTCTAATGCAGTTAGACTATAGACAGCTTTTCGTCAAATTGGAGAAAATATCCGGCTTGAAACCGGTTCCTTATCAAGAATACGTAGATAGATACGTGAAGGCGTATTATTTGCCTAGAAATGAATTGGAGAATTTCGTTAGAGAGAGAACAGAGTATTCTAATAAGCATCTCCTAGCTTTGGTTAGTTCTTCGTGTGAGAACAAAAGAGATAGACAGGCTTTAACCGCGATTATTGAGAGCAAAGACACAAATTAGCAAAATTAGACCATTTTTTATCATTCAATGTAATATAATCATTCGTTCTCATGAAATTGCAGTAAAAGTCCGATACATCATTTTGTTAAGCGTAGTATATTAAAATGAAAAGGATTTTTAAGTGATGTTCATATTGTTCCAATATTTTACGCACAAAACTATTTATAATGTATAAAATAACTATGTATGAATGTAGTGTATATTGTATTAGAACATATTTCAGTGCAATTTCTGTATAACACTAAATTATGATTTCTTCTTTCTCTTCTTTAGTTATGATTTAAATCAGTGACAGTTAATGACTATTAAGAACTGTCAAATGTCAGTGACAGGTCGCCTGTCATTTTATGCCAGTGTAAAAACATTATCAACTAATTACTTTAATAATATGTATGTATGTACAGGGACAAATCAAGTAATCTCAAATATAAAGACATATAAAAGTGACATTATATTTATAAATGTTAATAAGTTTAATATTTTAAATGCGTTTTATTTATTTACTTCATAGTTCCGAAATATTTATTGACCGAAAAATTTTTCTCATATAGATAATTCTTGCATCTACTTTTTATTTCCCTAAATTAAAAAAATAGAACCTGTATTATAGTATATAATGCTATATTTATAATAAATATTTAATATATAATTGAACAATTCAGTCTCAGATACTTAGTGTCATCATCATCAGCCTAACAGCTTATTGCTGAAAGGCTTCTCGTCATGTGGAGAAGGTCACAGCATTAATCACCGCGCTCGCTCAAGACGGGTTGGTGATTACAAACTTATAATTTAATATTATTAGTCCAGGTGTATACAGACAAAATTATTAGAGAATATAAATTAAAATAATATCTGCAACTAAACAAGACTAGGATTTATTACGATATTTACTCCGCTTCGTTTGTACCCTAGACAGTTTCTTTTGAATTGGTCATGATTACTCCAAAATAATCGTAATGTCGCTTAACAATCTAAACTACCGAGGTATTCGAAGTAAATCCTTGACCCAAGTTTTATTATAAATCATAAGCTTTTGAAATAAAACAAAAAAGTTTCACATTCTAAATAACACTAAAAGTACATAAATTGTTTTATCTGTGGATTAATATTCAGTGTTGCTGACTTAATAAACAAAAATTATTGATATTTACCACAGAATACACAGCACCAATTGTACACAATTAAATGAAACTAATATTTTCGGATTTACTACACGATGTTTTATTTTCGACTATAAACTACATACTCCCGACGTTTCGACTACTTTACAGCAACCGTGATCACGACCAAAAATTTTTGTTTTGTTATGTATTAAATCAGAAAATATTAGTTTCATTTAAATGAGTACTCCCGAAAATCTTAGATCTCAAATATACACAACTTATATTTAAAGGTTCTCAAATAAAACTCAGTTGTAGACAACACTAGAATTTATTTCTTTGGCGTTTATAAATTCTTAACAGATCATTTTATAACTTTACTCACTTTCACTTATTCTACTTAGATTTTGATGACGTCATAAAGACCACTAATAGGTACAAGAGTGATTTTATTCGGTGCTTAAATTCGTATACAAAAAAAATATCTTGTGCTGCCAGTGTATGAAGAATGTATGTATATATGTTTAAAAAATATATATTATATACTTTATATACACACACAACCAAGCAAATGCGTTATAATAATACTAAACATCTCTTAACATAAAACATTTCGTTTGAAATATAAGGAAAGCTTGAGATCATAATTAAATGCATTTCAAACATCAGTACATAGAAGTAATTAATCACAGCGAGAATTGGATTCATATATTTTACAAGCAAAATAATGTTGGAAAACATAATTAATCCATATACATATATATTTTTTGAGATACTTTCAGATACAAGATCTTGCTACTTTCCCTAACTTGTCATTTTTTTATTTTAATAATTCATTATATATATTTGAACCATGAGCGGAGGGTTCATTTGTCATGGGGACGGTAACATTAGCAGGTTCGATTCCCGTTTTTCATCGTTCATATGTGGTGTCAGCTAGTTTCTTGTTCCATGTACCATCAGTACTCTTGGAGAGTCTTCATCATCATTCTCTTCATTCTGGTAGCCAATGCTGAGCCCTCCATAATAGACAGTAGAATCCGGAGTAAGTGCTGCTATTGTTAGACTGAAATAAAATATATGTCGTCGGTGATAGTGAGAATCCGCGTAACTAGCATTGTATAATTCCTAGTATCTATATTGGAAGCAAATTATCAGAAAAAAGTTTAAGCTGAAATATTTTGTATATTAATGACTTTCAAGTTAATTTTTTCACAATTACTAATTATTTAGCGTTTAATTTATTCAGCATTTAATCTTATCAATATAGTGCCATCTACTTAAATAATAAAGTCTATACAAATGTTGTGTGTGTGTTTACCTGTGCGGGCGCGTATCTCTGTAACAGTGGCCTGTAGCCGGCGCCGAACGTCGCCACTAGCGGCCCGTCCTCCGCGGCCGACAGTGAGGGTAGAGACACTATAGCGCGAACCTGGGGTATAATACAATAGTTAAATTAATTATAATTTGAGGAAAAACGCTTTTATTTAATAATTATAATAAGCTAGTTTTTGCCCGCGACTTTGTCGGCGTTAATTTCGTCATTAGTAATATATGTATAGCTGACCGGGCGAACTCTATTTCGACCTAGAGGAAGTAAATAACCAGATATTGGAGTTTATTAAGCCTTTATTCTGTTTAGATAAAACAGAATTAAATATTATTATACCCCCATACTCTTCCCCCGAACTCAGGTCACACGTAAATTATGTTTTCTTTCATTTTTATAATATTCCCATCCATTTCTAATAGGTAGGTATCATATTATTTTTGGTTTTAAAAATTATCGACATAGTACATTTTAATACATATCTTAATTCAATAGTTTTGTATGTATCTGTAATACACATATAAAGTTAGTGTAACATAATGACGTCATCACCTCCTCCTCATACGGCCTGAATACTGTGATCGGTCTGAGGGTAGCGGGGTCAACGACCACTATACAACCCCACGCGGTACCCACCAGCGCTTGGGATGAGCTGGAACATAGCGCTGTCACCTGGAAAATATATTATAAAGTCATTTGCAGAAGTAAATTAATATTACTACTAAGTACTGGTTAAGTTGTTTATTCTGTAATTATTTGATGGTTTTGAGAAATGTATAAATAATATTTTTACAGTATATATTGTTGCTTGTCTTGTATTTAAAGATGTGATTCTGGCATTAGTAGAGAATTAGCTATAGATAATGATTATAGTTTAAACGTTCCAAAATATTTTGTCTGTGAAAACTTAAAGAATAAAATATTTTTCTTCAGCTACTGTAAAACCACTATAACTTATCCTAACTAAAATAAATAAAATTACAAAAACATTCCTTCTCTATACAACACCTCCAAATTTTTTAGGTTTCTTACCGGTCTAAGGCCTTAATAGGACATTATCGCTTACTTTAAGAAAGGCTGCTATAGTTTAAAAGCCTCTTTGGAAGGAAGGCAGATGGCCGCTCTGAATCTACATATTAGGAGTTAGCACCACTAAGGAAGAATCAGGATTTATCACAAAATATTTAAAAATAACACTTCTTTAATATTTCTTGACCCAAAATTTCTCAATTAATTTCTCCTGATTATGAAATTTGAGGAATTATATTGTTCTAAAAATTTATCTATAACAGTAGATTTCGCTACCAATAACTTTTATTTGTACTTTATCTTGGACATTTACTAAATAAAGTATTCAATTATGGGGACTCTAGAATGAGCATTAAATAAAGTTCTTATACAATCACAGTTAAATTTACTTTTTACTGACACATACGCAGACACGCACACTTTCACACACGCAAACATCCACACACGAGCGCACACACACACACACACATACATATTGCTTTAGGCATTTATTAGAATAAGTTGAACTAATTCCATTAATTATAAGGATCTCAACCTAGATCCTCTGGAATATTATCTAATCAATTTCAATACATATAAAAACATAATAGTCATATAGGTAAGGGTAGTTAGTGTTAATGCTACATGTGTATCTACCCTGCATCTCTCTCTCCCTGGTGTATCTTCTATGGCGATGGACTGAAGGCTTTCGGAGCAAGGAGCCAGTTTACTGCAGTCCAAACGACACAACACGCGCCTGCTCCTTACACACCACGAGTACACACACGTGTCTGATGATGAAGGGGAATTAACATACAAAGTATATGGTTATAATTAATCAATTAATTTCATATTAAAGAATTATTTGAGTAATTTCGATAAAACTCAATAGTAATATAGGTATATGTATATATAATAAATGAAATTAATGTAAGTACGGCCAACGAAACAATTAATACAGTTATTCTATTGACCTGTCTTAATAATAGTTATGTAGGTATTTGAGATGTTTCATAATTTAAGTACGTCCAATGAAACAAGATAAATGAGACGAAACTTCTCATCATTCCATGTATTCATATGCGTGTGTCGGGTCCACCGTTGTAGTGAGAGGAGCTTCAACAGTGACTGGGACTTGTGACCCAGGTGTAGGTTTAAGAATCCCTATCTAACGCATTATACGCTCACCTCCACTGTCCAAGCTCCTCTCTCTACTAAATAAAATTTGAAAAGAACCTACTAGTTCCAAGAATGCATTAATGTGAGGTCTGGACAAGCCCAAATCTTTTAGTAGGTTGTAGAGTTTATGTATTGTAATATAAACAATTATTATTAGATATGTTATACTGACCAGTCTTACACGCTGATAGGACCACGGTTCCAGCGGTTGCCAGTAGTGTGAGGGGTCCAGGTTGTGGTGCGTCCACGCTATCAGCTGATGACACACCCTCGGAGGATAAGGAGTAGGTATACAGACGATCACCGCCAGCCCATAACTCCGTACTTGATAAGCAAAAAAACCCTTAATTAACGTAATGAAATTTAAATGAAACTTATATCTTTAGGATGTACTACGCGACTTTATTTTATTATAAAACTACATACTACCAACGTTTCGGCTACTTTTAAGCAACCGTGATCGCGTAGTATAATCCCAAAATATTAGTTTCACCTTAATTATGCTTATTGACGCATAAAATAGGCTCAACAAATCGAATATTGTAGAATGTTTTCGACATTAAATAACAGCGCCATCTCTTGACGGGGTGACGAACTATTATTAAACGTTTATTAGAACATCCCTATTGTTAATATATAAACGAGCAAGTTTTGGAATGTTCTAGTAATCAAATCGTCGTGTATAAAAGAGACGCTTGGTCGGTAAATAAATTTTTTCGAGTAGCGAAATAAAAGCAATACTAGAGACGAAACCTCTTAGCATTCAAGTTCTGGACAGGCCCAATTCTTTCAGTAGGTTATAGAGAGTTTTAGCTGTTATACCTCTCGCTCCCACCTCTACCGCGTACAAATCAAAGTGAATAATTACCATGTCGTTGTTGGGACCAGCGCCAGGCAACATAACTCCGTCGCTGTTCCAAGTTCCGTCAACACGAAACTTGTCTCTGGAACAGGTCGCTCTGAAGACACCAGGAACAATCTGAAGGATGAAGGAAACGAAGCTTTATATGTATAACACTAGAAGACCCGGCGAACTTCGTATCGCCCTATAATCAAGAAATATCTGTTACGTTTTATTTATATTTTTGGAGTTTACCTATTAAAGCCATAAATCTCCGTCTTTTGAAGTGCGACAGAATGATTGACATATTAGTTAGTTGTCAAATCTAATGTCAAAAAAAATGTTTGTATCGACAACTACATAAAACTAAAAATTAATTAATTTCATCAAAATCGGTCCAGTCATTTGAGAGAAGTTCAGTGACATACACACTCACAGAAGAATTATATATATAAAGATTTATATAATGAGTATAAAAAATTCAATGAGTGACAGTGACTGCTAGATAAAACTAAAATTTTCGTAATATCTACGCGTTTTTTTATTATTTTTCAAATACGTACAATGTACATTGTATCACGAGTATATATTATATACTCCGTGATCACGATTCACGGTTGCTGCAAAGTAACCGAAACGTCGCCAGTATGTCGATAAAACAATAAAATACTTGTAGTAATCCGAATATATTAGTTTAATTTAAATGAATACGAAAGTCTTAGATCTCATTATATGTTTAATGATCGTGGACCATCAAATCAGGTGGTATAATTCTCTATATCTCGCTCACCTGCCACAAGCCAATGCCAGCGCCATCCTAGGCAGTGGTTGTAGGTGTATGAGCGCGGCCACGGCCCCGGGCGCTCCGCCCACGGCCTCAGTGACGCGGGCGCTCCACAGCAGCTCGCAAGTAGAGGCGCTGTACACGAACACCCGCCCTACGGAGTCGCCCGCCCAAATCCGTGGGCCTGCCCGGGACAAGGCCGTCACTAGTACCGGGGAAGACTCGTCTGGAAGAGAGATAATTACGTTAGCTAGGAAGTGATTAGTGATATAGGCACGCACGGTGATTATGTGTTGTTTTTATTAATTAATGTTGTTTTTTATTTTTTTTGTATCATCATCATCATCATCATTTAGCCTATTGCAGCCCACTGCTGGACATTGGCCTCTTCCAACACCATAACACTCGGTCCTCTGCCTTCCGCATCCAGTGAGACCCAGCGACCTTTTTAAGGTCATCGGTCCACCTAGCTGGGGGGCGTCCTACTCTACGTTTGCCGAGACGCGGTCTCCACTCAAGGACACGCTTGCTCCACTATTTTGTATAAGTAATTTAATTTAATTAGATTAAGGTTGTTGTTAAAAACTTTTTAGACAATGCTGTGAATACCTGTAGTAGGTGTACATATGAAGACTATACTTTTGGCTATATTTTTGTGTAAATGTTGCATATTATGTGTACTGTTGGTGTTCCTAAGTAAAATAAATAAATTAATGGGACATAAAATATTCACTGTATTATCAATGCAGATAATATCTGGAAAGACTTAACACCGACCTAGTTGATTTTTTATACACGACGTTACATAACACGGCATAACATTCCAGAAAGTTCTCGTGAATATTTCTAACTTTTTACACTGACGTAAAAAAATAATGTTCTAATAAAAGTTTAGCCTTTTGTTCCTTTATTCATCACGAGATGGCGCTGACGTTATATATGGAGAACACCACAGTATTCGCTAAGCCAATCTTTAAGCCCTATCTATGAACACAATGACTATTTAGTCAAAAACTAACTAACCGGGTGGAACTCTCAATGTATGATGTTTCTTGAACCGATCCTGACTGATCATGAGGCCGTGCAGTCTCTCGGGCTCCGCCCCTCCATACCACAGTTCACAGCCCTCCCCGTCTTCAAGTCGTAGCGGCGACGCGGTCACTGGTCTGGAGGCCCGGGCGGCGGCGGCGTCCCTCAGTGAAGCGCACTCGGGCGCCGCGCATAGAGCGACTAGGGCGGCGGCCGAGGGGCGAAGCTCCGGGGCTCCGCTCCAACAACGACGCATCATGTCGAGCATACTGACAGGGTACTGTAGCTCCTGTTGACAAATGAGGGTAGATAGTAATTTCATTGGAAATTACAAACATTTGGAACATGTTAATGAAGATTTAATTTGGAGTAGTCATTAAATAGTCAGTTATAGGAATATTATCTTGGAAAAACTATTTAAAGACAGTTTTAAATACTATTTTTATGCTTTTAATCCTACTAATATTATACTAGCTCAAGTTTGTGAGTACGTGTGTATGTTTGTTACTTCTTAACGCAAAAACGGCTGAACCGACTTTGATAAAAAATTGTATATATGAAGCTGACGTCCAGGAATAACACACAGGCTGCTTTACATCCCGGAAATAACGGTAACACCGCGGAGCGCAGCTAGTATTTATATAAAGTAAAATCATTCCCATTTCTTACTATTATTATCTACTATTAGGATACTAGTCTACTATCTACTAACCCTCGGTGTGAGCGGCGGCCGGGCTCCCTCTAACACGGCCTCCTTGACCGCCTCGTGACCCTCGAACGGCTGGCGGAGAGTGAAGATCTCGTACAGCAACATGCCGTATGAGAAACAGTCCACCTGCACGATAAAACATTATATATATAACACTATAATTTAAATATATTAATATTTATTGAACACATTTTATAAAAAATCCTTGGAATTTTAGAGATAGCATAATATAAAACTATTAAATTATATTATTGAACTAACTGATAAAATGAAACTATTTATTATTTCCCCGATTTCTCTCATATTAGTTAATAATGAAATTCTATAATATTTTTCGGATATACTACGCGATTTTTATTTTTATCAAAAACTACATACTCCCGACGTTTCGGTTACTTTGATCACGGGCAGACGGGATTTGAGTGTCTGTCAGTCGCTCTTGTTATTTTATCACCTACCGCCATCGATTTCTTAATCTTAGATCTTATTAAGTTAATAATTTCAGATGTTAGGATAAAACAATATATATGTTAAATATTTATTTATAACTTATTCTGATATAACATATTGAATGCAAAAAAGTTTGTGTGGATTCTTGTTACGTACGCGCTACATATGAAGAAAAAAAATGAACATCGCCGGGCGACATCTTTGTATGGATATAATATATAACTCTTGACGCCGCTGACTCCGCGGAACGAACACCAAGCGTGTGAACCAGAAGATTCCTGATACACACAAGCTATGGAATGGTATTGATATCCTAACATCGGGTCAATCATGTAGTCTTAGGTGTAGGTTATAAGTTTTAAAATGTAATTCTTATTTTAATATACATATAAGTATGTTTCGTAGTATTCCTAGAACCTGCGGTTGCCACACGATATAATTTTCTGTAATATATAAGTAAGAAAAATAACGGACATAATGTAGTCCCTAGTACGTGTAGCCATAGTCAATTCGACACGTATAGTATGACAGTTAACGTGTGTACCTTCTCCGTATATTCTTCTTCTCCGTTGTACCTCATGATCTCGGGCGCCATGAACCCCTCGGTGCCGCCGAAGCCCTTGGTCCCCGAAGGTGGGGCCAGCCGGGATATACCTGAATAACACAAGCATACATATATATAAAATATATGTATATACTAGCTTCGCCCGCGTGGAGTTCGGTTATATCGCATTTCCAAGAGAACCTTTCAAAAGTCTAGTTTAAAAACTATCCTATGTTCTTTCTCAAGGTCAATTCTATCTCTGTACCAAATTTCATTAAAGTAAGTTGTGGTTTAGGCGTGAAAGCGTAACAGACAGACAGACAGGGTTACTTTCGCATTTATAATATTAGTAGGGATTGGTATGAAAACACGGGTGTATGTTTGTTAATGGTTTTTTTTTATTTAATAAAAAAGCACTAAACTAATTTTAGTGAAAATGTGTTAAACTCTGTTAAATAATGTATAGGTTATAACGCTATCCTCTGTTCTAGTTACTTCTATCATAACACACATGTCACCCTTAGAACAAGTTTCCATCGTCAAACTACAAACGCAGCGTCTGCAGTTTCTTATGATATGTTTACAGATAAAGAACTGTAAACGTCGCGTATGTAGTAACCACTATGTAGTAAGAGTAGTGAATGGTGTCATGTGTCACACTTTAGATGGCACTGATAGTCTAACAAACATTATTCGCTTCTGCGTGAATATAATTTCGAAGTAAATGTAAACAAAGTAGCGGGGAACAGCTAGTATATGATATGTAAACAAACACGCGGGATAAGGATTCCTACTGAGGAAGAAGTGTGAAAAACTTTATATTGAATAACTGTTTAATTAAATATCTTTGTTAATTTTGAACCCTATTTCAAAAACCATAAGGTATACGATTATATTTATAACTATATGTGTATGTATGTCCTGAACCTTAATTCCAAGTAATACGGTCTATATTGATACTATACATGTGTATGTATGTTTGTTACACTCACCATAATCTCCCAACTTGACGTGTACATTCAACGTGGCCTCCGCTTCAGCCGCGCGCGCCTCCTCGGGCGCCGGCAGTGACCACACCAACACGTTCTCAGACTGAACAAACATACACACACTTATAATACATATATAAGAACATCATCAGCCTATCAGAGCCCACTGCTGAAAGACCTCTTCTCACATGGAGAAGGTTTGAGCTTTAATTACCACGCTTGCTCAAGACTGGTTGGCGATTTCATAATTATAATTTGGTATTATAAGTCCAGGTTTCCTCATATTTTCCCTCATCTGTCAGTGATGTCTAAATACTCTTATAAAGTACATATTACTTTTACAAATCACATTGGTACTTGCCAGGATCGAACCCGCGCCCTCATGCATGAGAGGCGGACCTTAATCACTAGGACACCACGACTAATTGTGAATACATCACTATCTTTTCGTCTAATAGTTATAAAAAGGATGATCCTTAATTATGTCACACAAAGCTAACTAATATAATGACACTGTTCCTATGTACAACTAGAATATGACTTACATAAGAATATTAAACTAATAAATGTTATTTCTAAAGATATTATTTTTTCTCACTATTCATCAAGGTCTGGTGGTAATCCAATATAAAATTTGAAACAATTACTCATTCATGGACTTACAAATTCATAATTATAAGTTTGAAATCACCAACTTAATTTGCTTTTGATTAATGCTCAAACCTTCATGTGAGGAGAGAACTTTCAGGAGGCTCTGATAGGATGAAGACGACTTATTGTCATATATCATTTTTATTACTCGAACTGTTTATTCATAAATGTTTTCTTACAAGTGTAATTCCCATGTAAGTGATAATAGTGTATTAATGGGTATAAAATATCTTAATGTTATCTACCTTAAGGTCCCGGTAGAGCACCCTGTGTGCGTGTAGGTACTCCAAGGCCCGCGCCACTTGTAGGGCTAAGGCCCGAGCGACTCTAGGCCCCACTCGGGCCCCACACCCACGGTACCGACGAAGAGCGCTCTCTAACGACCCCTGGTGGTAGAAAAACTCAATTAATTCATGTTTAATAATATTATATATCCACTAGTCTTTGAACTGATCTCTTTTTGGATGTTATGTCTAAAGAATATTTATTCATCTCATTAAAAACCTACAATTATATGAGAAATTAATAAATAAAAAAATAATGTGAATAGAATAAAAGTATTCAGCAGTTCACATGTACATAGAAAATAAATTATGTTGTGTAATTACTAGAACATTCCTAAACATTCTCGTTTATATTACTTCTTGGTTACATTAACTGTTCATCTTGGTTACATTACAGCTAACAGTTCGTCACTCCGTCAAGAGATGGCGCTGTGCTAAATGTCGAAAACATTCTACAATATTTTCTAACTCAATCTTAAAGCCCGACTGACTTAAATTATCACGTTATTGGTATTTTCCTAACACCACTGTTAATTAACACTTTTTTGTATCTCAATTATTCATGCATGCTGTATGGCCTGTAATTGGAAGTACAATTAACTCTTAGTCTAAAAACATTTTTTATGCAATTACTAATGCTGTAACTTCTGTTGGTTGTCCCTAAATAAATAAATAAATAAACACCAAACATCAATAATCTTCAACATGTTTGGTATGCCGTTAGTGTATTTATATAAGTGCTGCATCACCTGCGGCGCGACAGCCAGCAGCAGTGCCAGTGGTGCAGCACACACGGCCAGCAGCGGCAGCACGTGCGCGTGCCGCAGACGGGACAAGATGCCTAACTCCTGGCGCAGGCCGCAGTACGAGCGACACGCGCCGCCGGACGGGTCACGCTCCCAGCGGGACACAGCCGCCTGGAAAGAACAGACGGTATATATATAATACCTTGTACAAAGAAGCCAAACTCCTAAACGTACGACGCCTTTTTATTTTACAAGCCGTCTTAGCCACTCATAAAATTATATCAAACTCCGTGCCCAATAATACATCAAACCGCAGATTTAAGGCTCCAAGTTTTCCAGTAAATTCGCAGTACGGTTTTCTCCTTTTCTCTTTCCCTTTTTTTACAATAAAATAAATAATATTTGCGACCTCAGAAACCTGTCATACAGAGAAGTAAAAATAAAAACCACAAATTTATTAATAAATTGGTCTTACGATGGCTCCGAACACTTTATAAAAATAAAAAGCCTGTTTTCGTTTTGGATAAATTAAGAGACACATACCAACTTGGACGCGCACCCATACACAAACACACAACCAACTCTCTGTCATTTTATTTATTCAATTTCCTTATATAATTAATTTTTAAAATATTTTTTTATTTTAATGTCATAATAATTTCTTATTTCATTTCTATAAATGTTAAAAACTTTAAGTACAGTACCACTATCTGTGTGATTGTAATTTACTATTTATTATAAGAGCAGTAATAATTAATTTACTGAATCGTGTCTGCTAGAAATGAATCGATGTCCACGATACAGGACCTAGCCTATTGTGAACGTCAACATTTTATTGTATATTGCATTGTAAATTGTTTTTACAAATGTATAAATGAAATAAATAAATATATATATAGCAGCGGAATGACTAACTATTATTATCATGACAATACTACGACGTTAGATCTTTTGTTTTTTATTTACTTACAACTCTTGAAAGGACAAAACCTGATCAAAAAGGCCTATAAAAGTCTTCTAAACAGAAAAATAAAACCATTTCGTATTATAAACACAAGTATAAGAGTCTTAACTATTCACCTTATAGGCCTGCAACGCGTGTACATCAGTATGTGCGGGGGGCGCCACCGGCTGCAGGGCCTTCACGGCGACGGGTAGGGCTGCGCCCCTCCTCCGCCACACGCCCGTCAGTACGGTCCCGAAGGCCCCGCGACCCGCCACGGCGCTCCGGGAGACCTCCTCCCAACGAGCTCGCTTCTCTTCCTCCACGTCCAATAACAGCTGAAAGAGTGATTTAAGGATATATGTTCATATGTAGTTTTATATTTATTAATATGTAGAGTGTATTGAGATACTAGATAGCAATATTAATTGGTTATATACGAATGCCAAAAGTATTTTCTAATATACATATACATATATATAATACTAGCCGAGCCCCGCGGTGTTACCCGCAGATTTCCGGGATTTCCGGAAGGAAAGTAGCCTATGTGTTATTCCTGGACGTCAGCTTCCTGTATACAAAATTTTATCAAAATCGGTTCAGCCGTTTGAGCGTGAAGAAGTAACAAACATACACACACACTCACAAACTTTCGCAATTATAATATTAGGAGGATTGTTGAAATGGAACGCATACCATAAACTGTATGTACATATGTTGCTAGATGTCAGTTTTGTCTATGACTTTAACAAAAAAATCTCTCTGTTCTAACGTTGTCATTGTAACGCACACATTAATTAAAAGTTCAGTTTAATACCAAATTACATTTCATTTGTTTCTACTCCTACTTATATGATATATGTATTATAAACATCTCTTCTTAATGATTACGGTTGCTGTAACCGAAACGTCGACAGCATGTAGTTAAAATAACAAAATAACACGTAGTATATCCGAAAAATTTAAACTTCATTTAAATGAACACTCTTAAGTCTTGCATCTCATTATCCTTCTAATATTATAATCGCGAAAGTTTGTGAGTGTGTGTGTATGTTTGTTACTTCTTCACGCTCAAACGGCTGAACCGATTTTGATAAAATTTTGTATACAGGAAGCTGACGTTCAGGAATAACACATAGGCTATTTTTCATCCCTGAAATCGGCGGGTAACACCGCGGGGCGCATCTAGTATTTTAGAAATAATTTACTCGACATCATATGAACTAATCATTATAGGGTTCTTCCACACGGTCTTTTCTCCGCTCCGTGTGTTTACACCCTTATCTCCCCTCACCGTGTCTGGCGCGACGTCCGCCAGTTGCACCTCTGGGTGTCTGGGACACACGAGCGGCGAGGAGGTGCAGGCGGACAGGACACACTCCTCGAGGGTCCAACACGTGGCGGACACGCGGCCCGCGCTCACTCCCTCCGACGAACCCACGCGAGAGGACGCTGGGGAAGAATGGAGATATTACTTGTTGATTGGGTTGTAGAGCATAGGTTTGGTGAAGCTATAGCTCGAACTTTGTTTGTGTCGAGGAGGTACAAATCTTTCACAGAAAATCGGCGTGAAGTAGTCTTTAATAATAGTCCGATAAGTAAGAGAACCCGTTGACCTTTCTTTATCCCACACTTTTAATGTTCCCATCTTTCCTCTCCCTCTTCCTCAATTAAGGGTAAATCATCTGCAAAATACTTTTGTGGATGTCCATGAGCGACGGTATGACCTTAATTAGGTATGTCATGTGCTCGGTTGCCCCCTTTTGATTTAAAAAAATATATATACTGACTGTTTGAGTCCGCGCCCACGCCGCTGTCCCCGTCCGAAGTCCGGGACTCCTGCGAGCCGCGCGGCCGGCGCTCCGCCCCTAGTTCCAGACGACCCAACACCTGGGACAAACACACACACACATCAAAGCATCATCAGGCAGTTAAGACATCTCTAAAGGATTTGAATAGATATATGAGGATTTACATGATATCCTACCAAAGAAATCAAGATACAATTAAGGTCCTATAATTACTTTTTGTCTGACTAAATCATGTTATAAAATTAGACGAAAACATTGTATGTATATATAGATCAAGTAATAAACTCTTTGTGTCACATATAGAAAAACCTCACAACTCAAAAGTGTCCTATCCTTCATGTAACTCACTTGTGCCATATGTCTGTCGTTATCGTGGTCATAATGGTGGGCGTTGTGGGCGTGGTCGTGGTCAGCAGCGTCCCGGAGACAGGCCGGGCAGGGCGCCACGCGAGTTATGAGACATCTGCCTTCTGACGTGTGAACGAAACGTGTGCCTGAACGTAGAATAAGAACTTTAAATTCATTGACTGATGAAATTTTAATTTTTAAGGACATCCGTCCATACACAAAAATCCGTATTGGTGCTAAATCAAGACTATTTTAAAGGAGAATAGAAGTATGTTTTAATGTTGATATAAATATGACTATGGAGGAATATGATTGTGATAAACCTTCGAGAAATACAACAACATCTAAAAGAATTGAAAATTCACTTTGCAATATCGTAAAGGTACTAAAACAAGTGATATTAGTGACGTCAGCAGTGGTGACGTCACTATATTAACAAGGAGTTTATATTAAATACGATATATGTATATATATATATATGTGTGTGTGTTTGTGTGTGTGTGTCATGTATTTCTCACCTAGCGATGGATACCAGTCCTCTAGCAATAGGTCCACGTGGTCCGAGATGAGCGCCAGCAGCTTCGTCAACACCTCCGGGTTAGGCTCCAGGCTCAAACTCTGTGGAGAGAAGACGAATGAAGTAACATTATTTTATTTTATTTTTTTTATTTTATTTTTAGTTTATTGGAGAAAAAAACAGCACGGGAATGTAATAAAAAATATAAACAATAACACAGTAAATTAAAGACAAATAATACCTGAGTCTTTAAACATTTCTCACTAAGAAATATAGATAAATTATAAAGAGAGGCCGCTTGGGCACGCATCTCTAATAATACACTTGATAAAAGCCATGTGTACAAATAAAGTGTGTAAATTTATTTTAAGGATGTTAAGGGAGTGATGGTAAATTGCTGTAAAGTAGTCGTAACGACGCACTGTGGCAAAATCGCGTATGTTTCGTCTCAAAACTCCTTATCTCAGTTATTTCAAAACTAAACGATCTATAATTTTGCACACGTATACGTGAAAGTATAAGGCTTAATATAAAAATAATGATTTTGAAAATTATGTTAATTAATTCATTTACAAAATAAAAATATGTTTAAATATATTTTGGCATAGTATCAAAAAAGGCGCAAGTAGGCGTAACTTCTTTTTTCTTCTTGTGTAAATTAATGTATAAAGATAGAACAATTAATATCTCGACAGCGGTAAACGGGTAAGTCTCGTTAAAAATAAGTAACCCGAAAATTATACCACCTTAAACTATATATTGGTTAATTTTAATTAATTAATTTATTATATAAATATGATTTAAGAAACGTCATGAGGATATCAAAAGCATTCCAAGAATATATAATACTTATACATTTATATCAAAAACTTTCGAGTAATGTGGTGTTGAATTGTAGTAATGTAATTGTGTCAAAATCACATCATTGAACATGAGTTAGCTTTGTTTTTTTATATACATTATGGTTAGCAAAAACTTATTTAAAAATATAGAAAAGAAAGCTTATTTATAAGACTAAAATAATTAATTAGTTTTAGTCAATAACAACGATTTTCATGTGAAAGGGTTTTGAGACTGTCTTGTATGGGGCTTTCCCATAGTGCGTCGGGAGTATGTAGTATTTCACAAATATAAATCACGCGTAATATATCCAAAAAATATAAGTTTCATTTAATATTAAGTAATTTACTATTTATTAATAAAGAAATTGATATATTTGTTTATAAAGACACACATATATACAGGGTGACTGGTGTCTGTATAGCTATCAAACGCAGTGTGATTTAACATGAGAACAACCGTAATTATTGCGCAATGATCTTTAGTTACCCGTTATATTCGATAGGCTCTCTAGTATATACATATAGTCAGTGTTGGCCTAATGGTTAGAAGGCCCGCCTCTGATACACGAGGGCGCGGGTTCTATCCTGGCCCGGGCAAGTACCAATGTGATTTTTCCAAGTCGTATGTACTTTCTAAGAGTATTTAGACACTGATTAATGCTTATTCCCAAAAGAGGGTTGAAGTAAGCAGGCGGCCGGTCGTAAAAAATAATTAGCCAAATCTATTCACAACATATAAGGCAGACCCTGGCTATAGCCGGGAAATTGCCAGGTAGAAGAAGAGTATATACATATTATTTCGCTACACCAACCTGACATCCCGCCACGGGCATGCCCGAGTCCCTCCTTAGCACACATACATGCGCCGGCAGCTGGATCTCCACGCAGGCCGAGGACTGCACGTCCAGCTCGCACCACGCGCCCTCCTGACGGACGCGGAACCTGGCGCACGATAACAATATACATACATACTGACATATATATATATATATATATATATAGTCGGGGATAGTGCAAATCCACGTGACTAGCATTGGATAATTCCACGTATCTATATTGGAAGCAGATTATCAGAAGAAAGTTTGAACTGAAATATTTTATATACATATTAACGACTTTTAAGGTAATTTTTTCACAATTAATAGTTATTTATATTGAATTTAGGCAGTATTCAAATAAAACTCTTTGTTACATTTCTATAAGCTTAACACTATTGAAAGCAAATATGACACAACGCGGTAAGAGTTATAATGACATAAATCACAGATAATATAGAAAATATATATCACCTATCCACAGACTATATTACTTTATAAATATATTTATTCAACAATTTAGTGTTTAATTTCTAGCTAATTGTGAAAAAATTACCTTTAAAGTCGTTAATACATAAAATATTTTAGCCCAAACTTTCTTATAATAATCTGTTTCCAATGTAGATACGCGGAATTATACAATGCTAGTTACGAGGATTTGCACTATCCCCGACGATATATATTATTCGTGTTATCAATAGGTAGCGTGTAAAGCCTATGTTTTTACATCATATTTTTCAGTTAGCTGTCATCGTCACTATAACTATCAGTAAATTCGTGTAAAGCACATCATAATACCATTTACCAATACTAAGTATAATGAATACACAGCTATATATTTTTATGCTACAAGGAGCACCGGAGCTGACGGCCTACCTGATTAAGGTCGTTTAAGTATAGTATCTTCAACATAGATTTACGAATATATTGCCACCCTTGTTTGAAAAATAGGGGTAAAAAGTGGGAAAGGTCAGAAAAAGGAAATTGCAATATTAAGTTACAGAATCTCCTCCCATGTATGAGTCAAGTTACCCCCCCTTACCTGATACAGTGGTACATCTCATCAGGCTCGTCTTCGTCCCCCACAGCCCCCAGCAGCGGGTCGTATCTGGGCCTCAGCTCCCTCATCGCGAGCATCTCCAGGTCTCCACACACTAGCTTGAGGCCCGTCTTCCAGAGTTTCCAGCCCCAGTTTAACTCCAACGCCTTGGTTACTGTCTCATCTAACTCCAACTGGATGAGAAATAGTTTTATTGCTCAATCTTGGGTATGGTTAAAGTTTTTTAATGCTTTAATTAGGTGGAACTAAATTTTTGAAGTAAGTTGTGTGTATGTAGAGCATTTACGTATATTTCAAAGCACTGCTATTGTTATGCATAAATATGATTAAAGTTTTTGGGTTATTATGCTTGAATTAGGTGGAACTAAATTTTGAAGTAAGTTGTGGGTATATAGAGCATTTAGATATATTTCAAAGCACTGCTAACGTTATGAATAAATAAACTATAGTAACGGAATATTCTGATTTATAATGATATCTTAACGTCACTATGATTGTTGTAATTGTATCAAAATAATACTAAATTTTCACTACTACCGCCCTATAGTTTAGTCATGTTACTATTTTTATTCCGACAAAATATTTCTTAAGTCTGAACCAAGGTCTTCGTTTCATTAATGATTATGTGATATATTTTATTACCAGAGAGGGCAAAATTAGAGTCATCACCAGTAGCCTATCAGAGCCCACTGCTAAGCAAAGGCCTTTTTCACATTGAGAAAGGCGGATTGGCGATTTCAAATTTATAACATAGTATTATAAGTCCATGTTTCCTCGCGATGTTTTCCTTCACCGTCTGTCAGTGATGTCTAAATACTCTTACAAAATACATGACTCGGAAAAATCACATTGGTACTTACCAAGTTTCAAACCCGCGCCCTCACACATGAGAGGCGGGCTTTAACCTCTAGGCCACATCAACTTTTTTTAAATAGAGTAATAACGTCTTAAAAATCTATGTATGTACCTCAGGCACGATAGGCCCTGGCTAAAGCTGGGAAATTGCCAGGAAGAAGAAGAATATATGTGCTTACCTCAGGCGGTGCTGAGTACAGTCTTGGCGCGTGCTGCGGCAGAGCTGGGTCAGCCAGCACCCGCGCGCACAGCCGGGCCCAGAACCCGCGCGGCACGTACGATAGAAGCAACAGGCGGCGGAGAGCGCGCCCGCCCGAGCGGCACGACACGGATATCGGGCTGTCGTCTACGGAACACACACACACACACATACATACATACATACATACACACACACATGTGTATAATTTATTTGGTACTAGCTTTCCGCCCGCAGCTTCGCCCGCGTGTAGTTCGGTTATATCGCGTTTCCAAGAGAAATTTTTAAAAGTCTGGGATAAAAACTATCCTATGTTCTTTCTCAAGGTCAACTCTATATCTATACCAAATTTCAATAAAATCAGTTCAGTGGTTTATAATATTAGTAGGGATAGCCATTCGCAAAAAGAAATATCAAATAAATAACCCATTATAAGTACTTTCTTTGGACTTAAGGTTACAGATACATTGATAAACTTAAAAATGTATCTATGTACATATATATCTGAATCTATATATTTAGTGAACACACATTTAATTTCAACCAATCCTTTATATTCCCGAACGCACCCGAAGTAACGTTAAAGCGATGACGTTTGGTTTGTTCACTTTTAAGAGGGAAAATATTTGTGTACAAAACTTGTGTGTTTGAAAATTGAATTTAACTTGTTCAAAGTGTTTTGGTTTAAGGTAATAATTAGTTTCTTCAAGTTAAGGTTTAATATGTTATTTCAAAGTACTGGCTTTATATGACAACTATATTTTTATTATTTTGTTAGAATCCTACATATATATTTGACACAACAGATTGCTTGGTTATATGACACAAGAAAAACAATAGAAATCGTCTCAATAATTACTATTGCTATTTCATTATTATTCCTGATTTAATAGTATTAATATATAACTCACGTATGAGTCCCGGTGAGTCAGAATGAGGCGCCTCACTCAACGTTGAGAGGTGAGCGGCGCGACGTGGAGTGCCGGGCCACGCGCGAGACTTGAGGAACAACTGGGAACAAATAATATATATAATGAAACGATATTTATACTAGACAATTGAGAAGTTGGTATCTGATAGTACATAATGACCATAAGCCAAGATATAAGTAATTGTAATTTAATTATTAATGTTGATAAGATGGAATTTGAATACAATGATTTCATAATATTATGTAAATCAATATTATAAATAACAGAATTTTCAATTTTCATATATAACACTATCAACAAGACCTTTATACATACAATACTAAGAGGACTTCGGAAAAATCTAATACATATATATGTAGTAAAATATTATATTACACATATGTGTGTGTGTGTGTACCATTGAATATACAGCGTGTTCTAAAAACTGTGTCAACCCTTGAAGGCATGTATACATATAAGTATAAGCTTATTATTAAAAATACAAGTATAACTTAAAAAATATCAAGCAAAGGTCAGTTACAGTGCATAGGCTAAATAAGATTTAAATCGACATTATTTGAAAAAATGTTTCAAACATCTGACCCATACAAGGTCAAGACACCGTATAGTCGCGACGACGCATGCGTGGCCATTGACCGCAGGCGCCGGGCCGCCGGCGTTATTATTACTATTCTGTTAGTTTTTCTAATAGAGATTTGCAAGTTTAAAAATTAGGTAGGTATATCGATAAATATTCTATCGACATTTTCAATATTGCTATAAATAGTTATGCTTTTCACATAATTTCTTTAAAATAACTTTTATAAATAATAAATATTATTAAGCAATATTATAATTTGGAACTTCTTCAGGTTAATTAACTATGTTGTATTATTAGGATAAATCGTTAATCTATTTCTGTTCAAACGGGTGTTTTACAATCAAAAATAATTTTAATGTTTTATTTATCAAAATAAGTATCGAAATAATATGAATATTAAATATGTAGGAATATAAGATAGAAATGGGATAGATGGATGGGCCATAATTCAAGGCATGAAGTTCTTTTAAACTGAATAATAGTTGAAATCGGATATAATTAGTCCAAGGACCAAATTACAACACCAGAATAATAATTAATTCGTTTTCACAAATTAATTATCCAAAGAGTCAAGGTTAACAGGCTAAGTACAACTAGTGCACCGCGCCACGTCAGAGCCAAGACTCCTGTAGAATAATCGCGCACGTCTTTTATACAGCTAGTAGTGGGGAGAGTGGGGCATCGAATCACGCGCTCGGTGGCGTGATCGGTGCACGTGTTGGTTATAGTTATGTTTAGTTGGCGCGCTAGTGCCGACACGGCCATGCTGACATGCGTGCGCCCTCGCACGCGCCTCAAATATCGTTCGACTATCCTGACAATATTATAGTGTCTGGTTCGGTCCACACTGACCCTTCAGAGTTATGGTAGTTAGTTCTGATCTGTCCTTAGGTCCTGCAAAAGATTTCATTAGTAATTTCTCTAGAGAGCTTAGGCCGGAATAATTATTCCCTGTAACCTTTTCTAGACCGGAATTAAAATTTCCTGTAACCTTTGCTAGACCGGAACTAGTATTCCCTATAGCCTTAGACCGGAACTAGTATTCCCTATAGCCTTTGCTAGACCGGAATCACTATTCCTTATAGCCTTTGCTAGACCGGAATCACTATTCCTTATAGCCTTTGCTAGACCGGAATCACTATTCCCTGTAGCATTCATGCTGGACCGGAATTATAATTCCCTTCAGCCACATTTTTTTTTCTTTGCTAGACCGGAACTAGTATTCCCTATAGCTTTTGCTAGACCGGAATTACTATTCCCTATAGCCTTCATGCTGGACCGGAATTATGATTCCCTACAGCCACAAGGTTGGACCGGCGTAAGCCCTTCAACTCTCTGCCTTTTTTTTTACACTTTCTTTTTTTTTACTCTTTTTTTTTAAACTTTCTTTTTTACTTTTTTTTTTACTCTCTTTTTTTAAACTTTTTTTTTTTTAAACTTTCTTTTTTACTTTTTTTAAACTTTCTTTTTTTTTTAGTTTTTTTTTCCTTTTTTTTTCCTTTTTTTTAGGTTTTTTTTTTCTTTTTTAGCTTTTTTTTATTAGCTTTTTTTTAGCTTTTTTTTTTACTCTTTTTTTTACTTTTTTTTACTCTTTTCCTTACTCTTTTTTTTTTTGCTTTTATTGCTCTTTTTTTGGCTCTTTCCGCTCTTTTTTTTTTTATTAGAAAATCAGTGAACGATGATCCGGACATACACTCCAATGAGCTAGCCCGTTCATCTCCACTAGCCATACTCACGTAAGTGAACGATGACCCGGACATAGACTCTAATAAGCTAGACCGTTCATCTTCACAAACTGATCAAAGCGTAGTCCGGACGTGGATTCTGGAAGCCCTTGACAGGCAAAGAATTGATGCCTTAGGAATGTGGTGTTGGCCAAATACGCTGTTACGCATACCTTGGACGGTCCGTCGTACGAACGTCACTATAATCAAAGAACTCAAAAGACAAGATGGTTAGCGCTTATCTAATATCTATTTGCAGAGAATACTGGCGTTGATTGGTCATTTATCAGACAGAACAGCGGATAGTCTTAAACGTCCGCTAGTGATACGAAAAGTGGACAGTAACCGACCTACAGGCCTAAATCACAAGGGGTGGATTCACGGGATGCTGGTTTAAACTATTTGATAATTTTAATAAAATTGCTTCCATTCCAAAAAGAGGCTTTTTTTTTGCTTTTCAATGCAGTTGGATTGATTATGAGATGGAGGTGGATCGCTATCCCACTTCTGATGTAGGAATATAAGATAGAAATGGGATAGATGGATGGGCCATAATTCAAGGCATGAAGTTCTTTTAAACTGAATAATAGTTGAAATCGGATATAATGAGTCCAAGGACCAAATTACAACACCAGAATAATAATTAATTCGTTTTCACAAATTAATTATCCAAAGAGTCAAGGTTAACAGGCTAAGTACAACTAGTGCACCGCGCCACGTCAGAGCCAAGACTCCTGTAGAATAATCGCGCACGTCTTTTATACAGCTAGTAGTGGGGAGAGTGGGGCATCGAATCACGCGCTCGGTGGCGTGATCGGTGCACGTGTTGGTTATAGTTATGTTTAGTTGGCGCGCTAGTGCCGACAAATATTTATTTATTGTTATGATTTTTTAAATATCGATATTTTCAATAATGTGAAAGTAACTTCGAGGTCGTCACTAGTAGCGCAGCAGGTGTGATGACGTCATTGAGTGTCATCGTGTTATACCAGGGCTTACAAACATTTGGTTACTCTACATATAATAATCATTAAATATTTAATTTTATTATTTTTATTGAAGAGTTTGTAAATGTAAGTTGTTTGATTGTGTTACATTTTCGATACTGATAACGCAGTTAAGAGGGTTGACGCAGTTTTTCATACACAATGTATAATAACATATATAACAAACCTGACTCTTGTATGACAATTAAATACAGTCAACTTAATCCATGTTAGCAAAATATATGTATATATGTGTATGTGTGTGTGTGTGTGCTTGTGTGTGTGTGTGTGTGTGTGTGTGTGTGCTTGTGTGTGTGTGCGTGTGCATGCGTGTGTGTGCGTGTGCGTGCGTGTGTGTGTGTGTGTGTCACCTGTGGCTGCCTCGGCTCCGCGGCCGGCAGCAGCGGCGGCACCAGCAGCGACCTGGCGTCCCAGCACAGAGCCAGCTCGAACTTGTTGAGGAGCGAGACGGCCAGCGAGCGAGCCTCCTCCCCGCCACCCAGCACCGGGGACGACTTGAACACGAGGGACAGGTCCTCTACACGCATTATACCTGGACGAAAACGTTATATATATATATATATATATATATATATATATATATATATATATATATACAGGGTGACTGGTGAATTACTATCAATATTTAAGGAGAATACTCGGTACATGATTATCATTCGAATTATGTGAAATATATATATATATATATATATATATATATATATATATATATATATATATATATATACTAGCTTTCCGCCCACAACTTCGCCCGCGTGGAGTTCGCTTATATCGCGTTTCCAAGAGAACCTAAAGTCTGGGATAAAAACTATCCTATGTTCTTTCTCAAGGTCAACTCTATTTGTACCAAATTTCATTAAAATTAGTTCAGTCGTTTAGGCGTGAAAGCGTAACAGACAGACAGAGTTACTTTCGCATTTATAATATTAGTAGAGATCTATTCTATATCCTTTATTCTCTACAATAGCGTTCTCGGCATTCTGCAATTGGTTTATACATATTTTTTTATGCGGAAAGATTCAACAGAGCTGACGGCCTACCTGATGGAGGTAATACCGTTGCCCATAGACATCCGCAACATAGATTTGCGAATGTGTTGCCGATTTTGATTGGGGAAAAGGGAGGGAAAAAGAAAAGGAAAGGACAACCAGCTCTCTCACTCATCATACAAAACGCAGCCATTAAAGGCTACTTCCTTCCTTCTTCTGTGAGAGGGTGGTACTTCCTCGGTCGAGCTAGCCCATGTTCGAGCTGTAGTATGACCACAAATCGGCTCTACCACCTGTATTAACCGACTTAACAAACAAGTAGTAATGTTAGTAGTTAACTCACCGTTGGTAGCAAATGGGTTGATCTCTCTCACAGTGACCACGTGAGCCAGTACATCACACAGCCACTGAGGGTTCAGGAAGTACAGCTCCTTGAGGGTCGCATCGTCGTAGTGGAGGAGAACACCTGGTTGAGATGAGATATAAGAGATAGATGAGATAGAAGAGATAAGATTTATTCGTATAACTGAATCCAGTAATCATGTATGGAATATTTACTATTAGCTTTCCGCCCGCAGCTTTTCCCAAGTGGAGTTCGATTATATCACGTTTCCAAGAGAACCTTTCAAAAGTTTGAGATAAAAACTTCAAATTTCATTAAAATCAGTTCAGTGGTTTAGGCGTGAGAGCGTAACAGACAGACAGACAGAGTTACTTTCGCATTTATAATATTAGTTGGAATGAACCCATTCTTTATATAGATAACTATTCTACCGGTAATTTCTTTTGATTATTTAAAATATCTTTATGTTTGTATATTTCTTATTTCAGATATGTAATGATTTTTATTTTTTGTTATTCCATCACCATGAGTATGCAAATATAAAATTTAATTCAAATTGGTTCAGTATATTTTGCACTATTGTGAAACATACATACACATACTATCACACACACATGCATTACAATGTGTTATTTTTTGTGTTCTGGAAGTTCTGGACCTGCAAGGTCATTGACCTGCCTTTATATTCATTCCAGGTATATACTGACCATTCTCATGTAAAAACATGGTTGCCTGGTGAAGCTCCGCAGCGTCGCGGAAGGTCCGCAGGTTCCTCTGCTGCATGTACTGGGTCACCTGGAACAACATTTCTAGGTCATTCCACGTCAATTCCAGGTCAATTCCAGGTCAACAACATTGGGTTAAAAAATATTTGGCAGGAACTAATTACATATTATATTAAAGCATCTTTGCATACTTTTTTTATTATACTTAAAATAATCCAATAGGGGACTTCAAAATTTATTGAGAACTAATTTCTGCCCAAGACTTCGTCCGTTTTAATTTGGTTAATACTAATATATATCTGACCGGGTGAACTCTATTCTGCCCTTATTTCGAGTTTATTAAGTGTTTATATCTTTTTCAATCGAACAGAATTAAATTGTCTTTTCTATGTTCTAATATATCTCTCCACCAATCTTCATCCAAAACCGTACAGCCGTAAGAGTTATAAATAGTGTAACTAACACGACTTTTTCTTATATATGTGTATCCTCGGTTTATAAGACAACACAAACAATTAAAATGAAATACAAAATCTAATATTGAAGATAATTTCCTTCAAAGGCATTTTCCTAATCTGATGGTCATCATATCTATATAATATCTACTAGAAGATCCGGCGAACTTCGTATCGCCCTATAATCAAGAAATATCTGTCGTTTTTTTTAATAAATTACTTTTAGGTTATACCTTAGCTTCAGAAACACGTGGTGGTTATGCTATTATTAAATAGTCGCTTTTATATTGTATTTTAAATTTTTATATATATAAAGATATAACAGCTATATTCCTATACAACAACCCCCCTTCTTATCCTAGTCCCCCCACTCCTCACCAATCTCCTATACTCGTCCCTCCTCAGCACAGGCTCCGCCCTCTCAGCAAGTGCGTGCACACATTCCTCTAGCGCCAAGTATGTAGCTGGGACTCGCTGTTCTAATAGAGGTTCCTTGCTACCTGAACGATTACAATTTGGGTTTTTATTTCAAGATAAAATTAGCTTATGTTATATTCTAATAAATCAGCTACTTTTTAGTGAAAGTCCGGACAGAATCGGTTTAGCAATTACGGTGATTAGCAGGAACAAACATACGGACAAGAATTGAATATAATTATAATCAGGAATGACATTCTATAGTACGTAAGAACGGATAATGGTCATTTGTTTTGTTTACAAGATTGCCAAATTCTATAGAAATGGACTATATATAAAATCTTATATGTAAATTTCTCATGCCGTGGTGTTAGACAGAGAACTCCTCCGAAACGACTGGACCGATTTTAATGAAATTTTGTGAGTATATTAAATAGGTCTGAGAATCGGCCAACATGTATTTTTCATACCCCTAAGTCAAGGGTTGTTCACCCTTAATTTCTTTTTTCGGACTAATTTTTTTTTGTTTTTATTTTCTTATTATGTAGCATTAAAAATACATACAACCCAAAATTTTTACTTATATATATTAAATGGTAATTCACCTGGAGGCTTCACACTGAACGCGACGGAGTATATGATGTCAGCGAGGATCTTGATGTTATGTCGAGAACTGCACGACACCTGGAAATACATACAGCTGGATCAAGAATTGACCTGGAATATTGTTTGCCACGTATATAAGAAGAATTCAAGTTGACAAAAATTTCTCACGTGAATCATTTTACTAATCAGTATACCTTAATACGAGTTTTTGTGAGTAAACGTTGAAATACAAGTATGGTTTTCGTATTTACTCGAGTATTTTACTAGTTGACCTCTAATTTTAAGTACTGTTGAGTTCCGAGATCACTTGGATATAAGATAATGTCGAATAATGTTGGTTTTTATGTATATATGTATGTATTTATGTGAATCATATAGTATGGCAACCGGAGGTTCCAGAGAAACATGTATATGTATATTATAATACGAATTACGTATTAAAACTTATAACCTACACCTAAGACTACATGATTGTCGATGTTAGTATAGCAATACCATTCCATAGCTTGTGTGTATCAGGAATCTTCTGGTTCACACGCTTTGTGTTCGTTCCGCGGAGTCAGCGGCCTCACTCGTTATATATTTTACCGATACAAATATGTCAACCCGGCGATATTTATTTATTTTCTTCATATGTATCGCGTACGTAACATGTGCGTGTGTGTGTGTGTATACCTCTATAGAGTCCATGACCTTGGGCAGCCCCAGCTTATCAGCGTCGGGAGCCGCCATGATAGCTCCCCGTATGAGTCGCTGCAGGGTGGCCGGGCTCTCGCTGTCGTACGACTGACTCTATAGATATTGGTACATTAATACAATTAAATGAAACTAATATTTTCGTATTACTACGGGTTTTTTTAATATTTTAACTACATACTGTTTCTAGTCTGGAATAATGTTACATAGTTTCATTTAAATGAATATTCACTAAAGTCTTATCTTATTATATTAGTATAAATTAACTTGTAGAGACTTTTGATGCGATTTTTTTTATTACTTAAGGTAGGGCGAAGGTATTTTAAAACTATTTTTGACCAAATGATATTTAAGTTTGTCATGTGTACTCATTTAAGAGAAACTAAGTTTTTTCTTATACTATGTATATATTATTCTATATCTACATGATTCAAATGTTTCAGTTCCTTTATAGCAGCTGTGATCAATAGACGAAATAAAAATGTTCCTTTCAAACGCCTAGTATTTTCGGAAAAGCGTTAGTTTCAATTATAAAATTTTTACAAGTCCAAAAACACGTCTTTATTAACCTCAAAAAAGAGATGAAAAAATTCCCTACTACGCCCAAAATTAAGTTTACTTTATCTTAAAACACTGTCCTTCTAAACAATTATAATGTTTCTCTAAGTAAGCCAAACTAGTATTGAGTCAAATTTTCTTTCTTAAAGTAAAAAAATATAAACTCACATTGCTAACTTGATCGTAGTGTGTTCCAACCATGATGACGGGCGAGCCCGGGGCGCGGGCTTGTATAGATCTGAAAATTAACAAGAAAAATGTTCAAAATACATATATTTATTAATTAAACCGGAATGTAAGTATAGCTTTGTGTTAGTTCTTATAGAATATTTAAAACAATTTGTAAGGAGATATATTAAAAACATCTTTTTACAAATCGATTGATATGAAACTTGCATCCAAAACAGGTATGGATATGAATCTAAGATGGTGGGTTGGAAAGTAAATAATTATTTATGCTGTTTACAAAAATATGTATATTTGCGGCTTAGGGTACATCAGGTGTAATTTGTTTTGACAAAAATACGAAATAGTATTGTATTTTATGTAACATTTTCCTTTACAAGATTAAATAATAATTATTATGTTTTTAGCATAAAAAATATAGTCAATACATGAGTTAAAATTCACATATAGTATACAGAATGACTAGTAACTTCTGGAAGATCTGGAATTCCAGCTGTTCCAGCTTAATATAGTTTAATTGGACCTGTAACATCATATATCATTACCTCAGCCATTGCAAGGCCCCGGCCAGCCCGGCGCGTCCATCCGTTACCTTCCATAATACAAGGTACAGTGACCTCCGGGATAGGAAATACTGGTGGGTTGCGTAGTATCTAGAGAATAGTGACAATAAAATAACTTATATTAAACTGATATTATAAATAAAATAGTTTTTTACTATCTAAAGTAAAATTTCTTAGGTGGTAGAGCCTAGTTTTATTCAGTTACTACAACTCGAACATGGTCTGGCTCGACCCTGGAAGTACCACCCTCTCACAGAAGATCGGCGTGAAGTAGTCTTTAATAGCTGCGTTTCGTCTGATGAGTGAGGGAGCCGGTTGCCCTTTCCTTATTCCCACCTTTTCCTTCCATTTTCTTATTCCCACCGTTCCCTATTCCTAAAAAAACAAGGTTGGGAACGCATCCGCAACATCTCCTTTATTGCAGATGTCTATTAGCAACGGTAACTTCAATCAAGTAAACCGTCTACTCGTTTGCCACCTTTCACTTAAAAAAAATAAAATTAGATCGATTTCGATGAAACTCTTCAGTAATTTAGAGTTGATGTTATAATAGCATATCGTATAACGTGTAACATATAGTTAGGCGTGAATACGTCACTACAGTTGTTTCTAGAGAGGATAAAGTTATTTGATACACACAATAGATAGCGCTGCCGATTGGTTCATAAGTCATTCAGCTCTCAAACCAATGTTAAAGACAAAACAGGCAAAGTGGCTGCCAAAAACGAGTAGTATATATAGTTAACAAATATTCGAAGCACGAGAATCGAACCCGCACTTCATATATGTCTGGAAAGCGTTAAAAACGAAGCTATCAAGATTTTAATTATGATATTTAATAACGAGTAAATTAAAGCGAGCCAGCACATTTTCGAGCTGCCATAACTTGACCACAGCTAGGCTCTATCTTTAAATAAATACAATTCATATATATAATAACTCACTCCTGTTGTCCACCGAAGTCCCACGTCCTGAAGGTGAGTGGTCCACGCGTGGACCTCTGCGGCTCGTACACCCATGCTCCAATGTCCACGCCCACCGTTGACACTCCACGCCTGGATGACTTGTTGCCCATACGTTTCGCCCAGTGCTGGGAATTATTTCATTACAATTATAAAATTATAATATTATAATTTCATTACATATATAAAAATGAATTGCTGTTCCTTAGTCTCACTAAAACTCGAGAATGGCTGAACGGATTTATCTTATCTTAGTCTTGAAATGCTCGTGGAGGTTCAGGACAAGTTTAAAAGCTGAAAAAATTTTATTAATTTCCGGGAAAACCCAAAAAACAGCCCTTTTTTTATTTCCCATACAAACGTTTCTTTGACATTAGATTTGACAACTAACTAATCTGTCCATCATTATGTTCGATTGAAACAGGAAAAATTTAATAAACTAGTATAATATGTTTGTGAGGATATGCTGATCTTTCATACAAAACTACAAAATCGGTTCTGATGAAACTTTCCAATTATGTAGATTAGATATCAGAATAAAATATATGTAATATTTTAATTGATGATTCAGATTAGTTTCCTGAGCTAAACATTGAAAAATTAGTATTTTATACAAGTTCATAAATAATAATGTATTTGAATATATATTATAAATTTATCTCTAAACTCAAATTTGAACTTCACGACGACGAAGCCGCGTTCCGAAATAAGTGTGATAATAAAATATAAATACATATATCTAAAAACTAGCTTTCCGCATTTAGCTGCGCCCGCGTGGAGTTCGGTTATATCGCGTTTCCAAGAGAACCTTTCAAAAGTCTGGAATAAAAACTATCCTATATTCTTTCTCAAGGTCAACTCTATCTTCGTACCAAATTTCATTAAAATCAGTTCAGTGGTTAAGGCGTGAAAGCGTAACAGACAGACAGACAGAAAGAGTTACTTTCGCATTTATAATATTAGTAGGGATTATAAGCTAAATTTATTTTTAACTTAACGCCACATACTTTTTTAACCACATATTCCTTAATCGTCTTATATTTAAGACCACTTAGAGTAATTTATATGAAGTTAATTTTATTTAAACAGGAAATTAGGTCACAACAAGATGGCGTCTCCTGATAAAGTTCATACCTCACTGGGCTTCCGGCGGAGGTGCATCGGTGACTCCTGGCGCAGACACTCTAGGAGACTGGTCTTGCCTATACCCTGAGGGTACAACACTATTAGTGACAAGGAATAAGGGTACAACACTAGTATGATAATTTTTGTCTAAGAATCTATGCGCAATACCATAATTATTGAAAATAGCACTATCTTGATATCTTTGAACATTATACAGGTGCTCACAATTTGATATGTAAGTGAGCTATAGTTCTATATAGTTCAGTAGTACTATATAGTTCAGTAGAACACCATGTATATATACTGTGAGCATATAGGTACTACATATAATACTTGTTTACTTCGACTGTAAATTTCTTGTATGACATCTATATTATAGGGCTATATGAGTGAATTTAGACATCTCGTCTTAGTGATCACGGTTGCTGAAAAGTACCCAAAACTTCGGGATTGTGTAGTTTTTTTACAAAAATAAACAGCGTAGTATAACCGAAAAATATTAGTTTCATTTAAATGAATAAAACTCAGGAAAATCTTAGTTCGCACCATATGAGTGAATTTTCTAATTTATATATCAAGTTGTCTTTCTGAACAATTATCTAATTTTATTGACACTAAGTGTCTACATAGTCACAAAATAATAATGAGATCTAAGACTTCTGCGAGTATTCATTTAAATGTGTTTACCCATACATTAACATAATTTCATTGTATGTACACATTCATGTAGCAAATATGAATGTAAGCATTGTCATAATTTAGTCAGTATCAATAAAGCGTTCAAATAAACAGGTCGTTCTCATTACCTAAACGCGATACTCACAAACTTGCTGGTCTCCTTAAAACTATCAAATCTAAATGGTGTGTGGTATCAAACCCATACAAAATGAAACTAATATTTACTTTATTATTTTAACTACACACGTTTCATACGTTTCGGTTACTTAGCATCAACATTATTCAAAAGGCGAGATATCATGTTGATGTACGTACCTGTACTCCGACTACCATAAGCTTCATCCTGGTGTAGGGCTTCGCCTCTTGTAATACGGAGCGTAGATAACCCACCACGTCAACGCTGCGGCTTCGCCCCCCTCGGACCACGGACCGCAAGGGCTCCTGCAGTGAACAGCCCACGGTGTTCAAGTTCCATAGGCGAGTCAAAAGACCCATTTGCGGCGGAAGATCAGTTATATCTGGAATAATATTTTTTTGCACACATATTTATACTGAATTTGATCGATTTAAATAGAAATTTGTTTGATTTAATCATTTATGAGAGTATTTTTGATATTATGGGTGTTTGAGATAACTATTGCGAATGCTTTTAGCGTTTTTGTCTCTAAAAAATCATCTCTGGAAATATGTGTTCTTTTTTTGGCAAATATTCTTATGTCCAATGAAGGACGAAGTTCAAAACATTTTTTTTTGACGTTATTGAAGCTGTTAAATAAACAAGGCATAACCATTGCCAAACCTCACTGCAAGATAAGCTAATTTATCAGAATTTCGACGAAGAATTCGAAATAGACATTAAGTTATTATTTAAGAGTTTCACGAGTATAGTAGATCAACTGACAGACATTCTCATCTCGTCTTCGTGATCCTGATTGCTTCAAAGCAACCTAAACTTCGGGAGTATGTAGTAAAAATAATAAAATATTAGTTTCATTTACATAAGTTATTAGTGAGGGATCTATATTTTTATCACTTTTCATAGGTTCCAACTCGTATATCTGTTATCGGCCATTAACCTTTATTCCCGCTGAGGTTGAGCACGGCCAGGTTGGTGAGCAGGTGCAGCGCGGGCGGCACGGCCCGCAGCAGGTTACACGACACGTCCAACATGGACAGCAGCGGGAACAGCAGACGGGCCTTCACGCTGCCGTTACGACTCTGGTGGACATTACATATATATATATATATATATGTATATTAAAAACCAAATTAACTGTTTTCAATGATATTTTGGACTGTTTGGTACCATTAATTATTTGCAAAGCTTTCAGTAGGTAAATATTTTTCACTGTCATTATAATACATCTATAATATCTACAGATGTCTACAAAGCAGCTGTACTCGTCGCTCTAGAATAAAATTAACTAATTTTGGTTCTTTAGAACAGTCAGGATTCATCCAAAATTATTTAAGATTCTTCATATTTGGGTATGTCGAGAGAGGAGCTTGGACAGTGGAGGTGGGCATTTAACGCGTTAGATAGATGTCCCTTAAACCTACACCTGGGTCACAAGTCCCAGTCACTGTTGAAGCTCCTCTCACTACAACGATGGACCCGACACACGCACCGTGAATACATTGAATGATGAGAGGTTTCGTCTCTCTATATATATTAAACCTACACCTGGGTCACAAGTCCCAGTCACTGTTGAAGCTCCTCTCACTACAACGATGGACCCGACACACGCACCGTGAATACATTGAATGATGAGAGGTTTCGTCTCTCTATATATATTAAACCTACACCTGGGTCACAAGTCCCAGTCACTGTTGAAGCTCCTCTCACTACAACGATGGACCCGACACACGCACCGTGAATACATGGAATGATGAGAGGTTTCGTCTCTTGATTTAATCATTGATTAATATCCCATGTAAAGTGTATGCATGGTGTGTGTTTTGGTATAATGAGCTCACCCATTCATCATCATTTTCATCTCCCGCCGTGTCTGTGGCCGCTGCCAAGCCGTCATCATCAGTGGTTAACTGGATGCGGGTCAACATGTTGTTAGCCAGGATCTAGGGATAAACAGCTCATGAGAATTTATAAGATAATAAATGCTCTACTTGAAGTGATTGTTCCAAACTATTCTATTATAAATAATGTTGTACAAAATATTTTAGTAACTCAACTTATTATATGTATATCTTTATATATATATATATATATATATATATATATATATATATATATATATATATATATATATATATATATATAATTTTTCTGTGAGTGTGTATGTCACTGAACTTCTATCAAACGACAGGACCGATTTTGATGAAATTTTTTGTGTGTGTTCAAGGGGATCGAGGAAGGGGATGGTTTAGATTCACAAGTCTAATATGTCAATCATTCTGTCGCACTTCAAAACACGGAGATTTATGGCTTTAATAGGTAAACTCCAAAAATTTAAATAAAGAAACGTAACAAATATTTCTTGATTATAGGCCGATACGAAGTTCGCCGGGTTTTCTGGTATATAAATATATTATGACAAAGAGAGCAAAAGAGCAGACGTCCTGCCTGATCTAGGTAGTACCGTCGCCCATGAACATATGCAATATGTTTTGAGGATGGCAACACGCTTATTTAGGGAACAGGGAGAGGAAACGGCAATATGTAACTCACAAGACGTTAATTGTTGTGATGTATAATTGTCCTAAGACATGCACGTTGGTTAAAAGGACACCCGGGTCATTAACACAAAGTGGAACAATAATGAGTTATTATTTATGTGTGTGTGTGTTTCTCTCAGTATGAGTGTGTCTATGTGTCTTCTTCTACCCGACAATTTCCCAGCTTCAGCCAGGGTCTGCCTTACATGTTGTGGATAGTTTTGGCTAATTGTTTTTACGACCGGTCGCCTGCCTGACATTAACCCTCTTTTGGGGAGTCTCTTTTGTGTGTGTCTGTGTGTGTGTGTGTGTGTGTGTGTGTGTGTGTTTCCTCACCAGAGTCCTCAGTCCCTCCAGTCGTAGATGTCTCCTGGCAGCGCAGGCGGCGCTCATCAGCTGCGACCTCACGGAGCCCGTAGATCTTGGCCTGGAGCGAGCCGGCCTGCTTGAACAATAACACGCGAGGGGATCCCCCTCTGAACTACCGAAACTCTCCACCTGGAACATAATAGCATAATAAGGCTATATTAGCCCAATTCTAAAGTTTACCTAGACAAAGTGCTAAAAAACTAGTATACCCATATTACTATTTTCATCGGTTTTAGTTATTGTCTGTCTTTTGAACCTAACCTTATTGGTTTGAAACGACTTATGACCAATCCCTTCTTATCCCTGCTAATATTATAATTGCGAAAGTTTGTGAGTGTGTGTGTATGTTTGTTGCTTCTTCACGCTCAAACGGCTGAACCGATTTTGATGTAATTTTGTATACAGGAAGCTGACATCCTGGATTAACACATAGGCTACTTTACATCCCGAAAATCGGGTAACACCGCGGGTCGCAGCTAGTTATATAATAGCTGGAAATATTCTGCACCTGCGGCAGACTCGGCCAGCAGGTGATCTCGTTGTGGCTCAGGTCCAACTGACGCAGGCTGGTCGGATATGACGTCACGAAGGACATTGACCTGAAAAAATATATGGGTTAAGACAACATATGGGGTTGTACTTGGTGAGAGGTACTCGAAATTAGTGATGTCTCTTGGACTATATAATTTGTACTACTACTAATACAACTAGTACAAAAAACTAACCGCATGTGTTAACTATTTAGGTTTTCATACTGAGATCTAAGATTTTCGCGTGTACTCATTTAAATGACACTAATATTTTCGGATTTTACTTCGCGTTTTATTTTTGATTAGAAACTACATACTCCCGGTTGCTGCAAAGTAGCCGAATCGTCGGGAATATTAGTTTCATTTTATTTAGGTTTTGTTTAGGATTCTTCTTTTATTAAATGAAATTGAGATTTTATGTTGAACAAAACTAGAAACTTAATTATTCACAAGTTCGCAGATCACTGCGAATTATGAACTCTTTTTATGATGATATAGACAAGAGACATGATTATAGACTAAAGTAAATGCAGATAGCAAATTTATTTCTTTTATGTGCTGTTTTCAGACGGTTTAACAATTTTACCTTATTTCTATATGCTAAATAAAATTATATATTCAACAGCGTGGAACAAGAAAGCTTAGTAAAATGCGATAAGTGAATACATCACCTCAAATTATTGTACGCCATATTAAGTCTGGTGAGCGCTGGTGCTTTGCAGGCGAGTGCTGCGGGGACGCACGAGAACTGGTTGTGAGCCAGGTTGAGGGATGACAGGCAACTGCCAGAAACTGGGGACACGCCCCCGGGGGAAGGAGCCCTGGCGCCGCGCCACTCGTGGGCGCGACGGACTTCTGATGAACTGGGGAAGGAATTATATGGTATAAAATATATAATACTAGCTTTCCGCCCGCAGCTTCGCCCGCGTGGAGTTCGGTTATATCGCGTTTCCAAGAGAACCTTTCAAAAGTCTGGGATAAAAACTATCCTATGTTCTTTCTCAAGGTCAATTCTGTCTCTGTACCAAATTTCTTTAAAATCAGTTCAGTGGTTTAGGCGCGAAAGCGTAACTGACAGACAGACACAGTTACTTACGCATTTATAATATTAGTAGGGATAGATCACTATATGTAGATCGATTCTTGCTCTGTTCGTGGATGGGGAATGGATGGACGGATGCATAAATTACGGAACGGATGGAAGGATGGATGGATAAATGTAGAGATGGGTGCATAGATGGATGGGTTCTTGGAGGAATGGGTGCATGGATAGATGGAAAGGTGGGTGTATGAATGTTTTATACTCACACAGCATGTCCCGCCCTGTTGCCCAACACCGGGATATCTTCATCGTCAAACGATTCACTCGCGATGGATGGACTGCGAGATGTTGATTTCTGTAATAAAATAAACATTTTAACATCATACAGATAGTATAAAGTTAAATTTGTAAATATAAATCACCTGTTCAAAGCTGTAGGGCGCCGATGGCACGGAAGGCGAAGCGCCCGGGGAAGGCTCTGATGGAGACTGCTTGCTTTCCACTACACCCTGTATATAGCATAGAATATGTAGGATCAATATAAGTGGAGTTATCAAAATCAGTTCAGCCATGTAGTATAGCTAACACATATTATCATTTGGTGTTCAAAAGGTGTCGCCACCTATTAATCCAATAAAATGATTCATTTATTAACTAAACTATACATTTTAGTTAGTACAAAATCTGGTTCATGAACACAAAAAAATAAATTTGATATTGAAGCTAAAATGTTCTTGTATTGAAATGTCGTGCAACATCTATCTTATAGTAGAAATACTATCAAAACCTGTTCAGTCCTTTCGAAGATAACATTGCATGGACAGAAAATTTAAATTTAATAAGTTTAGAATCATAAATAAAGTAATTTTATATATAGTTTTTATTCTCATATATGCAGTATTACTCATCTATCAACATGAAACTATAAAATAGATTCAAGGAACCTTTACATCATCAGTGGGCAGTTCCTTTAGGTGGTTGAGTGCTGCGTTGAGGTCCCTTAAGGCTGGTGCTCTCCATATATGAGGTGGAAGAGCTCGAAGTTTATTATTGGACACGTCCAGACTAGAAAGAGCTGGTAGCGAAAACAGCTCGGGAGGCAGCTCCTCCAAACGGTTATCCTGGAATGAGACTTGTAGTTTGAGAATAAAGTTGATATTTGCATGAACAAAGCTTCAGTTTGAGAGCTTAAGAGGTGATCCATATAGTATGTCGCATGAATTTTAGTACTTTTGTTATAAGAATAAGAAGATGTGACGTCATACATTTTTTAATATATGTATGTATATAAAAATAATCGAGAGAATGCATCTATTTTGTTTATTATTTATTTTTATTATATATCCAAACATTTAGTTTTAGTATTTTAAATTTTAATATAATACGTCACAAAACTGTCCCTCTTATGCTCCTTGTTCGATGAAGTCACACGTCAGTGATACCCTCCCTCCATTAACGTGTGACGTACTTTATGTATGGACCTAAGGTTGAAATTTGCTTAAAAATTATAATGCTTATTCAGTTAGACGATTGATAATCCTATAGCCTAGCCGACAAAGTATAACGCGACATTTTTGCGGTCGTAGGTTCGAATCCTGTCGATGAATTTTCATATATTCGTCCAAACCTGTAAGTATAGTTCTTGCAGTACTGGTCCGGTGTAAACATCAGAACATCTCTTGACTTTCCTCGCCTTCCTACTTCTGTTCTCCAATTCTTCGTCGAAGGGATCTTCTGCAGTCGGCAGACGCTCCAGCTTGTTTTGAGCTACATTCAGATATCTGGAAATTATAAGAGTGAATAATAAGTATTGTGGTGTTGAGAAGATTTTAATTTGAGTTATTACGAGTACAGAATTATATAATATATTCTAGAAGACCCGGCGAACTTCGTATCGCCCTATAATCAAGAAATATCTGTTACGTTTTTTTATTTATATTTTTGGAGTTTACCTATAAGCCATATATCTCCGTCTTTTGAAGTGCGACAGAATTATTGACATATTAGTTCGTTGTCAAATCTAATGTAAAAAAACGTTTGTATCAACAACTACTAATAAATTAAAAATTAATTAAAAAAACATTGTCCAGCGCACAAAATTGAAAATCTAAACCATTCTCAGATCCCCTTGAAAGCACACAAAAAATTTCATCAAAATCGGTCCAGTCGTTTGAGAGAAGTTCAGTGACATACACACTCACAAAAGAATTATATATATAAAGATGTATACTTAGCAAACACACTTTTAATTTAAACCGAACCTTTAAACTCCCGAAGGCATCCGAAGTGATATTAAAGCTATGACGCTTGGTTTGTCGAAAGTATTTTGTGAACACGCCTGGTATTTTTGTAAATAGAATTTAACTTATTTAAGGTGTTTTGGCATAAGATTCTAATGAGTTTGCTCTATTTAAGGTTTTATTGTTATTTAGAAATACTGGCTTTATAAGAAAACTATATTTTTTAAGGATTTAGTTAGAATCCTAGATGTATATAGATTCACTTTAGATGGTTGAAATGTATCTGTAACCTTAAGTCCAAAGAAAATAATAATATTTCATAATGATATTTTTATTTGAGATTTCTTTTTACAAATGGCAATACTAAATTATTAACTTTACTGTTTAATCCATTGAATTACGACTACCTGTCAAACGTGTCTAACTTGATGTAGGGAAAGTTACTTTGTTATATACTTGATCTATTTTAGGTTTGATAATATATAAAGCACATGAGTATTTCTTGATAGATATCGTAGGTGCGTGTATGTGTTTGTATGTTAATTATTTAGCGTGGCAACCGGAGGTTCCAGGAAAACTACGAAACATACTTATATGTATATTAAAATAAGAACTACATATTAAAACTTATAACCAACACCTAAGACTACATGATTGACCCGATGTTAGTATAGCAATACCATTCCATAGCTTGTGTGGTATCAGGAATCTTCTGGTTCACACGCTTGGTGTTCGTTCCGCGGAGTCAGCGGCGTCAAGAGTTATATATTTTACCGATACAAAGATGTTGACCCGGCGATGTTCATTTTTTTCTTCATATGTAGCGCGTATGTAACATGTATGCTGTGTGTGTGTGTGTGTGTGTGTGTGTGTGTGTGTGTGTTACCTTAAGCTGATCAATCCGAACAGTTCTCTGGGCAGCACCCGGAGCTCGTTGTTAGCTAGTTCGAGCCTAGTGAGAGCGAGCAACGCCGCCCCCGGAACAGACACACGAGGGTTGACCCGGGCGGCGGCTGTACGGACCCAACTCATCCTGGATATATGATTATAAAGTATAAGAAGTCTATACAATATGAATTACTTATAAGATTGTAGGAGTAGTAATTAATAATTATTTATTAAACGATTTTGGTATGTATCGTCCTCTGTCTTTCCCTCTCTTTCTCTCTTACGCTATATATATATAATTAAAAATACATATTGATACATATTTTTCATACATTCCATGCTATGGAATTGTTATATATAACCGAGCAAATACTTAAACTCCTATTGGACATAAAAATAAGGTGGTCATGGAAAGGGCAGATTAAATTCCAGCTCTTGTTAATGATAATTGGGATTATTAAAAAATACAGTACTTTATAGACTTATTGGACTTTTAACTGTAACTGTATATGGTCAAAAAAATGATTATACGAATTGAGAATTTCCTTCTTTTTTGAAGTCGGCTAGTAAGAGACGAAACTTCTCATCATTCCATACATTCATGGTGCGAATGTCGGGTCCAAGTTCCTCTCTCTAACTAACCAAATTTGAAACTAACCTACTATGGCAAAAGCTCCTTTTATCATTATACTGACTTGATATGTGTTAGATGTGCCTTCATCTCCCTCCAATTGATCAGAACCGCTGTGCTGGGACACTTGGCCCGGTAAGACAGCCCGGGGTCAACGTCCCGGGATTTTAGAACTCGCTCGCTTAGTACTGACTTGTTGATTTTATACTCGGGATCCGGATATGCCTGGTAATATGAGATTTTGTATACTATTTATATATATGTAAGAAATTTTGTGACTGTGCGTTTGTTGCTAATACAAGAAAGAGCTAACCGAATGTGATGAAACTCACTAACTTATATTAATAAGTCATTAAAGTCTTATTTTGTATTAAATCAGAACAGATAGATGGCGCTGTCAGATAGTTGAACATATATTTTATTTACGTATATATTATTAACTTATTTCACAGCCAACTTCTGAAGTACACTTCAATCTCGAAGCAATAAATTAGTATTTCATATATTAAACATATTTAATAGTAATATAGTTTAGTTAAAGAATTATACAGGGTGACTGGTGAATCACTATCGATACTTGAGGACGTGATATTTGACGATCATATATGACAAAATAAAAATTAATATAACATAAATATTAATAAGCTTATAAGTAAAGTTAACCAAAAGTTATGTAATTAATTACGCATCGTGTGAACACCCTACAGATTAGGTATACACACACACACATACGCGCGAGCAGCGGCGTGGTGTTGTATCAGCAGTAATGCTTCAAGAATTATTGTAAACTTTCATATGCTGCTACCACGTTGCCACCGTTTTTTGTTAGATACAAAAACTACTAAACCGATTTCGATGAAATTTTGTACCAAAACATAGTTATTAAACGACAAATAAACAACAAGATAGTGCTATACGCTTTATCAACAGATGTAATAGAGGTAGTTTCAAAGTTAATACTAATATTTCCGCTGACCCTGGTAGCTAATAGCGCCGCCAATAGATCCGCCAGCCCGTGTCTGGCGCACTCTCTGAGCGCGCGGCCCCCGGGGTCCGTAGCGCCTGCCGCCAGTAACATCTCAACTATTTGGACGTTCTTGGCGCGAGCAGCTACTGCCAACGCCGTCCAGGGTCCCTCTGATGATGCAAAGGATATCTTCATTAGTATGATAATAATTATTAGACATAAGACAATTTTATGTTAAACCGATTGCAAAATTGCAAAAACCTTCTCCATGTGAGAAAGAGGCCTTTGCTCAGCAGTGGCCTCTGATAGGCTGCTGATGATGATGATTATTGCAAAATTTACAAATGTATTTCGATCATTACTTTTTGGATGTTTGTATTAAAAGGTTAAAGCAAAAGTATTTCCACTAATTGATAATTTTGGTTTTATGATAATGATATTTATATGATAGTAAATATACGTATATATAGAATTATTCATTCGTTTTTAGTATGAGCACGGTAGCTTGTGTGTATCAGGAATCTTCTGGTTCACACGGCTTGGTGTTCGTTCCGCGGAGTCAGCGGCGTCAAGAGTTATACGATATTTTATCTATACAACGATGTTGCCGCGGCGATGATCGTGCCATCCTTACCACTATACTGTATGTATGTGTGTACTCACGATCATCGTTGTAGTTAGCTCGCCCCGGTGAGGGAGAGTCTCTGCTGCGGGCTACGGACGCGCTGCGCGAACGACGTCGAATGTCACGGCTATCTGTCAGGTCCTGATGAAAACACGTTGGATACTTATAGATAAATATAAGTATAGATTACATTCATACAAGTTGTACTAATTAGAACATTCAAAATTGACTTTGATATCTAAGAAATACATAACAATGTTCAGTGGTGGCCTAGTGGTTAAAAAGGCCAGCATCTCATGCACGAGGGCGCGGGTTCGGTCCTGGCCCTGGCAAGTACCAATGTGATTTTTCCGAGTCATATGTACTTTCTGAGAGTATTTAAACATCACTGATTAATGAATTCCCAAAGAGGGTTGATGTCAGGCAGGCGGCCGGTCGTAAAAACAATTAGCCAAAACCATTCACAACATGTAAGTCAGACCCTGGCTATAGCTGGGAAATTGCCAGGAAGAAGATCTAAGCAATACATAACAGTGTTGATAGTTATGTATGTATGTCTGTGTGTGTATACCTGTGGAGGCATAGCGCTAGTGTCAGCCCTGGCGCCCGCCGCCAGTAACTTCTTCAGCACCCGCGCGTGTCCGAGCCGCGCGGCGCACGCCACACAGCTGTCCACGCCGCGCGACGCCTCCACGCGCACTGGACGGACGCGCTGCACGCCCTGCTCCGGACACGGCTGGAGAAGGAGGGGGGTTGACATGTGGTTTATGTACTCTCACTAACTTAGCAAGAATCGATTTTGTCACTTCCTATATAATGATTGGCGTTTGAATATGAAGAGGCTTTTATGTACTTCACTATGCATGTGAATAGCTTTGGTTATGAATTGCCAAAGACTGATGGTATGAACATTCGCTGTATTATAACTCTCCATTGTTTCACTTGAATGACGTCACAAAATCCAAAATGGCGGACAAACCAATATGGGGGTAATAAATATTATTTACACATGACGTGAGCATCAATTTTGATATTCTTAAGATTAATAAAAGCAATTTTAAAAGAGTCTGTCGTTTCTCATTTCTACATATTATAGGCTATATTTCCACATTATCTCTTAGCACCTGGAAGATGTTATCATCTAAGATTCTCCAGGTTATACATACAGCTGGAATATGAAATATGTAGATGTCCATGAAGTGCTAAAATAACATTCAACTATAGTTGGCCTCTTTGGTCTGATCTTTGAAACTAAACCTCATTATTAAAATATTTGTTTTATATAAACCCATCTATAGAGTAAAATTAGTCATTACAACAAAATACAAGGGCCTATTATTATGAAAAACGTTCTAAAAGCTCTAAAAAGTTTCCATTGAGATATAAATCCTTAAATATCAGGTCAAAATTAGAATCAATGTATATACAATTACCACTAGTGAACTCACTTTAAATAAAGACAATCTCCAGGTGTTCATTCGTATACCTATTTTTTAATTTACCACGTCACTGCTGGACTATCTTTTGTAAGTGGAAATTATGCAATAAGTAACTAATTTACTCAATATATATGTATATTTACTATCGACTGATAACATCTAAAGGAGATCATTCTTTTTGGGCCTTTTTTAAAAGTGCCGGCCAACAAAAAAAAATGGTACATATTTGTAGAACTAACCATTTGGAACAATAGTTAATATGGCGCAAAAGTTGTAGGATCCAAGATATAGAAGTTATACAAGTTTCAAGATTCATCATTTTGGTACGTTGATTTTTTCTGAAAGTGCCAGGAAACATAAAATAATGATTGATATTGCTAGAGTTAAGCTTCTCAAGCAAATCATAGCCATAATCTGTTAGAAACCTGTCGTTTTTATGTAATACTAGCGAACCCGACAGACGTTGTTCCGCCAAGTATCTGAACGCATGCAACACATTTCTTGATGATTTTATTATTTGTCTAACCTAATATGTATATCGGGGTGCCATTTTTATATATTAAAAAAATGGGCCTAGAAGCACTTTTAACTGATTTTGTACCATTTCATGTCGGATTTGATCATATGACGCGAGAGCAAGTGGCGCAGAGCATGTACATAACCGCATGACTCCAGATTTTCTATAGCATCTCTAAAACACAAACAAAATCAGTTAAAAGTGCTTCTAGGCCCATTTTTTTAATATATAAAAATGGCACCCCGATATACATATTAGGTTAGACAAATAATAAAATCATCAAGAAATGTGTTGCATGCGTTCAGATACTTGGCGGAACAACGTCTGTCGGGTTCGCTAGTATTACATAAAAACGACAGGTTTCTAACAGATTATGGCTATGATTTGCTTGAGAAGCTTAACTCTAGCAATATCAATCATTATTTTATGTTTCCTGGCACTTTCAGAAAAAAATAAAGTACCAAAATGATGAATCTTGAAACTTGTATAACTTCTATATCTTGGATCCTACAACTTTTGCGCCATATTAACTATTGTTCCAAATGGTTAGTTCTACAAATATGTACCATTTTTTTTGTTGACCGGCACTTTCAAAAAAGGCCCAAAAATGTATGAAGCCTGAATGATCTCCTTTTAAGTTGAATGAAATACAGATGGAGGCAAAACTATTTAATTTTTCTAGCAAAAACTGGAAACTTTATAGTTTAGGTTGATGTTCCCAAACTTGTGGTAAGCGATACAGTAACATAACGATTTGTATGATCAAAATTAATTTCTAAAACTATGTAGTTATGTATAAAAGATTGACAACCATATCAATATAGATTAACAAACATATTATTCCTTCAGAAACATCTTAGTAATTAATAGTATATATATAATAATATATAATAGTATATAGTCCTCAAGCTACTGACTTGTCAGTGACGCATACGAGATGTTTCCAGACAAATATATCTTCGGATAATCAAATTAGAATATTTTATTATTTATTTTATGTATGTGGTCCATACTGTAACATTTTTGTCTGAGATAAAAAACATGTACATTGTAAGTAATTTTTGAAATGTTGTTATATTGTCGGATCTGTCTTCGGATATTTATGTCATGTGCATGTACAGAAACAGGCTAACCTTAAAATTATCTAACCGCTGGTATTTTTGGCATGTTTTCCCCCCCGTTTTGGGTCACTTATGTATAAAATATTAAACTTAAGCTAATAAAAGATATGAAAGGAAAAGAAACATGAGTAGAGGTAATGATATGGTCCTTCACCAACTTACAGTGATCGGTTTGGTAGATGTTAGTTTGCTCACGATGGCGTGGATCCCGAGGGAGATGCCGCTCCGTTGAGGACTTACCACCGACGCGGGGGACGGAACTGGGGTGGGGGGAGAATGATCATCACCTTTCTGGGGGATGATTGTATTATATAGTATATATATATATATTAGGTGTACAACTTTGCTTCCGCCGTTTTTTTCCGGAATTCGAGGCTTTATTGTAAAAAACTGGTTATACATTTATGATTCAAAGTATTGTCCATCGCTGGCCACTACTTTCTCCCATCTTTTGGGCACCATACGAATCCCGCGTTGAAAAAACTGGTCATCTTTTGAACCGATCCACAAATAGATCCAATTTTTAACTTCTTCATAAGACCGGAAGTGCTGGTCAGCCAGGTCGTGTGCCATTGATCGAAACAAGTGATAGTCCGAGGTAGCAACGTCTGGAGAATACGGCGGGTGGGGTAGAACTTCCCATTTCAACGTTTCCAAGTATGTCTTGACCACTTTCGCAACATGGGGTCGATCATTGTCGTGCTGTAAAATCACTTTATCATGTATCTCGTTGTATTGCGGCCGTTTGTCTTTCAATGCTCGGCTCAAACGCATTAATTGCGTTCGAAAACTATCGCCTGTGATTGTTTCAGTCGGTTTTAACAACTTATAATGCCCTACGCCGAGCTGGTCCCACCAAATACAGAGCATACCTTGGAACCGTGAATATTCGGTTTGGCCGTCGACGTGGAAGCATGGCCGGGATATCCCCATAATTTTCTGCGCTTGGGATTATCGTAATGAACCCATTTTTCGTCCCCAGTCACAATGCGATGCAGAAATCCTTTCCGTCTTTGCCTTGCAAGCAGCTGTTCACAAGCAAACAAACGCCGTTAAACATCTCTCGGCTTCAACTCGTACGGCACCCAATTTCCTTGTTTCTGAATCATTCCCATGACTTTCAGGCGTTTTGAAATGGCTTGTTGCATCACTCCCAATAATCCTGCCAATTCTTGTTGCGTTTGACACGAGTCTTGATCAAGTAATGCCTCCAATTCTGCATCTTCGAAAACCTTCTCTCTTCCACCGCCATGCCGGTCTTCGACGTCAAAATCACCGTTCTTGAAGCGTTGAAACCACTCTCGGCACGTTCTTTCACTAATAGCAGCCTCACCATAGGTATTTGAGAGCATTCGATGAGCCTCAGCCGCAGATTTCTTCATATTAAAGCAGAAAATTAAAACCTCCCGCAAATTACGAGAATTTGGCTCGTAAGCTGACAAGTTTAATCGAGAATAACTTTATGATGCAGACACAAATCGACTAATATTTCGATGGCGTTATGTTTACAAATGCCTAAGCTTATTGTATGACATCTACGATCTATTTATTTCGACTACCACTTACCGCTACAACCATCTATTGCAAAACGGCGGAAGCAAAGTTGTACACCTATGTAATATGATGAAGACTATTGAGTTAATACCTTAAAATCCATGATAATTCTTTTTCTTGGAGGATTTCCAAATATGATTGATATTTTTTAATGATTGGTATAGGTATTTGCTCCAACAGGTTGTTAATCAAGAATTCGATAGATATAGTATATGAATATTGAAGTATATGAAGAAGATGAATAAAAAAGGACTTCCAAATATTAAACCAGTTTTTTACGTCCAGAGGTCAAATGGACTAATGATGTGTTCTTCATTATGAACCTTGTACTTACTGTGAATACTGGTACTGTAAACTCCAATAGCGCGTCAACGACGGCCGCGTTGCCCAGGGTACACGCGACGTACAGCGCCGTCTGACCGCTCGCGTCTCGAGCATTCACGTCAAACGGAAAACGGTACTGCCATTTACCAGAGGCGTCCCTGGAATGAATGGAAGAGACTTCTCTTTGGTATCGATCTTAATGAGTTCTTTACAAGAATAATCTAAATGAGTAAAGCTAACGAAACGCGCGGAACGCTATACTGTCCCCTCATGTCATTATAATATCAAAGTCCATCTGTGTACCATCTCAAATGTAATAGAAGCAGCTGAATGAAGATTGGATATAAAAAAAATATATCAGGTAATATATACTAATATTATAAAACTGCAGAGTTTGTTTGTTTGAACGCGCTAATCTCAGGAACTGCTGGTCCGATTTGAATAATTATTTCAGTCTCAGATAACCCATTTATCGAGAAAGGCTAAAAGATATATTTTATTATCAAAAATATAGATAAAATTGCTTCTTTGCAACCATAGGCGTAAAATCGAAGACCTATTTATTCGTGCGCCGTAAAAACTATTGACGATACAACAAAATAATGTAGGATTTTGTAAGTCCCATTAAGATCCAGAAAAATGTCCACGAAAACATATATCTGCCATAGTTTAGTCAGAATATCCACTTTTTTCAAGAACAATATTGATTTTCATTTATTGACGGAGTCGCGAGCAAAAGCTAGCAATAAATAAAAATATATATAAAAGCTTATCAGTCATGCAATTAATGTTGACTGATTGACAATATACCATTTCATACTATCAATAGTCCAGTTGTTGGTGATAATGGAGACCGTATTCTCAGGTCAGGATTACGTCATGGACTATCTCTTCTACCTGGAAATTTCCCAGCTTGAGCCAGGGTCTGCCCTACACGTTGTGAATATTGTGGCTAATTGATTTTACGAACGGCCGCCAGCCTGACGTCAACCCTCTTTGGGAATGCATGATTAATATCAGTGATGTCTAAATATTCTTAGAAAGTACATATGACTCGGAAAAATCACATTGGTACTTGCCCGGGCCAGGATCGAACCCGCGCCCTCGAGCATGAGAGGCGAGTCTGTCAACCACTAGGCTACCACTGACTTCAATTTATTATTATTCTATATCTACATGATCTCGACGTTTCGGTTCCTTTACAGCAACCGTGATCAACAGACGAGATGAAGTGTCTTAAATAGTGTAGGTTCTTTGAGCTATGTGTATGTATTTTTATATGTATGGATTTGTTATGAAACTAAAAATATTAATGAGTAGATTTTTCTCTAAGTAACAGCATATGCCGTCGATCTTTGAATGCTTTGAAGGTGCATATATAATGTATGAGACGAAGCTTCTCATCATTCCATGTATTCACGGTGCGTGTGTCGGGTCCATCGTTGTAGTGAGAGGAGCTTCAACAGTGACTGGGACTTGTGACCCAGGTGTAGGTTTAATATATATAGAGAGACGAAACCTCTCATCATTCAATGTATTCACGGTGCGTGTGTCGGGTCCATCGTTGTAGTGAGAGGAGCTTCAACAGTGACTGGGACTTGTGACCCAGGTGTAGGTTTAATATATATAGAGAGACGAAACCTCTCATTATTCAATGTATTCACGGTGCGTGTGTCGGGTCCATCGTTGTAGTGAGAGGAGCTTCAACAGTGACTGGGACTTGTGACCCAGGTGTAGGTTTAATATATATAGAGAGACGAAACCTCTCATCATTCAATGTATTCACGGTGCGTGTGTCGGGTCCATCGTTGTAGTGAGAGGAGCTTCAACAGTGACTGGGACTTGTGACCCAGGTGTAGGTTTAAGAAACTCCTATCTAACTTGTTAAAATCTCACCTCCACTGTCCAATCTCCTCTTTCTACTAAATTTGAAAGGAAAATTTGAAGTACGTTCTAAGAATGAGTTAATATTAGTTCTGGACAGGTCCAAGTATTTTAGTAGGTTGGAAATAAATTGTAAAATAAAACTGGTTTTAGGTGAAGGTACCAAGGTTACCATATATGGTAATTATAGAAGGGGAACTATTTAGGATTGGACGGAATGAAAAAAAGATTTCGTATTAAGATAATTATAAGACATTGAAATGTAGTTATTTTATTTAGGTTAAAATAAAATTAAAATATGACATAACAAAAGGAAACAAACTTTTGTGATACTTAATAGATATACATATATTAAATTCAACTTATTTGTCATATATATATATGTATATAAAAGAAAGTCGTATAAGTTACACTATATATAACTTAAGAACGACTGTACGGATTTGGATGGAGGTTGGAGGAGTGATAGATTAGAACATAGAAAGGATATAGGATACTTTAAATACGATTGAAAATGAACAGAAAATTAGCTGACTAAATCCAAAATCTTATTAACTGTCTTTAAGGAGGAACAGAGTTCGCGCGGTCATCCATACATTACTTATTATGAAACTAAAGCGGACAAAGTCGCGGGCGAAAATTAGTTTAATATATATATAGAATATTTATTGTATAAACATCAAATAATAATTTACTTTATAAGATGACATCATTAAATGTAAGAATTATCAACAAAATAAACCGGTACTATAAATATAAATATTAACATTTTACATACATAACCCTTGCCACATGTTTTATCGTCAAACGAAATTACTAATAGTATCGAGTTTTCGTTCGGTAAACTTAGATTATTCCGTGTGTTATATAATAATAAAAAACGAGTAAGTCTGTGTATGTACGACGGTGAGAACTTGTGGTAGGTTATTGATAATTAATCTAAACTCAGTTCTAGCTTTTGTTTTTCTTTTGACCCATTCCGATTTGAATGCCCAAGAAAATTATCATTTAAATTGCATCTAATTATGAAACAGTATGTATTTATGCTCAAATCTTTTATAATGTGAAAAATTTTGTCGTTTTCTTTCTTAATTTTTATAGTCTGTTAATACAATCCTACTAATATTATAATTGCGAAAGTTTGTGAGTGTGTGTGTATGTTTATTACTTCTTCATGCTCAAACAGCTGAACCGATTTTGATAAAATTTTGTATACAGGAAGCTGACGTCCAGGAATAACACATAGGCTACTTTACATCCCGGAAATCCGCGAGTAACACCGCGGAGCGCAGCTATGTAGTATTCATTTAAATGAAATTAATATTATTCGTATTACTACGCGTATTTTATTATTTCTACTACATACTCCCGACGTTTCGGTTACTTTACAGCAACCGTGATCATTAAGACGAGATGTGAATGTCTCATATTTATTGATTTATATTGACATTATAATGGAGGTGTATGTATGTGTGCTTGTTACCTGAAACTACTAAACTGTTTTGTATAACAACCTTTTTTTTTAAATGGGAAAATGGGGTAACCGAGCAGACGGCCTACCTGATGGAGGTAGTACCGTCGCCCATGGACATCTGTAACGTAAATTTGCCGCCTCTGATTGGGGAAAAGGGGGAGGAAAATGTGGGAAAGGGAAAGGGCAACCGGCTCTCTCACTCATCGAACGAAACGCAGCCACTACGGCTACTTTACGCCGATCTCCTGTGAGAGGCTGGTACTTCCCCGGTCGAGCCAGACCATGTTCGAGCTGTAGTAACTTGACCACAGCTAGGCTCTACTACCTCATAGCTACCATACAAGTAAAATAACACTTCTATTTTATATTACGCCTAAAGCGAGTGAAGTCACGAGTATTATATAGTATAAAATGGACATGTATCTGTATGTATATAATATACGTTCCACGATACCTCCTAACCGGTTTTCGTAGGAATTAATTAGGATGCATTTTTTTAAAGAGCTCTTCAACCCGTTTCATACCGTCCACTTTATATGGAAATATATTTAATGGTATATTTGCATAATAACTTGAGAACTATATATTGAGATAAAATATCGATGTTTGAGGAAATATTAGTGATATTATAATATACCGGTTGAGGGAACAGATTCGATTTAAGATTGTACTAATTGATTGTAATACTTATGAAATTGACAAAAAGTTTTTATAATGTCTTCTTCTTCTACCTGACAATTTCCCAGCTTCAGTCAGGCTCTGCCTTACATTTCGTGAATAGTTTTGGCTACTTGTTTTTACGACCGGCCGCCTGCCTGACATCGACCCTCTTTGGGAATGCATTAATCAGTGATGTCTAAGTATTCTTAGAAAGTACATATGACTCGGAAAAATCACGTTGTCCCTTGCCAGGATCGAACCCGCGCTCTCATGCATGAGGGGCGGGCCTTTTAACCATTAGGCCACCACTAACTCAAAATGTTTTTATAATGTATTGGTATATAGCTTCCTCTCTTAAGTCGTCGGGCGCGGGTTCGATCCTGGCAAGTACCAATGTAATTTTTCCGGGTCATATGTACTTTCTAAAAGTATTTAGACATCACTGATTAATGCATTCCCAAAGAGGGTTGATGTCAGGCAGGCGGCCGGTCGTAAAAACAATTAGACAAAACTATTCACAACATGTAAGGCAGATCCTGGCTAAAGCAGGGAAATTGCCAGGTAGAAGAAGACATAAAACTAGAATATCTTCTCAGCCGGTGTCACTCTTGACAGAGTGGTCGTGGTCATCAATTTGGGTAGTGGTGCTTCGCTTGAAAATTCGACGCAAAGAATGGAAGGGAAAGGAGTGGAAGGGAAGGGAAGGGAAGGTACAAAGTAAGAGACAATGGTGGCCATGTGAGGATATATGCCTAAGCATAGTTTTCACATCCCTGGGATAAAGCCCTCCCTACAAGTTGTATGAAGCGACCTCTATGTGTCAGTAGTGAACCGTTAGTAGTACATGTGTTCCGTACAACAACTAAACGTGATATTGGTGGTCCGATATAATAGTGTTTATAAACCCGCTCCATATAACTGGTCTATAGAACAGAACCTCGTCTCTGTACAGAGGTTGACGAGATCATCTCCGTGGATGAATGACATGAGACGACTGTATAGCGTTCATAGCGGTTTACTCAAAAAACTATTGAACTAGCAGATTTACATTTATCTAAATTGGTTATATTTAAAAACCAATATACATAGATCTGTTGTTTAATGAAATCTCAATGAAAATGTTGTTTTTTTTACTCATTTAAAATTTAAAAAAAACGAGTTTTTGTTTTAATTGAAAATAAAAGTAATTTATTTACTAATAAAAACATAGTTAGCTATTATCAAATCTATATTCACCTAATAATATATATGTACATATATATACTCACGTGTAGGTAGTCAGCAAGTGTTCAGGGTAGTTGTACTCCAACAACAGCGTCACCAGCGCTGGGTGACCCCCGATACAGGCCGCATGAAGAGGCAGCCATTTCTCAACTGTCTCTTGCTGGTGAAAAGTTATATAATAGGTAAATGACCTAATTCTATTGAAGGGGCCATTCTGTGGCAAATTATCATTTAATAACAAAATTATCAACCATAATGAGATTTAAGATTTTCTCGAGTTTTATTCACTTAAAGAAAACTATATTTATCGAAGTATCCTATTCGACTTTAGTCTCATTTAAATTATCAAGCATAGTTAGGTTCTAGTTAAAAAGACTATATTCTATTCATGGTTCGTTTCTGTAGCAAAGTAGTTGAGACTAGACTATAATTTTCATATTAATATTCTTTATATTCCATGTACATGTGTAACTCTGAAAAAAACTTGACAAAATCAGTATTATATATATGTTATATATTTATAATAAATATGTTGTATATTAATGAACAAATCAGTCTCCAAGCTTCATATAACATTATCTATGTACATTGAACGGTTAGAGGATATTATAGTTCCTTACTATGATGGTAGATAAATATAAGTCAAGTCCTTTTTCTGTCACGTCAATATGGACCCTACAGTCTTTAAATTTTACAACTTTGCTAATAAATACTTTCGAAGTACTGAAAAAAAAATACAGACATATTATGTATGTACTTTATATGAATATTTTTTTCATTTATGACTTGTTTAGGACCAAAAAAAGCAAAAAATCTTGCATTTTCTTTATTTTCAGCTGAATTATCATCCAAATAAGTTTATACAGTCTAGAAGATGAATCTTTACTTATTTTAGGAATCCCAAAGAAATTAAAACATCCAAGTCCAAAATCCAGACCATTCTTATAACAAATTTATATAAACCAATCAATTCTTTTACTATCATAATAAATAATAAACCAATTTATTACCACTCTTGGGACCAAAAAAAGAAGATTAGGATCACAATAAAGATGAATTTAATTAACATAAGAATTAATTGAAATGATAAATAATAAAGACCAGTATTAAATGAATATGCAAATTTTTAATATGAAATTTAACAAGCTATTGGGACATCTTTTTTTTAGGTCGTAAAAAAATTATTGCTAATTTGATCTGATATATAATCTTATTAATTCATCATCATTATTATTATGATCAGCAAAAAAGAGCCCATTAGTGAAAGGCCTCTTCTCACATGGAGAAGATTTAAGCATTAATCACCACGCTCACTCAAGATTGAGTGGTGATTTCAAACTTATAATTCGATATTATTAGTCCAGGTTTCCTCATAATTTCCTTCATCTGTCATTGGTGTCTAAATACTCTTATAAAGTACATGTGACTGACAAATTACATTGGTACTTGCCAGGTTTCGAACCTACGCCCTTATTAATTATACATATAAAGATTATAACCTGCACGGCTTCTGGGAAATGTTGCAGCAGTAGCTTAGCTATGTCCAGGTGTCCGTGGTAGCAAGCTATATACAGCGGGCCGTATTTAGTAACAGGATGAGCTCGACCATCAGCACCTGCTGCAACTAAAGCAGCTGCAGCTGAAGTTGCTCCTAGCTCCGAAGCGCTGGAAATATGATGAATATTAACGCTCTAGAATTTTAAACTTATACAGGTCAAAATCACCTAAAATCTAAAAGAAAATATATGTTATCTTTCATTCAATCCTCTCAAATCTTCTTCCACGCCATTTCGATACATGACTCGTACTTATCAGCATTTTGCTAACATGAATAAGATATACTTTTCAATTTAATCCTCTCAAATCTTTAAAGCCATTTCGATCCACAACTCGTATCAGCATTTTGCATGAATGGTTAACATGAAGTAGTAATACAAGAATAGTGTCATGGATGGCAGACCCTGGCTGAAGCTGGGAAATTGCCAGGAAGAAGAAGAAGTGTCATAGATGGTCCACTCACACATATAGCAAGGTGTTAGCTCCACCAGGTGTCAAGTTGGCGACAATCCCACCAGCTGTTCCTAGGGAAGTCAGTCTCGTCTTCAAGGCCGCAGCATCTCCACGAACCACCAGCTCGCGAAGCTGAGCATGCTGGGACACACGCTCTCTGTCCAGGGCATCTGGTACGAAATAATTTATATGAGAATTAGAGACAAATAGACGTTTAATATAGAGCATAGAATACGCCGAAATCTGATTGGATTTAGAAAATAATGCGACAAGTCTTTCAAGTTGTAAAACCATCAAAAATATTTTTATGACTTTGTAATAATCACTGCAGTTATATTAATTTTTCATGTCTCAACATATTTTAAATAAAATGTATATGGAATTGTTATTCAACAAGCTTTTTCGATTACGACACCATAAAATAAACAGGTATAAAATTGTGTTATGCCTAAAGACGCGTTCAAAATATACTTTGTTGATATTTAAATGCATATTTAAAAATATGGACTATATATGATATATTCTATGTTATTATTAATTATTAAGTCACCTTCGTTCCACGGATCCCTTACATCATCAATAAAATACTGAGCAGCATCGTATGCATCATCCGGTTCTTGTATTATTGTCGCCAGAGTACCATTTACTATAGAATCACTGGCAACTGAACGCAGCCTAAGCATCATATTGCGACCAATCACTACACTGCGTTTCGACCAATCACATCATCGTTTTTCGACCAATCACAGCACTGCTTTTCAACCAATCGCATTAAAGTATCTTAATCCACGCATCTCATCGGTCGGTTTTTGTCCCAAAATTTTAAATATTTTTATAGTTCCATTTTTAAAACTTTATATACACACTTCTGTCCTTCGCGATAACATAAAATATTTTATTAGGACCCAAAAAACGAAATGTCAATTTATTTTAATGCTGTTAAAGAACGAGTTTTTTCTTATATAAATATATATTTTTGAACGAGTCTTGGGCAATTTGACAATTACGTAGATTAAATGTCATTTAATGACATACTGAATTGGCGCCGTAACAAACAGTCACAATATACATCTTTATATATAAAAGAAAGTCATGTTAGTTACACTACTTATAACTCAAGAACGACTGTACGTATATGGATGAAGATTGGTGGAGAGATAGATTAGAACCAGGGGACGGACATAGGATATTTATTTCTATTCATTCGTAACGGAAAAATGATTAAATAAATTCCAATATCTTGTTATTTATGGCCTCAAGAGCGGAATATAGTTCGCCCGGTCAGCTATACATACATATATTACTAATGACAAAATTAACGCGGATGAAGTCGCGGGCAAAAACTTGTATATTATAAATGAAAATAATATTTTTCATATTATTATTATTAGTTATTATTTTAACTACATACTCCCGACGTTTCGGTTACTTTACAGCAACCATGCTCACGGAGTAGGTATACATAGATTAAAATAATAAAAAACGCGAAGTACTTACGAAAATATTAGTTTGAAATGAATATTATCGAAAGTCTTAGATCTCATTATAGTTTAAATGAAAATTTATGTAACACAAAACCACTCAGACGAAAATTCAATGTACTCACGGTACGTGTGTCGTATCCATCGTTGTAGTGAGAGGAGCTTCAACAGTGACTGTGACTTGTGACCCAGGTGTAGGTTTAATATATATAGAGAGACGAAACCTCTCATCATTCCATGTATTCACGGTGCGTGTGTCGGGTCCATCGTTGTAGTGAGAGGAGCTTCAACAGTGACTGTGACTTGTGACCCAGGTGTAGGTTTAATATATATAGAGAGACGAAACCTCTCATCATTCCATGTATTCACGGTGCGTGTGTCGGGTCCATCGTTGTAGTGAGAGGAGCTTCAACAGTGACTGTGACTTGTGACCCAGGTGTAGGTTTAAGGGACCCCTATCTAACGCGTTAAACGCTCACCTCCACTGTACAAGCTCCTCTCTATACCTAACGCTTATAATTTAATATAAATTCCGTATATTATAGTTCAAAAATTTTAATTTACAATAATATATATATATGCACCTGTATTAAATTTCAAATAGCCCCTTAAACATCTTCTGGGCAGATGTTGCACAACTAGTTCTGATACATCTTTAGGTATTTTTTAATATATTTAGGTAAACCAGTTTCGACATATGTATATTAATTGGGTGATTGTTTTTTTGGAAGGAGGTCCGGCTGAAGGACAATGAGTGAGCGAGAAAAAATAATGAGTGAGACGGAATGAGTGTCACTGAATCCCTACTAATATTATAAATGCGAAAATAACTCTGTCTGTCTGTCTGTTACGCTTTCACGCCTAAACCACTGAACTGATTTTAATGAAATTTGGTACAGACATAGAGTTGACCTTGAGAAAGAACATAGGATAGTTTTTATCCCAGACTTTTGAAAGGTTCTCTTGGAAACACGATATAACCGAACTCCACGCAGGCGAAGCTGCGGGCGGAAATCTAGTTTTTATATAAAGATGGCACTTCACTTGGCGTTGCGTATTCGCCGCATTTGTCCAAATATTTGTATAAAGTCCAAATAGCGCAAACACGACATCCACACTTGGCATGCCAACAACATGTCTATACGTTTTTGCTTATTTGTGTACGTGTGTTATTTGTGCAAATATGTCAAATGAAGACGAATAAATCATCCACACATGGTCTTATTTGACCGAACACAACAAATAAACGCCAAGTGAAGTACCACATTAAGAATAAGACATAGTATGTTTTAATAAAAAGCATTTTGTATTAAAAATCGTGATTCAAAAAACTCTGTACCCTAAGTACAAGTTGAAATAATGTGATGTAAGATTTACGAGTATTCATTTAAATGAAACTAATATTATTCGTATTACTACGAGTATTTTATTATAAGACCAACTGACAGACATTCACATCTCGTCTTAATGATCACGGTTGCTGAAAAGTAACAGAAATATCGGGAGTATGTAGTTAAAATAAAAATAGGCGTAGTATCGAAAAATATTAGTTTCATTTAAACAGTAGAAGTAGCTAATTTAGTTTGGATGTATCGTGAAAAATTTATTAAATTGACAAACGTATATAAATTCGTTAACTGTCATACTGTAAGTTCGTCCGTATTACTCGTACTAGCCCGAGATTAAGTAACAGTATAATTTTACAGTGAAATAATGAGTTCACGACGCGCAGAGACTCGTTTTAACTTACCTCATATGTATTACTTAATATTCTAGACTATATGTCGACTTTGGCAACGAATTGATTCAAAAAGACTATATGTGTGTGTGTGTGTGTGTAAGTCAGTGGTGGCCTAGTGGTTAAAAGGCCCGCCTCTCATGCATGAGGTCGCGGATTCGATCCTGGCAAGTACCAATGTGATTTTTCCGAGTCATATGTACTTTATAAAAGTATTTAGATATCACTGAATAATGCATTTCCAAAGAGGGTTGATGTCAAGCAGGCGGCCGGTCGTAAAAACAATTAACCGAAGCTATTTACAACATGTTCTGTGTGTATGTATGTTACGAATTCACACATAAAGTGCTGAGCCGATAATAATCAAACTTTCTGTGAATGCAACTATAGTATTACGAACATACAAACTTCTGTTCAGGCTACTGATAATAGAAAAGTAGGAAAAATTGTTCTTTGATTTATTGAATACTAGTTTTGTGTCCGCGACTTCGTCCGCGTTAATTTCGTCATTAGTAATATATGTATAGCTGTCCGAGCGAACTCTATTCCGCCTTAGAGGCCGTAAATAACCAGATATTGGAATTTATTTAATAATTTTTCTGTTTCGATGGAACAGAATTAAATTTTATGTCCTTTCCATGTTCTAATCTATCTCTCCACCAATCTTCATCCAAACCCGTACAGCTGTTCTTGAGTTATAAATAGTGTAACTAACATGACTTTCTTTTATATATAAAGATAAGACAAACCAATTAAATTTCGTGGTGGGTGAGGATTTAATATACTAACGCGAGATGACGAGACTGATAATTAAATAATCCAAAACTAAGCTGTTCTTGATCAGGTCAGTTCCGAAGCTTGACCATCAAGATTGACAGCATCTATAAATTTCTGTCATATGAAGAGAACCGGAAATAGCGTCAATCAATTGACTTTAAGAACCTTAATCCTTCATCTTTATTGGTCACATCCGGTCAATACATTTGAAGACATTTCCGAATATTATTTAGAGAATATGTAGGTCATAAAATAGGCACTATAGAAAATGTACATAGTTTTAAATATATAAAAAGAGAATGTTAAAGGAATTAATTTGATTTGATTGCAAAAATAATCTGGTTTTGTATAATGGATCAACTTTTTTACGATATTGATTTGAAATATTTTCTTCCTTTGTTAGATAAAATAGTATATATATAACTCATTACCCAACGCTTCGTGCATAAAATATAGAAATCAAAGATAAAATCACGTAGTAAATCCGAAAATATTAGTTTCATTTAAATGAATACTCGCGAAAATCTTAGTTCTCATTAAATTAACAAGTTGAAAATCTTCATTATCAATCCCTAATCCTTGAATCATTATAAAAAATGAGTTATTATTAAAATCCCTTTTATATAATTTCTACGTCACATATAGATGATAGAAGATTCTTATCAAACTTAGAGCACGTAGGACCCTGTGTGTAATCCCTACTAATATTATAAATGCGAAAGTAACTCTGTCCGCCTGTCTGTCTGTCTGTTACGCTTTCACCCCTAAACCATAGAACTGGTTTTAATGAAATTTGGTACAGAGATGGAGTTGACCTTGAGAAAGAACATGGGATAGATTTTATCCCAGACTTTTGAAAGGTTCTCTTGGAAACGCGATATAACCGAATTCCACGCGGGCGGAAAGCTCCTTTTTATATATTCCGTTCTTATCTGACCTCTTCTCTGTTGTAGGAATATTCCTAACAGATATGAAGTCTACGACTTATGGTTACAGATATCTTGATGAAACAATATAATAGTTGAAATCTCATATACACATAATATTTATATGTCATCATCAGCCTATCAATGCCACTGCTGAGCCTCTTCTCACATGGAGAAGGTTTGAGCATTAATCACCACGCTCGCTCAAGACGGGTTGGCGATTTCAAACTTATAATATGATAAGTCCAAGTTTAATCACGATGTTTTCCTTCATCTGTCAGTGATGTCTAAATAGTCTTATAAAGTATGTACTATGATTCGGAACAATTACATTGGTACTTGCCAGGTTTCGAACCCGCACCCCGATGCATAAGGAAGGGCCTTTAACCTCTAGGCCACCACGATTTAATTCTATATATATACTAATATTCCTTGATAGTTCAACATTTATTCATGTCACTCCGAAGTGAATGTTTCATATAGAACCAGTACTGCTTTTACGAATACATTAGACGCATGAGCGAACATTTCACACACATACTAGTGATACACGCGGCTTCGTCTGTCATAATCTTTAATTAATGCTGGCATTAAAAATTAACACAAATAAATATCACCTAATACATACATACCAATATTATGGACTATTAAGTCATCTGAATGTTACAATATTCATTTAAATGGAACTAATATTTTTCGGATATACCTACAACGCGGCTTTATTTATTATTTTAACTACATACTCCCGACGTTTCGGTTACTTT